TGAAAGTTTAACTATATATTTAAAACTGACTTGGAAATTTATTTTGTTTTAGCTGACCACTCAAACTACTTAGTTACATCATCGTATGATGGCACAGCCAAGGTAATATACTGTTATTAAAGTTGATATATAATGTATTACCTTATTGATTTCACTTGATCAAGACAGCCTAATCCTCTACGTAAATAAGGAACAATATTATTCAGGAAAAGGAACATAGAAAAAGTGTATACTAATTGTTACTAGATGTCTACTACCTGAACTTTTTGAAAAGTCATGAACAGGTTATAGTTTCTTAAATAAAACATGTGCCAGTTTTAATGCCATTTAAGTTAAGCCACAATTAAAATATTTTTAAAGATAGATACGGTTTTAAAAGATTGTCAATATTTATAAACTTTTTTGTGTAACCTGACTTATTTGAACAATACTCCCTGTCAAGTCAGATGAATTATCAGGGATAATTGAATTCCTCATTTAAAGTAACGGTAGAGGTTAGCACAAGGGTCCGGAAACGGTCATATTTGCCAGTCATGTCCTAAGATGAAACTATTTGTCCTAAACGAGTAATTGGGATTTAGGACAAATTTAATTTTTTTACAGAAGTAATTTCGGTCATTTCATTGACTCAATGTTTGAAATCGGATTTCTTAATCGCTATTTTGCACTTGTGATCAAGCTTGTTTTTGTTTATAATCCCTTTCCTGTAATAAAACTGCCACTACAGTAGTTTGATAATCCTGAGGGCCCTCCTAATATCTATATCAATGCCTCCGGGAAACATTGGCTAATGATCGCTAATCACTTTTTACCTGTGGTTTTAATTCACACCTGACAGTGATCACAAGCTCAGAATAATATCTTTAAAACATTAAAGTTCCCTGACAAGTGTATTCATTATTTATTTACTTTTCATCAAAGACAGTCATCAATTCTGATTTAAAAATTAAATCTAAATTTACGTAGAAAAAAGTATTTTTTCATGAGCAACACATGTGCTTTATTTACTATGTAATACGCATGCTTGAAATTGTCTTCAGCAAATTTAATATTTAATCGTAAAATGCAAATTGATTTCATGCTAAATTAAACGAGTGCAACTATCTGTTATATTCAAACACTTTTAAAGGTAATAAAATAAAAAAGCCATAAAAAGCCGGTGATTTCCTGTCAATTTGATAAACAAAACAAATCCCGGAAATGAATCCGGAATTATTCGTACTTTAAAATATCGCAAACTTCCGGTTTTAACTTTTGTCAAATCGAAAGAAACGTAAGCAATGTCTGAGAAATTAACCATTTTGAGTCATTAAAATCATTTCAATTTTAGACTGTTGCCTTCCCTAAACTGTCCTTCATGGTAATGGTAAGACATTTACTTAGTAAATGCGATGAAACAGCAATACAAGTTCGTCATGTTCGTTGATGCTATGAATATAGTCAAGTTGATATCGACAAAAGGGCACCAACTTTTCAAACATCTCAAAATGACCAAAATTGTCTGGAAAAATTTCCGGATCCTTGGGTTGGCATACACAGATTTATGCATTGACGCCAGGATAGTTTCTGGAGCCTCTAGTTTCTTTTATGATATCAAGAATAACTTTATTTATTATGATGTACTCTTGCATTTGAGTACAATGTATTGATTTTTGAAGCCTGGTGGACAGCCAAATTAAGCGTGGTGCATGAAAATCAAAGGTGGCAGATGGAAATTCAAGCGTGTAGCCCCGCCATGCTACAATAGGTCATGGTGACCCTGACTGTAATATTTCAAGGTCAATTCTTTTTTTCAGGTTTGGGCTCATCCTACATGGGGACCTTTGAAAAATCTTGCTGGACATGAAGGGAAAGTAATGGGAATAGATGTTTCCCCTGATCTTAAATACATTGCCACTGCATCATATGATAGAACATTTAAACTATGGGCATCTGAACTGTCTGGAGGCTTATAGCATAGGTTAAAATGATTACCAAATGGAACATGTGCATAAGCAAAAGATATATGATCTTAGATGAGGGAGTAAAGTGTTGTTCAGATCCTGAAAGGGAACTGTTGTTAAAAGTGACATTTATAGATGAAAGTTGTTGAATGGATGTTGGAACATAAAACATAATTGTTTTAGTTAGCTACAAAAATAAGTGTGAAAATAACATGGGAATCATGATTTTAATGATCAAAGAGAAGACCAATTTAATATCCATGTAATACACAGATCTGTAACTCACAGAATATCACTTATATGTCTTGTAATAAAAGTCTAAACATATATGTAATGTGTTTGATATATAGTTACATATTTTGGCATTTGTAATATGTATTTTTAACAGGTATGATTTGTATTCATTTGGGCATAGACTGCTTAGTTTCTTTTTGTAGTTTTTTCATTGACTTTCATACAAATCTTTACCTGTGAACAAAAGTAGATGTGCCAGGGATATCTTGCAATAATACAGTAACTTAATAACAGAATATGTATAAAAAAAGATTTCCTTTCAGTTCTTTATGAAATTCCCTGCCTTTGATTTCAGCTAGTGTTGATATAGTTCATTTTGGTTTTGACATGTAAGGGGAAATATGTCACAACACCCTATAAAGTTTTAGCTTTATCTGTGCTATATATGTGGATTTTATCTAAAAAATGTCAGATAAATGCCAGATTATAACTCTTTAGCTAAATGACCTTGAAAATGTTGTAAAGGGTAAAATGTGTTTTCCATGTATTACTTTGTTATTTAAGAAATGAATGCTTCTATTTGTAATTTTATTGGGGTGTAAAAGTGTTGACCGAAGCACATTTTCTAAAAATGTGTGCACGATCAACACTTTTACACACCAATAAAATTACAAAAAGAAGCATTAATTTCTTATAATTACATTTCTATGCTAATAAGACCATGAAAAAAAGTTTTATCAAGTTTTTCTTTTATCTACCTGTGCACTTTTTTTCTGGAATCACGTGTCATCACGAATGTAACATTTCATTTTGATATGAAGGTTAATTTTTGAATGACGCGTGATTGTTGTTAGACAATCAAAATAACGGATTCTTGTGAAACATACATGTAATGTAATTATTACTGAATAGTTGTTTAATGGTGCCTTCATGTATCTTTGGATCTTCATTGATCCTCTTCAGATGTAAAGAAAAGTTAAAGGGCTTGATTATCAGAAAATTTAATAAACTTCTGTTTGATTAGGTTGTGTGGAAGTGTATTTGAGAACTTGAGAGCCAAAAGTCATATTAAACTGCAAGGGAATTGAAAAAAAAAACATTAAAAGCATGTAAAGAGATCTTTCCACTCAAGAAATAATCAATTCCATTATTTGCATATGCTTTATTACAAAATTTAATATTCAGTTCTTTAAGAGTTGTCAGGGAACTAGTCAAAAGGACAGAAAGATAAGTTGTAGAACACTTACTGGAACTGACATAATAATATATTTGACAGGTTTTTGTGTAGTTAGGTAACCAATACATAGTAGGCACCCTTTAAAGTGTTCAGAGGTGGCATAACACTTAGATCTGTCTATTACTTGACTTTTTGTGGAGTAATAGTCTTGAATGAAGATGAAATGATAATTTCATTCTTAAAAATCTTCATGTAGTATTCATGCAAGTCGATCAACTACCAAGTTGTTAGCTGCTTTTGTCAGGCGGTTGAAACACAAAATGCTGATCAGGTGATGAATGTAGAAATGGCAAGGAAACTTGGACTACCAGGGCTACACCTAAATGGCCATAATGTGTGCTTGGCAAGGAATTTGAACCTACCAAACTGGACACTAATGTGGTCATGATGTATGCTTAGCAAGGAAGCTGAAACTATCAAATCTAAACTATCATTGTCCTTATTAATGCTTATCTATACTTATGTGGTCACAATGTAGCTGAAAAAGATTAAAATACCAAAGGAAAGTGGGCAATTAAAAACATTAGCCAAAAAACACCATGATCAATAGGAATACAGTCCACAAACACAACACAGAAAACAAATGTGAACAGAAACCAGGGGGAACTAATAAAAAAGACGGGCAACAGCATGGTCAAAGAAAAACAAGCATTCTGAGAGTAGTGCATTGCAATACATAGTCCCTTACCAGTTAAAAATTCATTGTACTGGAACAAAATGCTAACTTGAACTATAAATTGTCATGGTGTAAACTACATATGAAATATAAAATCAATATCTTCAAGCATGACAAAAAAAGAGTGGAAAACTGATTACTTGCATGAATTTTCTATTCCAAGGACCATAACTCTGCACAAAATCATCAGACTGGAAAAAATTCAAACTTGATCTATAACTTGTCATCGTCAAACCAAGTATCAAATCAATATCTTTAAGCATGACGAAAAAAAGTGCGGAAAACAGATTACTTGAATGAATTTTCAAAGTCCAAGGACCATAACTCTGCACAAAATCATCAGACCGGAACAAAATTCAAAATTGATCTGAAACTGGTCATGATAAAGCTATATACCAAATATCAAATCAATATCTTTAAGCTCATAAAAAAGTGGAAAACTGATTTGCCAGACTGACAGATGGACAGACAGACAGTGCAAACCTATAGTCCCCTTAGACTTCGTAGGAAGGGATATAAAAACAACAAACAACATTTAATAAAACACTACCCAGACAGTATAAGCAACATAAACCCCACCAAAAAACTTTGATGAACTCATGTTCTCTGGGAGAGTTAGCATTTAGTGGCCAAGCATCTCCTGTTATCGTTAGATGATCTTATCCCTTGATAAAGCATCAATACAATAGTGACTAGCGGATTGGTATATATCTCTTTTATATTCCTAAGACATCATCCAACTCCTAAACTATCTTAAATTGTTGAATAAATTCTCTAAACCTTGACCAAATGTGCTGACCAAAAGTGAGTTTTGGTTCATAAAGAAAACTACCAACTTAACACGGGTCATGATCATGATCCTCTACTCTGTGAAGATAAACAACTTGGTGGATAGATTAAAAACATAACATTATAACTATCAACATTTATTGTAAAACAAAATATGACTGGTAACAATGGCTGGTCAAAATGGCTAAAATAATAAATCTATAAAATAATCTATTAAAATTTAAAATATTCTTACACTGGTAGAAAACAAATGCTTAAGTATAATAGAATACTATGTTGTGATGGTTTTGATTTGCAGTGATTTGGTGCTCACAGTGGTAGAAATACATAATGGATAATAATATTTCAACTATAACATGTGTAAGGAAATATTGCAGTGTTCTTATTATTACTGTACCGAAACTTTTGATGTGTATTAATTTATTTTAATTAAATTCATCAATTTCAATGAAAAATATTGTTTGAAAATTACAATAAATTTGAATGAAGCTTAACAAAAAGTATTAAATGTAACTAATATTAAATCAATTGGGGTATTACCTTTATGTTTCATTAAAACAATCTTTGGATAGGGTAAAAGGAAAAAAATGTATATTTGGTTGAAGAAAGTCATTTCTTTGATAAAATTTTTTAAGTAGAAAGATAAGATACATTTATTCAATATTAATATTCTTTGGTAATTAAAAAAATAGATGTATATTATTTGAAGAAAAAAAAATTATGAAAGAAATCATTCAATGCCCCAAAAAAGATGGGGAACTTGTTCTTGATTTCATGATCATTACAAAAAAATGTATAAAATCTGGTTCATTTGCAGTAGCATCCAGTTATCAAGTTTAATTATCTCACTTGTGTTCAAAAGTTGCCACCCTTTGCTAATTATAAGAAAGTATTCATTTAGCAACTGTTTATCCTAAATAAATTTGCAAATTTTTACAACATATGATACTCACAAATCTTAGCAAAATATACAAGATGGCAAGGGTCACACTTGTTCACATCGATACACAGTTAAATCTTGAATGTCTATCTTAACAATAAGTCTGATTTTAAACAAAGGCACATTTTGTCGTCTATATTCAGCAGTATTTAAGGAAAGTCGGCTTTGTTTAAATTTTCAAATTAAAATACATGTTATAATCAAAATAAGATATAATTAATCATATAATATAAAATAATTAATCATATAATATAAAAAAATAAAATTTTAATGAATAACTACTGCCAATGTCATGTTGTTCAACAATGTCATGAAAATAGCATATATAGTTGGGTTTGGGCTCACAATGCTGAATTAACAAACAATTTTCCATAAACAACTATGTGATGCACCCTCAATATCTGAATACTATTAATAGTGTAGCACACGTTTGATTGCTCATGTATATCCCCATATCTCTTTTTCAAACCATTTACATGTTGTTCAAAAATTGAATCTTTACAACCACTAATCAGTGGAAGAAAAGCATTTATCCTGCAATCAGCCAACTATTGTACAAATAAAAAGGAATTCAAATAATCTTTGCAGCATTTGTTTAGCATACAAATATTAGTAACTGGTATCTTGCTATTTTGAGTACTTGGTAACATTTAAATTACTGTTTTAGTCAAAGTGAATTTAGTTGACCTCTTTGAAGTCTGATTTTAAGCAATGTAAAATAATAAAATATTTGGAATTAAAAAACTAAACATTTAAACATCAATGTTAAATTGCAGGATAAAAACAATATACATTCTTTGTTGAGAAATATCAAAGGAGAAGGTATGATAAGGTCACTTTTTTGGTCCCTTAAAACCAAAGTGTCATAAATCTACATCCTTCAGATGTTCACGAGACATTAGTCTGTCGGACATCAATATTCATATTTTTGAATTTTGTCTAACATATTTGCATTAGGGCTCCAGACTTTTTGAATTTTGTGCAAAAAAAGGAAAAACTGCTAAAAAATTTGAGATTTTGTCATTGATAATTAAATAAGAGATTTTTGCTACAATCTGTATTTTACATTTTTTATTACATGTAAATGTGTGTGAAATACCTTTTTGGATAAGGCTAATGCTCAGATGTATTTTGTCTACTATGTGTAAAATGGTCATTTTAGGTCAAATTTGTCAATTTCAACATGTTTTGACATCAGTGACATCACAAGTAACCTTTTGCACTAAAATGTCCAGAGTAAATTAACCTGTTCATTTAACAATAGAATTAACATATTTTTGAAAAGCTTGAGTAATTATACTATTTTCGCAATTTCAGGGGCCAAATAATAGCACTTATGTCATACCTCAGCCTTTACTAATACTCACTACGAAACAGGAGAAAACCTTGGTAGCCTCTCTTTTTTAACTGTTTTTAGAGCCGGATTTGATATTTCTGACAACATAAGCATAATGTACAACTATTTATAGTTTTGTGCAGATGTGTTAATCAAATACCACTTCAAATGTTAAACTGAAAAAAAGTAACATTATCTATCAAAATCTAATTGTTCAGAGAACAATTGAAGGTCTTTCCACCTCAAATTCTCATTTATTGATAAGAAAATGAGGGTTTTTTCTAAAAGTAGTAGCAACTTGTGTCAGAAGATAGCTTATCTCATGCCTATTCCAAAAACATATTGTTTGTAGAATATAAAATCTTTTGCGAAATAAGGAGATAATAAGCTTCTCCTGGTTAAGAAAAAGTAACTTTGAATGTCAAATGATAGCTTACTTTTCAATGATTCCTTTTGCTTGGCATGAGGGAGATAATGTTTAACTTCAGGTTTACACAATGTCACAAGAATTTAGGTTACTTTAATTCAATTCCAAAAATAATGGTTTCTAATACTCTTCTGAGAAATTAGGGGGATACTCCAAAAACCCATGGCTTTATTATGTACCTGTTTGAAATTATAATCAATAATATTTTAATTTAAACATTATAGGGGCAATAACTCCTATAAGTCATCTGATTGCTTCGGACAAAATATAACAAATTTGTATTTGGAAAATCCAAACCTTTTTTACTGGTTCTTTTATATCTATTTTTTATAGTTTCAGATGAGATGAAATAACAAGCAAAGGTCAAATTTTAGATCATGACTTTGATCTCTAAATCCAAGTTATTGCCAAAGAATCCAAAAGACCCTAGGTGTTTAGGCTTAATAATAATCAGAACAGAAAGGTGGAAAGACCTAATAAAACATTTCATACTTTTAACTGCAAAATTGAAATTTCCATTAAATGTTTTATATTATACATTCAAATTATGTCATAAATCTTAATAGGTTTACATTAAAACTGGTAAATGTGAATTATTGTATTCATAAAACCTATAGAATATTAGTAAAATTAATAACAGGACAATTCATCACATGACAAATATTAAATGCATACATTCAATACATAAATCAGGTTATTTTTTACCCATTTTCAAAAGACTAGCCTACAAAAAACATAAATAAACATAAATAATATTTTTACAACAGTGGAACAACTAACTAAAGTTGGATACATTGAGTTCTTTTACATCAGATATGTTAGCTGTACATGACTATATGCTGACAGTTACAAAGCCAATTTCCACTTGCTTGTTTATTTTGGCAATTATCTGTATGTTGAATGATTCGAGTATGTATAAAATTAGAGATTGATGGGTTAAACATTGTTCTGTAAAACAGGACATGGTCATTACCATCAATGTTTTGTACTACCAGGTTATTGAGACTAATTCATACATTCATTTTTCTTTCGCAGGGACTTAAAAAAATTCTCAAGTTAAATAAGATTTGGAATCATCCAAGTTTGACTCATCATAGTTAAAATAGCAATAACCTATAATATTTTACAAGGGCTGACAAGGTACCCCCACATATCAGTTTAGGGCACAATAAACTTTATAAATGGATAATTCATACTTCATTATACATGTTAAGAATATTCATGTAAAAAATATTTTTGCTCATATTTTCAACAGAATACAGCAGTTGACCATTGATAAATGCTACATTCAAAACTCTCAATTCAACTCAGATAATATTGAGTTTCAGTGTTAAGTATGACCAATCAACATACGTGTAAATGCCAAATTTTGTGCATGTAATGTAAGTTGTTATTGTTTTATTATTTTTTTTATGTTGTCTATGTTTTTATGATCGGTCAAAAACTCTTTCGAGCTTATGTTGTATAGTTTAAAAAAATGCTGAGTCAAAACAAAATTTTCTTATCTTATTTTATATGAAGCATTAAAATATACTGTACATGTATTTCTTTATTCATATGTTTACAGTTTACATTCCTGCTATAGGAAACATTCCTGCTATAGGAAACATTCCTGCTATAGGAAACATTCCTGCTATAGGAAACATTCCTGCTATAGGAAACATTCCTGCTATAGGAAACATTCCTACTATAGGAAACATTCCTGCTATAGGAAACATTCCTGCTATAGGAAACATTCCTGCTATAGGAAAAGCTTTAAATAATACAGCCATATATGGAATAAAACAATAAACAAACATGTGAACTGATAATTCGTATAGGTAAGTGTATTGTGACTTTAGAATACCACAAAACAATTGTTGAGGAACAATAAATATACGTGTGGAAATTAGTTGTTAAACTATTTCAATACAATAAAAACATAATTTTGCACAACCATAAACATTAGTTTGTTGAATATTAACATGTAAATTACATGGAATGTAAAAACTTGATAGTACACATAAAAAACAATATAAAAATAAAACATATTAAATATATTGAATAATAAATGGACGGTTCAAAACATTATAATCAGCAGTATAGTTTATCTTTAATATTATATTTAAAATAATGTATATATTTAAAATTATACTTATCATAAGGACGGAATAATGCTAAAATATTAATCAGCAGTTATAATTTATCACAGGAATATCAAATGGGAATGACTTAGATATAACATTTATAAATTATTGTTGTCTTAACTTTAAATCATATCAAAAGTGCAAATTAGAAAAACATTGTATCAATTTTCTTTAATTCTTGAACACTGTAAGTAGATTGTGCAAGTCCACAAGGGAATCAAAAGTCCCTTAGCCAGTGCTTATTTATTGGCATGATATTTCTTTGATATTGAAAAGTATCGCAAAAATATGTCAAATTTGTTATATTCTAAGGTTATCATGTCTCAGCATAAGTTTTCATTTAGTAAATTTTAGAAATGCTCCATATTGCCCACCAAAATAGCTTCTGAATATGTATCTTATAAATTTGTTTTACAGACTTCCAAATTTAATGGAAAAATTAATGCACCATTAGAATTTTATATTTAAACATTTTATACTATAACAAATTATATAAATTTATCACCCGTCATTATACTAAATGCTTACATATATCACAATAAAATATAGTTTTGATATTATCGTCAATATTACTTTTACTATAAATCTACACTTAGTGCTATTTGAATATGAAGTAAAAATAAGTAAATGTATATTTTGTCTATTACCCTAACAACTGAACATAAAATATTCCGAATAATACAAAGTTTTCATTAATTAGTTATTTGATATTCGTTACACATATTTATTTTAATGGTAAATCTATTAATTTCTTTCATTACACAGTCTGTAAACCAAAAAAAGACTAGAGTGGGGTGCTCATTTTCGCCATAATTTTCCATGTTTTCTGCAGTTTATGTTCAGACCTTTAAGTTTTTGAAGTATACTGATATTTCTATATGAAGATAACATCAAAAGCAACACATTCTTAGCTTGAAAACGTGTTTCTCTGAAAAAATTCATCTGAAAAGTTAGATTAAAGCCTATTTAATATTACCTGATGTTTTGTCATAGGGAGACACATATTCGCCGTTTTTACACATCTATTTAAAACAAAATAACTGTGCAGCTTTAAACAATATTTATCAAATCAATTTCATCATAGATAAATAGCAGACATTTCAAAGGTGTAAAAAACTGAAATTTAGGGCAATCAGTTGAAGAATTACTAAGAAATACTTCTTTGAAATCTTTTTTTTTCATTCAGGAAATTGGCCGAAAATCGTTGTCCGTTTTTCGGTCCTTTGCAGTAAGTGCCAAAATTTTTTCTAAGTTTAAAAAATAATCATAATTGTTATAAAAATATAATTTACCGGCATATTTCTTCCATTTCAGCAATCCTTTGAAGTTTCTACACCTCAAAATCATAAAACGGCGAAATTGTTTCCCCGGCGAATATGTGCGCCCCACTCTATATTGTTGTCTATTTTAAAAAATTTAAATTTACCAAATTTCAACATCCAGAAATGTATATATATATATATATTAATGGAAAGACAGGATTTAATGCAAAAATAAAAGTCTTTACTACCAATTAACTGGGGTTAACAGTTTTCTTACAAACACAAATGATGTGAATTACTATTATATCTTGATATCAGTTATTTCGTTATGTGAAAGAAAACAATACTTTGCACAGTGAACTATAAGTAAGGCAATGTCAAGTTGTGTTTCATAAAAAAATAAGTAAACAGTAATCAAATTTCCGTGCATGTCAAAAAGCCTGACAAAAAATTAAACTTAAAATAAATTCCAAATTTCAAATCTAAATTCTTTGAAAGAACAAAGATCTAGTCAAAATTATCTAAAAAAATATATAACATAGTCTTATATTAAAAAGTTTTACAAAAGATAAATTCTTCTAAATAAAATAGACAATATGAATGTCTATAAAAGAAAATTCTTTTTCAAAATTTTCCGTTATCATCTATTCCGTTCTTTGAAACAAAATCTAGTAAAAGTTTTCTTTTAAAAAATTAAATGGCATACATTAAAAAATTACCAACAATGGTTGGAAAGTATTTGTCAAGGTTCATAGATAACATAATTTCAAAAAAAATTTAGGCACAGAAAAAAATCAACTGCAGGAATTTATTTTTTCGGGGCAAAAAGCATAAGTGTTCAATTCACTATGTGAATATTAAGAACAGCAAGTGATTTCATTAAGTTCAAGATCATATTAAGGATTACAAGTGATTAAGTTCAGGATTACAGAAGACAAGATTTAGTGTCATACATTAATTTTGCCTTCCCTGGCAGCAGTGGAACTTATGATACTTGCCAAATTTGTTGTCTTTTTCAGAATTAATTTCTTCCTTTCTGCCATAATCTTCTGTTTCTGTTTAATCCTCTGTTCTTCTCTAGCAATCTTCAAGTCTTCTCTCTCTTTTTCCTGTAAAATAAATTCTTTCTTTACATAAATGCTTCAATTTACTTTTTTTTACTTACAATGGTCGATATTGAGAATAGGAGGGTTGAAATCTCAAAAGAGTAGTTAAACTCTTTACACATGTATATGTGCTTGTCCCAAGGAAGGAGCCTTTAATTCAGTGGTTGTTGTTTGTTGCTGTATATCATATTTGTTTTTATTTTATATTTTTTCACCATGAATTAGGCTGTTAATTTTCTCGTGTGAATTGTTTAACGTTTGTCATGTTGGGGCCTTTTATAGGTTGCTATGGGGGTATGGGTTTTGATCATTGCTGAAGGTCGAACAATGACCTATAGTTGCAAACTTCTAGGTAATTTGGCCTCTGTTTCATTGGCAATCATACCACATTTTCTTTTATTTATATAAAACAACAGGAAGACAGACTTCCCCATCACTAATAACCACCTTCTTAGAAAGTGGAGGTTTAAAAACCCTTATAACTTTCTGGTAATTGCTGTGAAAAAACTTACTGATTGATGCCACCTTATAACAAGGGCTCTGTCACCATCAGGTAAGGGCTGTGAATACTTACTGATTGATGCCACCTTATAACAAGGGCTCTGTCACCATCAGGTAAGGGCTGTGAATACTTACTGATTGATGCCACCTTATAACAAGGGCTCTGTCACCATCAGGTAAGGGCTGTGAATACTTACTGATTGATGCCACCTTATAACAAGGGCTCTGTCACCATCAGGTAAGGGCTGTGAATACTTACTGATTGATGCCACCTTATAACAAGGGCTCGGTCACCATCAGGTAAGGGCTGTGAATACTTTAACCTTTGTTTCTTCCTCTCTTCAGTAGTTACACTTTGTTCTATCACCAGAACTACTTTGGCCCACTGAAATTATCAAAAGTATGCACAATAATTAATCATTGCTTCAGTTCATATTACTGGTGTGTGACCTGTTGCTAGTGAGACTCGTGTGTAAAATGTTTACTTTAAATCAGTATCTCTACAAAAGAGTATTGAAATAGCTAAGTCATAATCCATCAGTGTAAAAAAAAAAAAAATAGATTTATAACTGGCATTTACAAACAAATAATTGAACAATAATTTTTACAATTTATGAAACAAACAATCTAGGGGAAGTAACTCTTATTCATTCTCTGTGGTGTTTTAACTATCTGTCGAATTATCCATCATCCATAAATACTAGGGCAATTACCCATGTGGACTATTCTTTTCTGTGTTTCATTCATAAGCTTGAATGTGGCACCTATTATCTATTGTCCTTCCCCACCAAGGGAGATAAATCTTACCTGTCTGAACCATTCTTTCTGTGTTTCATTGATAAGCTGGTATGTGTTACCCATCATGGCAATTAACATGTTGACTAGAAGTAGTGTCACCAGGATCATGTATATGGCAAACATTATCTTGAAAATGGTACCAATGGTATAAAATTCATAATCATTTCAATACTTTTTAATTCATACATATGCAAATATTTTAAATGTAGCAGGATATTAATTCTTAAATGTTTTTATTACGAAAATGTCAAAACTTCAATCATAGCTGAGAACTGTTATTATTTGTATATCATTCCTATAACAAAATAAACAGTAACATATTTGGTCACAGAAAATTATTCAGACAGAACTCAATGAATTCAAATTTCAATAAATTTACATAGTAGTTTTCAACCTAATCTGCAGAAAAATACAACAAACATATAATTTCTTGTAATCTTTATATGAAATTCAAAATTGAATCTAATACTTATAGTAACACATCTAATAAATGAGGAATAAAACAAATAAAATACCAACTGAAGCAGACAAGTAAAGCCAAATAATTTGAAATAATTAAACATAGACTTCTTTTTACAGTACAACACAAGTTGACATGACAAAATTTAACATAAAAAGCATGTGCAGAATAATTTTCTAACAAGTATTTTCTAACTAATAACAAACAACATCACTTTTTTTCAAATATCACTTACAACATGTCACATACTGAACCTAAATTTCAATTGCAAATTTTAATGCAGGTACGGAAGAATCACTTATTTTTGTTGGCACCAATTTTTGTGGACTAATGAATAATACAGTACTGAGGATTCATTCATTTTTTCGTGGGTATCAATTTTCAAAGATTGAGGAAGAAATGTATTTCCTAAGATACTCATTTTGTGGTTTTGCCAAAGTAAATATACAGGCCTATATGACAGGTGCAATTCATAGCACACTTAAGGTGACTCATTGGGTTATATTTTCTCAGATAGAATTTTCTTTTACATTGCCAAAATGTAGATTTTACCATGCTTTATTCAAATATCTAATAAAAAGTATGGGTCACCATGCTATTTTTAAGGCTACAAGTCTTGCAAATTTGCCCAAATTTGCATAGATTATTCATTTAAAAACACTTTTTTGTGAATAAAAAGAAATCCATGAGATAGAATTTTGAAATAAAATATGAGAAGATAAATATGCTTTCAGAAAAAAAAAAGAAATAAATGGAGAATGTGTTTATGGGCCACAGATGCCCCTGCTTGTAAATATGCATGAATCAACTTCCATATACAGGATTCATGTAGTTAAGACTGTTTTGTGGTAATAAGCACTGTGTATAAGTTTCATAACATTTGGTTGAGGCAAACTAAAGTTAGAGAAGGAAACCAATTTTGGCAGACGTACAGACAGACGTGACATACAGACAGGACAAACAAAGGTAAAACATAATGCCCCCTCCGCTACAGTGGGGGAAATAAAAATGGTGTCATCGAACTTGTTTTTTTGCTACAAGTAAAAAATGGAAACTTCTAATACATTCCTTTATAAAAAAATTTAAGTTATCTCCCCTTAAATGCCTGTCAAAAAATTGATTTGAACAAAAAAACAAATATTTGGTATTTGTTAAAACAGTCTATATAAAGCAATAAATCACTCATTTCCTTTATTCAAATAAACAGTCTTACACATTAATCGCCAATCTGTCTCAAAGTTTGAAGATTTAAGCAAAGAACTAGACCGTTTGGGTACTGCTATTATACAATTCAAGATGGTGGTATACAGTTAATCTATCTTAAATTTGTGGTTCATGTATTCTATGAAATCCATGAAAATCAGTAAACCAAGAATAATAATGCATCTGCAGTTATAAATATGTGTTTTATAAATAAATTATGTTTTCTGTAATGTAAATACTGTGTTACTCCCACAAAACAAGTTGAAATTATTGATAGCAGTTATGCTTGTGGTTGATTGATTGAATCAGAAATAACCGACATCTAGCATTTCAGAATTGCCATGTGAAGTTCAGTGACATTCCAATATTTCTGCATTTGCCTTGAGTTAGACATCTCCTAATACTGAACTAATGACAGACATAAATGTCATTAACAAGTATCAGATTGATATGTAAATGATATTAAGATCATTTAGTTACTGAAACTATTGTGACTTCTATTTTTAGAAAGGTGTTTTTCTATTTTGAGACATTCCCTTGAATCCATTTTTATTACCTGGGTACATCACCTTTTGAATAATGATATTCTAAAGGCAGGTCTTTGAAAAAAATAAAGATTTCATAGTTTTCACCGAGATCTGGTCTTGCACTTTATTGAACACAGCTTTTACATATCTTACCTTGACAAGCATAGGAAATGGAGAGGAATCAAATGTGGCATATATGTCCTCAAAATCCCCAACATTCATTGCAAATGATCCAAATGCTGAATCAATTGGATTTTTAAATACACATGGGTCTGTTTGAGGATTGCATGATGATTGAATAAAGGCAACATAAAATGCTGAAAAGAAGTTAAAAGTCAACTGAAGAAATGTTAACAAAACTCATTGCAGATCAACCTTGCTATATTATATCAATATTCTGTGAAAAGTTCACTACTATATATATTGAAATCCTATTTCCATTTATAATTTCAATGGCTTTGTGCCAAACTGAAAAAAAATATTGAAATCCTATTTCTGTTTATAATTTCAATGATTTTTGTGCCAAACTGAAAAAAATTATATTTCTTTACAATTACAAAGAAACTTAAAAATTTAATTTATATTGGCACAGCATGCAAATAACAGATTAAATCAGGCTCAATCAAAAAAAAAAAAAGGTTTATCCATAAAAAAATGGTTAAATGTTATAAAATAAATTATAGAACAGGTAACAAAATCATCTGTGATAACACAATGTTGTTTTAATAAAAGTGACCACTAATATATTACCAACACTGACATAGCAAGGTTTACCTCCAACTAACATGTAATTTAATGATTGAAAAGTGCAATGTAAAACGGTTTGAAATGTGCATAAAAAGGGAAATTAAAACAAACATAATTTTCATTTCTTAAGAGGATGAACAGATTCAGTCAAAAAGGACAATTATTAATATATTAAACTCATGGATAACTAAAATGTACTGTGTGAATATATAGTCATAGGTATTTAAAGGAATCGGATTGCTTTCATACTGAAATTTGTTGAATAAACCTGAAAGAAATGTGTAACAGTTTCTTATATGAAGTTACATGGAAAATCGATAAACTTAAACTGTATCTATTAAGACTTTTTCACCGATTTTTAAATTCAGAAACTCAAGATACTGTGTCAAATGTGTCATATTTCTTAAAATTAAGAAAGTTTGTTATAATGATGCACCCTTAAAATATGTTCACCGAACAGTTGATCACTGATAATAACTGATTAGATATCTTAGTAATAAACATCATGCAACAAAACACTCTTCCAACTATACACAACTCTATTCATCTCAGTCGTTGTGTATAATGGGAAACAAACATTAACAAATGCAAACAACTGTTAATGCAATAACAGTGTTAATGTTAACAGTATTAGGCAAAATTGATCAGGGGAGACAATTAACTGTTAAAAAATAGGTCAGATGCAACAATTTTTAATTCTGGATTCGGTATAGGATTTCTGAAAAAAAATTCATGAGGGTATAAAACGAAATTCCTTTTAAAGCATATTCCATTATATTTTCCTTTTTTCAATGGTTAAAAGTTTTATTATTTTCATCTTTCATAATTTGTCAACATCAGTTTTCTTTTATAGTAGTAATGAAGACTACTCACAATCAAATTATCACAATTTATGAAATTTTGGAGTTGTATTATTTTATTAAAATTAGTTTTTTCATCCACAGAGTAAGCAAAGAATGACACTCAAAAGCAGAATTAGAGCATTATAAAATGATTTGTTATAAGTTATTGATCATAGAATGAACTGAAACAATGATTTAGTGGATAATTTATGAGACTGTTTAACAGCAACGATGGCATTTTGTATTATGAATTACATCTAAAAAAACAGAATTAAATGGAAATATACATAAAAGGAATTAAGTCGTTTTAGTGAAGTAGTAGGTGGTTTTGTAAGTAAACCAATTACTTTTGCCAACGTAGGAAAATCTGTCTGTTTAAATGTAACAAAATAATCGCCAAATTCTCCCAATGACATCATAAACATGGCCATTATTGACTCAATTGGGTCACTAAAGGGACTCCATTCCTTGTTCAAGTGTATTAGGTATAAAGCTGAAAACAGGAAAAGTTAAAAAATTATTTTTTTTAACATCTTTTCCACAACAAATCAAGACTTATAGAACAAATAATTAAATTGTCCCACTGTCAAGCAAATGATTAAGATGTCATTAATAAAACACACAACATCAAGACGATATAAAATGCTTAAAAAAACATAAACTGTAAAAATAATTAAACATCTCATGCATACAACATAACAAGTGTGCATGTTTCTACCAAAATAAAATGATTAATCTACGAACAGATATCAACTACAACGGCAAAAACAACATCATTTACTTTGCTCAATATTGGATGCTCGGTCTTTTCAAAGTTTTCATAATAGTCCCCAAATTCTCCCAAAGACATCATGAACATTCCCATGATTGACTCAGCGGGATCTTTGAAAGGATTTTCTTTATTTTCTTCATAGTTCCGAAAAACTATGTACATAGCTGTAAAGACAAATAATGTAATTCCTATATCTGACTAATAACTTCATGTATAAATATTTGAAATATTATCTGAAAATTTATCTTACAAATGCAATTGACAAAAACAATGTCCTCACTAGCCCAAGATAAAAAGGACCTATACCCTTGACAAAAACAATGTCCTCACTAGCCCAAAATAAAAAGGACCTATACCCTTGACAAAAACAATGTCCTCACTAGCCCAAAATAAAAAGGACCTATACCCTTGACAAAAACAATGTCCTCACTAGCCCAAAATAAAAAGGACCTATACTTTGACAAAAACAAGAGTGCACACGCTGAAATGTCTAGCCTTCTTTACTAATCATTGATATTATGTTGATAGTCCTAAATATAAAGCTTTATTACAACTGTCACATAAACTTAACATTAACCAAGTAAACTAAACATTGACCAATGAACCATGAAAATGAGGTCAAGGTCAGATGAATCATGCTAGGCAGGCATGTAAAGCTAACAATTCTAGCATACAACAAATATAGTTGACCTATTGCTTATAGTTTAAGAAAAACAGACCAAAACACAAAAACTTAACACTGAGCAATGAACCTTGAAAATGAGGTCAAGGTCAAATAAAACCTGCGTGACTGACATATAGATCATAAAATATTTCCATACACCAAATATAGTTGAACTATTGCATATAGTATTAGAAAAAAAGACCAAAACTCAAAAACTTAAATTTGACCACTGAACCATGAAAATGAGGTCAAGGTCAGATGACACCTGCCAGCTAGACATGTACACCTTACAATCATTCCATACACCAAATAAAGTACACCTATTGCATACAGTATAAGAAAAACAGACCAAAACATAAAAACTCAACTATAACCACTGAACCATGAAAATGAGGTCAAGGTCAGATGACACCTGCCAGTTGGACATGTACACCTTACAGTCCTTCCATAAACCGAATATACTAGACCTATTGCTTATAGTATCTGAGATATGGACTTATCCACCAAAACTTAACCTTGTTCACTGATCCATGAAATGAGGTCGAGGTCAAGTGAAAACTGTCTGACGGGCATGAGGACCTTGCAAGGTACGCACATACCAAATATAGTTATCCTATTATTTATAATAAGAGAGAATTTAACATAATTAAAAATCTGAACTTTTTTTTCAAGTAGTCACTGAACCATGAAAATGAGGTCAAGGACATTGGACATGTGACTGACAGAAACTTCGTAACATGAGGCATCCATATACAAAGTATGAAGCATCCAGATCTTCCACCTTCTAAAATATAAAGCTTTTAAGAAGTTAGCTAATGCTGCCGCCGCCGCCGCCGCCGGATCACTATCCCTATGTCAAGCTTTCTGCGACAAAAGTCGCAGGCTCGACAACAAGGTCCTCACTAGCCCAAAATAAAAAGGACCTATACCCTTGACAAAAACAATGTCCTCACTAGCCCAAATTAAAAAGTACCTATACCCTATCACTTTAAAAAAAAAAGTGTCCTGATTTTCAGTTGCATTAACCAATTGGACCAAAAAAACAAAACATTCGAAATTGACAATTTTATATTTTTAGAGTTACAGAAAAACAAAATTATTCCAAGGAAATTTTCTGGTAAAAGAGCTCATGGGCTCTAAAACCATTTGTTAAATTTATATTGCTCATCGAAAAGATTTTTTTAACCAGCTAAGTTTTACAATAAATTCACAAGATGTTTTATTGGTCTATATCACTTTTCAATAAATAATAGGATGAATCATGAAGTTCAATCTATAGATCGATACCAGGCTATTAATATATTAATACTAAAATAATCAATACATTGCCATGCTTTAAGTTTTATTCCAGAACGCTTATGATATAAAAATAAGATGTGGTATGATTGCCAATTAGACAACTATCCACCAGTATTCAAATGAAGTGGATGTGAGCAATTATAGGCCCCAAAAAGGCCTTCAACGATGAGGAAACCTCATACTGTATAGTCGTATTCTATCAGAAATGCCATTAAGAATATTTCTGTCTGATACTTACATTGCGAGAATCCTATGATAAAGACGACATAGATGATAAAAAATCTCAACAGATCTCCCTTCACCATTTTATATATCATCACAACAAAGGGGCCTAAGATCTTAAAACCTCTGAAAAAGAAAACAGAACATGACTTATGTATATTTAGAATTAACGGGCAATTTCCCTACACAACAGGTGCCACTAGTGGAGTAGGACCTTCTTACACTTCATGAGCATCTAAGTTCACACAAAAATGTTTGTGTAGTTCATGTTGCTTAATCTTAAATAATTTTCTGTGAAGTATTTTGTGGACTTGATTTTTCTTTTGGTCATGGTTCTGTCTGTCTTTTTAATTTTTCTTGATATTGTCCTTGATTTCATCAATTGATGAGAGGTTAAAGGCAGGATGGTGACCTCTAGATTTTAATTTGGTTTTAGGTTGCTGTCTTTTTGGTGTTCATCCACCATCTTCTTTTATTCACATAATTCATCTTTTAAAAAAAGTGTTTTTGCTTTATCAAAAATGGGTAGATTTTGACAATTGGGTCTCATCTTAAAGCAGAAAAGCCAATGTAAATGGAAAAACTTTAAGGGTGGTTTCTATGTTAATAGTCTTATTTGAGTTTATGAAATGAACTGTGCAGTTAATCCAATTGCCCTTTACCGAAGTTTTAAAGTAACTCATATAAATATGAAAAATATAAATACCTGCAAAAGAACAGAAAATAAGGAGCTGTTCCTAAAATAGCCAGAACAGCCACAACATCTTCATACTGTGTGGAACACGTTGCTCGTCCAGGGAGCATCATCACAACAAATACACAAGACAACAGGAACAACATCTTCATAGGTGCTCCACCCTGTATAGTAAAATACGACAATTGTTTGTTTCAGTTTATAAACAAAACTTTATACATATTAGTATAATCTCGTGTTGGTCAATGAGTGCTTTAAATGTAAGATAAAGGACTTAAACAACAAATAAGGGAGAGAACTCTTTTAAATTAGTAAAACATTTTAATAGCATTCTGTTGTTTAAACATGTTACGGACTGACTAAAATTTTCAGAGCAGGTGAGATTCACTGCTGTAGTGGTTTTTTTTTTTAACAAATTTGGAAATTAACCTAACTCAAATGAAACAAAAGCATTCAGAAAAAGTGAGCCATGGTAAAGTAGAATTAAAAAAGAATATTTATTCCATCAACTTTGGAACCTTGGAGGTAATTATGACCATGACAGTGCATTATTGATTCAAATAAATAAATAAATAAACAGCAGGGAACAAATTCTGCCAGAATTATCTATAAATTCTACTTATATTTGATTTAATTCTGTTCACATCAAACTCACCAAAGTTGTGAAAAATATAGTGAATCCCTGATGGTAAATTTCCTTCATAGCTAAACATAGATACATAATGGACGCTAGCAGGACAATTATTTCTAATGCCCATCGTACCTAAAAGTAAACAAAATAAGTTAAAGCCTACTGCTAGTTGTGTTTTGATGTATTCAGAGTATACTTTCTTTAAAAATTGGGGTGCCTTCAAGTTAGAAATAAAAATAAGAGTCAAACCCTGAGATATCTCACCGCCCTTCTGATCATGATTGGATTTTTTGTTGAAAGTCTTTCAGACCAAGGTTTTACTACAAGTTTCTCCTAACTTTAACATTATCAATGATCCATACAAGAGTGCACACGCTGAAATGTCTCGCCTTCTTTACTCATCATTGATATTATGTTGATAGTCCTAAATATAAAGCTTTATTACAACTGTCACATAAACTTAACATTAACCAAGAAAACTAAACATTGACCAATGAACCATGAAAATGAGTTCAAGGTCAGATAAACCATGCCAGGCAGACATGTACAGTTAACAATTCTTCCATATAACAAATATAGTTGACCTATTGCTTATAGTATTAGAAAAAAAGATCAAAACTCAAAAACTTAACTTTGACCACTCAACCATGAAAACAAGGTCAAGGTCAGATGACACCCGCCAGCTAGACATGTACACCTTACAATCATTCCATACACCAAATAAAGTACACCTATTGCATACAGTATAAGAAAAACAGACCGAAACACAAAAACTTAACTATAACCACTGAACCATGAAAATGAGGTCAAGGTCAGATGACACCTGCCAGTTGGACATGTACACCTTACAGTCCTTCCATACACCGAATATACTAGACCTATTGCTTATAGTATCTGAGATATGGACTTGACCACCAAAACTTAACCTTGTTCACTGATCCATGAAATGAGGTCGAGGTCAAGTGAAAACTGTCTGACGGGCATGAGGACCTTGCAAGGTACGCACATACCAAATATAGTTATCCTACTACTTATAATAAGAGAGAATTTAACATTGCAAAAAATGTTAACTTTTTTTCAAGTAGTCACTGAACCATGAAAATGAGGTCAAGGACATTGGTCATGTGACTGACGGAAACTTCGTAACATGAGGCACCCATATACAAAGTATGAAGCAATCAGGTCTTGCACCTTCTAAAATATAAAGCTTTTAAGAAGTTAGCTAATGCTGCCGCCGCCGCCGGATCACTATCCCTATGTCGAGCCTTCTGCGACAAAAGTCGCAAGCTCGACAAAAAATTAGGTCAAGGTAAGATCTACATGTAAACCTTACAATAATTCCATACACCAAATATAGTTGACTTATTGCTCATAGTATCTAAAATAAACAGACCATGAAAACTTAATGTTGACCCAATGACCCTCAAAACTCAAGGTTGACTTAATCATTGAATCTGATTTTTTGCAAGTATACTTCACTGAATGGAAAGATGCATATTTAACTAAATTTCTTTACCACATACAAGACAGTAAACATGTTTTACTTTAATAGAAATGGACAAATGATAGTTTGTACTTCATATTTTGAGATTATATTCATGAAAAGTTGATTTAGAGCCAAACAAAAATGTGTCCATAGTACATGGATGCCGCACTCGCACTATTATTTCTATGTTCTGTGGACAGTGAAATTCGGGTCAAAACTCTAATTTGGCATTAAAATAAGAAAGATCATATCATAGGGAACATGTGTACTAAGTTTCAAGTTGATTGGACTACAACTTCATCAAAAATTACCTTGACCAAAAACTTTAACCTGAAGCGGGACAGATGGACGGACAGACGAACAAACGGACATATAGACCAGAAAACATAATGCCCCTACTACTATCGTAGGTGGGGGCATAAAAACCCTGTCCTCATTTTGTGTAGAATCAAATACAGGTAAAAACAATTTATCTGATAACCATATGGCCTACCTTGTCATTAGTATCACAAGCTTTGAGGAGGAAGCATGGATCTGCCGGAGCATTGGTCGTATTAATCATACCGTTTCCTGTCAGGTTAAATGTTTGTACGGTACCAGGACATTTATCTTCTCCTGGTCTCAAAGCAAAAGCCACAAGAAAGATGATGAAGTAGGTGATGAAAGCCAGAAATCTTCGATAAAATCTAAAACAAAAAACAGGTTAAATCAAATGTGCTCAAAGATCAAAAGTTACAAATTATCTAAAAATTTCAAACCATTTACATACTGATATGTTGCTGTTAAATAAAAGAGATGCTCAAAATTATTTCATCTCATTTTTCTACCTCTTGTTGATCGAAAGATGGCTTGTATAAAAGGCAACATTAGCTCACTATTTGTGAAGTGTTAATGTTTTGGTACTATTAAAACATCTTTTTAAAAACCTTTAAAGACAAATTTCCTGAATACTGAAAATGAAATCCACTTTTTAAAAATGAAAACCTAATTAAGTTTTACTTAAAAAACCAACTCATTTTTATACGACCGCAAAAAATGTTTGCGGTCGTATATTGGTATGACGTTGGCGATCGTCCGAAGACACATTGGTTTTCGCACAATAACTTTAGTTTAAGTGAATGGATCTCTATGAAATTTTACCATAAGGTTCAATACCACAAAAGGAAGGTTGGGATTGATTTTGGGGGTTATGGTACCAACAGTTAAGGAATTAGGGTCCAAAAAGGGGCCAAAAAGAAGCATTTTTGTAACTTCCAGCTGGAATTGAGTTTGGGGGTAATTGCCCAAAACATTTAGGAATAAGGGGCCAAAAAGGGGCTAAAAATAAACATTTTTCTAGTTTCCAGACAATTACTTGTGTTCAAGTGTATGGATCTCTCTGAAATTGTACTGCAAGGTACCATACCACAAAGGGAAGGCTGGGATTGATTTTGGGGGTAATTGCCTCAAAATATTAGGAATTAGGGGCCAAAAAGGGGCAAAAAACAAGCATTTTTCTAGTTTCAGGACAATAACTTGTGTGTAAGTGTATGGATCTTTATGAAATTGTACTACAAGGTTCCATTTCGCAAAGGGAAAGCTGGGTTTAAGTTTGGGGGTAATTGCCCTAAACGTTTAGGAATTTGGGCCAAAAAGGGGCCAAAAAACAAGCATTTTTACAGTTTCCAGACAATAACTTGTGTTCAAGTGTATGGATCTCTCTGAAATTGTACTGCAAGGTACCATACCACAAAGGGAAGGCTGGGATTGAGTTTGGGGGTGATGAATCATAAGGGGGTTCAAAAAATTGGGGGGGATTTTTTTTTCTTTTTTTTTTTTTTCATTTTTTTCCTTTTTTTTTTTTCTTTAAAATTTTCCATTTTTAAGTTGGTTATTTTTTATTTAAATATAAAAGCAAATAATAATGATATGGTTTGATTTCATCAAAAATTGAAATATTGGGGTTCTTTGATATGCTGAACTTAACCGTGTATTTAGATTCTTAATTTTTGGTCCCGTTTTCAAATTGGTCTACATTAAGGTCCAAAGGGTCCAAAATTAAACTTAGTTTGATTTTAACAAAAATTGAATTCTTGGGGTTCTTTGATATGCTGAATCTAACCGTGTATGTATTTAGATTTTGGATATTGGACCATAATAGGTAAATTGAAAATTTTTAAGTTCTTAGACCACATTCATTCCGTGTCAGAAACCTATGCTGTGTCAAATATTTAATCACAATCCAAATTCAGAGCTGAATCAAGCTTGAATGTTGTGTCCATACTTGCTCCAACTATTCAGGGTTCAACCTCTGCGGTCGTATCAAGCTGCGCTCAGCGGAGCATTTTTTTTTTTAGCAAAGGCAATGCTGGATGGATAGCTAAAAAGAGAAGAGGGATTTTCTTAATGGAAGTTCTTACATATACTGAATTAACTGTATGATAAGATGTGAACCCTTCTTTTGTTTGATTTGAAAAAGGTTCTATGAAAATTTGGTTTGCAAATGGATTCTGACCCTTGAACTATGACATACCTGAACCTTGCAAATGTAACCCATTTTTCCTTGAGTAAGTTAACAACCAAACCATCCATCATACTCAGATGGTTCTCTTGCTCCTGTAAATACATAAACACCATGATTCATATATTTTTTCTATGGAAATTGTTTTATTTGTGTGGCAACAACTTTCAAATTTACATGATATAGTTTTGCTTAACAGCTCCATATCATTTGGAAATAGTCAACAACTAAATATTTCTGTAATAAAAAATACCCTCAGCAGACATCATAATTATCTGGACTGAGTAAGACAGGTTCTATACCAAAAAATACCCTCAGAAGACATCATGATTATCTGGACTGAGTTAGACAGGTTCTATAACAAAAAATACCCTCAGAAAACATCATGATTATCTGGACTGAGTTAGACAGGTTCTATAACAAAAAATACCCTCAGAAGACATCATGACTATCTGGACTGAGTTAGACAGGTTCTATAACAAAAAATATCCTCAGCAGACATGATTATCTGGACTGAGTTAGACAGGTTCTATAACAAAAACTATCCTCAGCAGACATCATGATTATCTGGACTGAGTTAGACAGGTTCTATTACAAAAAAATACCCTCAGCAGACATGATTATCTGGACTGAGTTAGACAGGTTCTATAACAAACAATACCTTCAGCAGACATCATGACTATCTGGACTGAGTTAGACAGGTTCTATAACAAAATATACCCTCAGCAGACATCATGATTATCTGGACTGAGTTAGACAGGTTCTATAACAAATAAATGGGGAATGTGTCCATGGGACACAGATAATACCCCAGCTTGCATATAACGTTATAAAGGGACATAACTCAAGAACTGTAAAAGTGACGCTACCCAAATTTGCACTTGATCTGAGTTTTGAGGTAATAAGTATCGTGTATAAGTTTCATAACATTTGGTTGAGGCAAACTGAAGTTAGAGAACGGAAACGAAAAATTCAGCAATTTTTCCATTTGCAAAGGGGCAGAACTCTAGAACGGTAAAAGTGACGACACCAAAATTCACACTTGATCTGTGTTTTGTGGTAATAAGCATTGTGTATAAGTTTCATAATATTTGGTTGAGGCAAACTTAAGTTAGAGAACAGAAACGAAAAATCAAGCAATTTTTCCATTTAAAAGGCGCAGAACTCTAGAACGATAAAAGTGACGCCACACAAATGCAAACAAGACCTGTGTTTTGTGTTAATTAGCATTGTGTATAAGTTTCATAACATTTGGTTGAGGCAAACTAAAGTTAGAGAACGGAAACCAATTTTGGGACGTACAGACGGACGGACGTACGTACAGACAGATAAGGGTAAAACTTAATGCCCCCTCCGCTAAGGCGGGGGCATAAAAATACCCTCAGCAGACATCATGACTATCTGGACTGAGTTAGACAAGTTCTATAACAAAATAAAATGCTTCGCTGAGCGCAGCCTGATACGACCGCAGAGGTCGAACCCTGAACAGTTTGGGCAAATTTCGACACAATATTCAAGCTTGATACTGTCTGAATTTGGATTGTGATCAAATTTTTGACATAATATAGGTTTCTGACACAAAATAAATGTGGTCAAAGATCTTACAAATCTATTGCGCAATACTGTGCAATTGAAGATTTCTTCTTGAAACTTTTCAAAAATTCTAAATTTGAAAAATTTTGAAAAAAAATATGAATCCCTTAATAAAATTGGGAAAAAAAATCCCCCCCCCCAACTTTTTGAAACCCCCCTTGGAGCAGTAACCCCAAAAATCAATCCCAGCCTTTCCTTTGTGGTATGGAACATTGTAGTACAATTTCAGAGAGATCCATACACTTAAACACAAGTTATTGTCTGGAAACTAGAAAAATGCTTGTTTTTGGCCCTTAATTCCTAAACTGTTGGCCCCATAACCTCTAAAATGAATCCCAACCTTCTACTTGTGGTATTAAACATTGTGGTACAATTTCAGAGCAGTCGAAATACTTATACACAAGTTATTATCCTGAAACTAGAAAAATGCTTGTTTTGGGCCCCTTTTTCCTAAACGGTTGGGACCATCATCCCCAAAATCAATCCCAACCTTCCTTTTGTGGTATTGAACCTTCTTAAAAAATTTCATAGAGATCCATTCACTAAAACTAAAGTTATTGTCCTGAAACCAATGTGTCTTCGGACTACGGCACAGACGACGAAGACGACATCATACCATTATACGATCCCAAAAAATTGTTCGCGGTCATATAAAAATACCCTCAGCAGACATCATGATTATCTGGACAAAGTAGACAGGTTCTTTAACAAACAATACCCTCAGCAGACATGATTATGTGGACTGAGTTAGACAGGTTCTATAACAAAAAATACCCTCAGAAGACATCATGATTATCTGGACTGAGTTAGACAGGTTCTATAACAAAAAATACCCTCAGAAGACATCATGATTATCTGGACTGAGTTAGACAGGTTCTATAACAAAAAATACCCTCAGAAGACATCATGATTATCTGGACTGAGTTAGACAGGTTCTATAACAAAAAATATCCTCAGAACACATCATGATTATCTGGACTGAGTTAGAAGGGTTCTATAACAAATAATACCCTCGGAACACATCATGATTATCTGGACTGAGTTAGACAGGTTCTATAACAAAAAATATCCTCAGCAGACATGATTATCTGGACTGAGTAAGACAGGTTCTATAACAAAAAAATACCCTCAGAAGACATCATGATTATCTGGACTGAGTTAGACGGGTTCTATAACAAATAATACCCTTGGAACACATCATGATTATCTGGACTGAGTTAGACAGGTTTTATAACAAAAAATACCCTCAGAAGACATCATGATTATCTGGACTGAGTTAGACGGGTTCTATAACAAATAATACCCTTGGAACACATCATGATTATCTGGACTGAGTTAGACAGGTTTTATAACAAAAAATACCCTCAGAAGACATCATGATTATCTGGACTGAGTTAGACAGGTTCTATAACAAAAAATACCCTCAGAAGACATCATGACTATCTGGACTGAGTTAGACAGGTTCTATAACAAAAAATACCCTCAGAAGACATCATGACTATCTGGACTGAGTTAGACAGGTTCTATAACAAAAAATACCCTCAGAAGACATCATGACTATCTGGACTGAGTTAGACAGGTTCTATAACAAAAAATACCCTCAGAAGACATCATGACTATCTGGACTGAGTTAGACAGGTTCTATAACAAAAAATACCCTCAGAAGACATCATGATTATCTGGACTGAGTTAGACAGGTTCTATAACAAAAAATACCCTCAGAAGACATCATGACTATCTGGACTGAGTTAGACAGGTTCTATAACAAAAAATACCCTCAGAAGACATCATGACTATCTGGACTGAGTTAGACAGGTTCTATAACAAAAAATACCCTCAGAAGACATCATGACTATCTGGACTGAGTTAGACAGGTTCTATAACAAAAAATACCCTCAGAAGACATCATGATTATCTGGACTGAGTTAGACAGGTTTCACTGAAATCACCTTTTTCTGAGATTATCTCTAAATATACAATTCAGCATAAAACAGTATTTTTTGTATTACCTCCATTATTTCTAAAGTAATGTAAATTCAGAAATTATTGCAAGGTTTTTATTAATGCAAATAATGCCACTTGGTGGTTATTGCAATAATAACTCGCATTCTGATATCTGATACATATATCTGTATGGAGATATTTCTGAAATCTCACATTTTTGTCCATTCATCAAAAATCACAATAATAAATGCAGGCAATAATTTCTGAATTTATAGTATCTATTTAAGTGGACACTTACCCTTATACAACAAAACTTATTGTTTCACATAATTTTGTTATGTGGGAGTCGTTTACATATTACTTTATGATAAGGGTTTTGATCTTTGTTGAAGGCTGTATGGTGACCTGTAGTTCTCTCCATCCTCGGCCCTCAGCCTTTGGTGTATAGCTGTTTCATTGGCAAATACACAACATCTCCCTTTTTCTATACCAACATAGAATATCCACTTCTAACTTCTGTCTTTGAAATGGTGTCTACCTATTTAAATGGGCATTCATCCCATCTACAATTAAGCTAACCACAGAACCTTTATTACTCTTTCCTGTTTATGAGATGGCATCTTATCTATTAAATTTGATTTGTATCCAATAAACCACTTAAATTAAAACCGAATCTCTATTGACCTCTCCTGTTTCTGAGATGGTGTCAATATATTTCAGAGGTCACTTACCCCATAAACCACTAAACTTAAAACTGAATCTTTATTGATCTCTCCAGTTTCTGAGATGGTGTCTATGTATTTGAGTGGATAACCAGCACAAGTTACATTGCCATATATCCACATCACAGCTCTTACTTTCTCTAAGATATGCTCATACATCTGCAAAACATCATTCAAGTTTTAACAATATGCTTTCAACTTAAATAGATATGAAGTTTTGTAAAAGTATTATTAATAACTATGCATTCAAAATATCATATTTTCAAAAAGTGCCATGTTCTTCAAAATAGATAAGTTAATATTTGCAGGTAAGTTAAAAAAAAGTTTATTAATGAATTAAGTAATACAAGTTGAACTGCTAGCAATTGTTTACTGATGATACCCTAGCTTTAAGTTTTCAGCAAACAGGAAGTTGAAAAGCAATGGATTTAAAAAGGCATCACAGGGAAAAGTATACTCACATGAAAATTGAATCCCAATTTAAGAAAGCTCTGATTTCTAGTTTCTTGGAAAAATGTGATTTTATAATACATGGCCTTTAAGGGTGAGAATATATATGATTAACCAGGAGTTGAAGAGCAATGAATCTGAAAATGGATCACACATGCTCATTGAAAATATTATGCCAAATTTAGAAAGCTATGATTTGTAGTTTCTGAGAAAAATGACAAAAGTTTTATGGGTCAGATGGACGGACAGAAACCACTTAACCTTTGGAGCAGAGGTAGAATTAGTTATGATTTTTCGTTAGTCTCTATCTGAAAGCAGACTGTTTTAGGCATCCTACTTCAGTTTTTGGAGACTGTGTGATGTCCTATAACTTGGTATGGAAATGCATCAACAACTTCCTTTCAAAAGTTGGTCACTTGGAATATTTTCATCCAAAATGCAAAATATCAAGTACCTTTAGTTTACTCCATTTATGATGAGCAAAAACAACAATTTGCTGCAGTGCTATTGACATGTATGTCCAATTCATTCTTGCAGCTAGAATACGGGGATTTAATACTTATGGATACTTGAAAATAAATTTCCTATAAGATTTAAAATTGGGATAAACAGAACAAGAGGCTGTCAGAGTGACAGCAAACCGGATTTTCCTGCAGAGGTCAAACACTGCACAGTTGAGCAAGTATGGATACAACATTTAAGCGTATAACAGTTCTGAATTTGGATTGTGATTGAATATTTGACACAGCATAGGTTTTTGACCCAAAATGAATGTAGTCAAAGAACTGAAAAATTTGAAATTAGACATTTACCTATTATGGTTCAATATTCAAAATCTAAGTATATTGTAAGAATTAGCATATCAAAGAACCCCAAGAATTAAATTTTTTATGAAATACTCATTTCTGTTTAAAGGGAAATAACTCAAAATTCATATAATAACTCAAATTCATATAATCAACAAGAAATGATTGCAACAGGATGCTGTTACGAAGTCTCCCAAACAAAGCTCCCATAATTCGTAATTCCCAGGGTCGCTTGACATTGGGCAACGTCCAGTGAAAATTGGTTTGGTCAAGTAAAGTTATATGCATAAGTGATGCCTGGGGACTAACCTTGTATATCATTCAAATCATCTTGGCATGACAAACCAGAATATATATGGTTTAGGGGTGGGGATCTCGACCATTTACAAGATACTAGAACATTAGGGGTGGGGAGGAACCCCTGGGGACTGACCCTATATGTCATTCAAATGTTCATTACATGACGAACAGGAATATATATGGTTTAGGGGTGGGGATCTCAACCATTTACAAGATATTAGAACATTGGGGGTGGGGGGAACCCCTGGGGACTGACCATATACGTAATTCAAATGTTCGAGACATGACAAATAGGAATATATATGGTTTAGGGGTGGGGATCTCAACCATTTACAAGATATTAGAACTTTCTCAAATGGCAGGGGGTAGGGATGACCCCTGGGGACTAACCCTGTATATCATTCAAACCATCTTCGCATAACAAACCAGAATATATATGGTTTAGGGGTGGGGATCTTGACCACTTAGAAGATATTGGAACTTTCTTAAATGGCAGGGGGTGGGGGTGACCCCTGGGGACTAACCCTGTATTTCATTTGATGTGCTTTATCATGACAAACCAGAATATATATGGTTTAGGGGTGGGGATCTCGACCATTTACAAGATATTAGAACTTTCTCAAATGGCAGGGGGTCGGGATGACCCCTGGGGACTAACCCTGTATATCATTCAAACCATCTTAGCATGACAAACCAGAATATATATGGTTTAGGGGTGGGGATCTTGACCACTTAGAAGATATTAGAACTTTCTTAAATGGCAGGGGGTGGGGGTGACCCCTGGGGACTAACCCTGTATTACATTTGATGTGCTTTATCATGACAAACCAGAATATATATGGTTTAGGGGTGGGGATCTCGACCATTTACAAGATATAAGAACTTTCTCAAATGGCAGGGGGTCGGGATGACCCCAGGGGACTAACCCTGTATATCAATCAAACCATCTTAGCATAACAAACCAAAATATATATGGTTTAGGGGTGGGGATCTTGACCACTTTCAAGGTATTAGAACTTTCTTAAATGGCAGGTGGTGGGGGTGGCCCCTGGGGACTAACCCTGTATTTCATTTAATGGGCTTTATCATTTAGAACATTTTCAATTAAAAAGATTGTGTCTATCACAAACGGTTTTCAATTTATAATCATTTGAAAATTTAAAAAAATAAAATCCCATAGGGTTCTAAAGTAAAACCCTCTTTTCTTTTTGCCCCTCAAAATACCCCTTTATAAACCCCATTGCACAAACAAAACCCTGATTGCACCACTAGACATGTTAGTCTAACATATTGTGAAACCCTAAGTTAATCTGACAAGCGGTTTTGGAGAACGGGTGCGGACAAGTTCAAATTTAAAAGCGGCGGAAGAGGAAGAAGAAGAAGAAGAAGAAGAAGAATAATAATAATAATAATAATAATAATAAGAACTGAGCAAAAACAATAAGTCTTCCCAAACTTCGTTTGGGAGACTTAATAATCATAATAAACAACCAGTGATGACTAAATACTCTAAAATTAGATATGATGCAATCACTAAAATATTGTTAGAATCAGCATATCAAAGAACCCCAATTTTTGATGAAATTAAACAAAAGGACCTCAATGTGATATTATCTAATCAATAATGAAAATAAATACAGGTTTAGATTCAGCATTTCAAAGAACCCTATATATTTTCAATTTATGTTGAAGTCAAACACAGTTTAATTGCAGGGCTCACGCTACCAGGCGACTAGGGCGAAGAAGTCGCTTTCCTGTCCGTCACTTCGCTTTGCCCGACCCTCAAAAGTGAAAACAAGTCGCCCTGTGGTTTACGATACTCGCTTCCAGTCGCTTTCGTCATCGGCAATATTCAATTTTTACCAAGACGATGAAACAGCAATTTTTCATTTAAAAGTAAAGAAATTCAAGGCATAAACGATTTATTTTCTTTATGTCCAAGCTTAACTGTTAAATTTATATATCTTTTTAATGAGAAATACTCAGTTTCATGAACATGACAACAGAGAAGTTTTTTAATTGATATAACAATTTTCTTTTCCTTTTTGATATAAAAAAAAATCTTTTTTATTAGTGCCAGATATTTAATTGTTTTTTCTGAAAAGAGGACGCATATGATTGTACAACTAGATATGATAAAATTAAACATATCAAATTTGAACAGTTACTTTAATTGTTTACCCAAGTTCAAATTGAACAATATAAAAAATGGCCCTTAATGTATTATAGTAAAAACCAAACATTGTAGCGCCGCGAGCGAACAAGCACTTCTCTTTCAAATCTCATCACTTCTACCTCTCAATTTCAAAAAGAGAAGTCACTTCTCCCTATGATTCTGAAGTAGTGTGAGCCCTGTAACTGTGGACCCCATTTGGACCAAATTGAAAACTGGGCCCAAAATCAGAAATCTAAATATATGTTTATTAATAAACAATATAAGCTTAGTTTTTAAAGGAGTTTACTTCAACAAAAAAATATATAAAGCATTCAGAAAATTAGTTTTTACAGAATAACAAACAAACCTACCACAAAATTCTTCAAACAATTTACCAAAGAAAAGAAAAAATATATATAGCATTCAGAAAATTAGTTTTTACATAATAACAAACAAACCTACCACAAAATTCTTCAAACAATTTACCAAAGAAAAGAAAAAAAAAATCAAAATTTTATTTTTCATTGGTATAATGTCTTTTAAAAATCTATAAAACTTATCTGTAATTATCTTCAAAATGTCTTATAATGAACAGTAAATTTCCAATTTTATTTATACAGTCCTATATACATGTAGCTTATAATCATCAACACTTAAAAAACAGAAAATTTTCAAATAAATCAGTCAATCCAATTACAATTGTGTGAGACATTTACCAGATGCTCTTATCTATCAACAGGTGAAAATTAGTCATGTTAGTGTAATCAAACTTTATATATATAATTAACCATTTCTGTTCAAAGAGAAATAACTCAATCACATTAAAAATACCTCTTTTGGATATTAAAAAGAGCAATAACTCAAGAAGGAGAAAAGCTAAAATCGTGAAAATTGAACTTGACCTTCATTAAGTCACAGGTAACAACACATCTAAATTTGAAAAAATTTGTCCAAGCGTTTTCATGTTATTGAGGAGACACTGTTTGGCAGCCGCCCGCCCGCCCGCCTGCCGTACATCCCCAAATCAATAACGGATATTTCCTTCGGAAATCCGGTTAATAAAACACTTGACTATATCTGAAAACTTACTTCTTTTCTTGGAAGTTTTGCAGACAAAGTAAGGGGGGTTAATCCTTGTCTATTCTTTATATCAAGCTTTCCACCCATATTTAGTAACAAGTCAAACATTTCCTGGAAAAAATCAAAATTCAGAAATTAGCAAAAGAACATAATTATGAAACTTTTACATCCTATATTTATAAATTTTGTTAATTCTTTAAAAAATTGACATTAGTATAACTAAGGTTTGTGAGTATTCTATCTTTATATCTTATCTATCAGCATAAACTACATTTTTCAATTAGCCAATAAATTTGACTTTACATAAATATTATATATTTTCTAACAACTATATACGTATTTTTTGTTATAGTTTAAATGCATTTTTTATGAGAATCAATAAGTTACATAAATATTGGTAGCAAATGCATTAAGATTTTAACATGTTACTGTAGTAAATACATTTATCTTAAAAGAAATTGTGAATACACAGTTTTCGTGTGTTGCTAGATTCAAACCTTACAAAAAAGTGCTTTAAAATAAGTAAAGCTATATATTCATATTCATCAACAACAAAAAAAAAAGGTAAGTGGGCATAGAATTTTAAATTGTACAAATATAAATGAAGCAATTAAATTACCCAAACCTTTGGCCCCAAATACCAGTAGTTAAAGCAGTTCAAAGCAGCCTCATGTAATTTAATACCAAAATCTCAACTGATATAAATAAGAAGATGTGGTATGAGTGCCAATGAGTCAACTCTCCATCCAAGTCACAATGTATAAAAAGTTAACAATTACAGGTCAAAGTACGGCCTTCAACACAAAGCCTTGGTTCACTACGAACAGCAAGCTATAAAGGGTTCCAAAATGATTAGTGTAAAACAATTCAATCAGGAAAACAAATGGTCTAATCTATATAAAAAAAGAGAAACGAGAAACACCTATGGACCACACCAACAAACGACAACCACTGAACAACAGGCTCCGCTCTTGAAATATATTGGTGGCCTTGAATCATCTTGGGGCTTAAATATTTAATTATCGAACTTATTATTTCAGTAACACAATGCAATGAGCAGATTGTCATCATGGAAGTCTTAAGGGTGATATATACTTGCATTGCAGTCCAAACTTATTACCCTTATAATTATAATTTCAGTTTTCTGTTTATTTTTGGAAATTTGATGATAAAAGCATTCTGGTTTTCTCTAAAAACAACCTCTTATTAAATTTACAAACCATCAGAACTAGAACAAGTAGGATATACAGTGTTCTATTGCAAAGAACTTTGTTAAGTTTTTCTTTCATGTATAAGGAAGAAATTCCATCTCCCTATTATTTTAGAAGGATAAAATAGTCTCCAAATCTTCAAAAAGAGAAATTCAGTCTCCTTGACATATCAGTATTATCTGTTGAAAAAGTAGTCTCCAAATCATACAAGGAGAAATACAGTTTCCTTGACATGTTTAGTTAGTGTTGTTTTTAATCTCCTTCAAAAGTCTCATGAAATTAAGTTCCTCTATCGTATCTGAAGGAGAAGTTTAGTTTCCCTACCAAATATAAAGGAGGAATCAAGTCTCCTTATCAAACCTGAAGAGAAGTCTAGCCTCATCCGATCTGTAGAAGAAATTAAGTCTCCCTATCATATGAGGAGAAGTCTAGTCTCCTTATCCTATTTGAAGGAGAAATCAATTCTCCCTTTCATATTTGAAGGAAAAATCTATTCTCTTTGACAGTTCTGATGAAGTTTTGTTTTCCAATCATATCTGAAGGTGCCCTTTATAACTAAGACAACCTGAAGAAGACCTTTACAACTAAGACAACCCGAAGGAGACCTTTACAACTAAGACAACCTGAAGGAGGCCTTTTCAACTATGACAACTCCAAGGAGACCTTAACAACTAAGACAACCGCAAGGAGAAACTTTACAACTAAGACAACCCGAAGGAGACCTTTACAACTAAAACAACCCGAAAGGAGACCTTTACAACTAAGCAACTCGAAGGAGACCTTTACAACTAAGATAACCCAAAGAAGACCTTTACAACTAAGACAACCCGAAGGAGACCTTAACAACTAAGACAACCGTAAGGAGAAACTTTACAACTAAGACAACCCGAAGGAGACCTTTACAACTAAAACAACCCGAAAGGAGACCTTTACAACTAAGCAACTCGAAGGAGACCTTTACAACTAAGACAACCCGAAGGAGACCTTTACAACTAAGACAACCTGAAGGAGATGTTTATAACTAAGACAACCTGAAGGAGATGTTTATAACTAAGACAACGTGAAGAAGACCTTTACAACTAAGACAACCTGCAGACATATATAACTAAGACAACCGGAAGGAGACCTTTACAACTAAGACAACCGGAAGGCGACCTTTATAACTAAGACAACCTGAAGGAGACGTTTATAACTAAGACAACCTGAGGGATACCTTTACAACTAAGACAACCTGAAGAAGAAGTTTATAACTAAGAAAACCGGAAGGAGACGTTTATAACTAAGACAACCGGAAGGAGACGTTTATAACTAAGACAATCCGAAGGAGACGTTTATAACTAAGACAACCGGAAGGAGACGTTTATAACTAAGACAACCGGAAGGAGACGTTTATAACTAAGACAACCGGAAGGAGACCTTTATAACTAAGACAACCTGAAGGAGACCTTTATAACTAAGACAACCTGAAGGAGAGGTTTATAACTAAGACAACCTGAAGGAGACCTTTACAACTAAGACAACCTGAAGGAGACCTTTACAACTAAGACAACCTGAAGGAGACCTTTATAACTAAGACAACCAGAAGGAGACCTTTATAACTAAGACAACCGGAAGGAGACGTTTATAACTAAGACAACTGGAAGGAGACGTTTATAACTAAGACAACCTGAAGGAGATGTTTAAAACTAAGACAACTGGAAGGAGACGTTTATAATTAAGACAACCGGAAGGAGACCTTTATAACTATGACAACTCGAAGGAGACGTTTATAACTAAGACAACCGGAAGGAGATGTTTATAACTAAGACAACCAGAAGAAGACGTTTATAACTAAGACAACCGGAAGGAGACATTTATAACTAAGACAACCTGAAGGAGACGTTTATAACTAAGACAACTGGAAGGAGACGTTTATAACTAAGACAACCTGAAGGAGATGTTTAAAACTAAGACAACCGGAAGGAGACGTTTATAATTAAGACAACTGGAAGGAGACCTTTATAACTAAGACAACTCGAAGGAGACGTTTATAACTAAGACAACCAGAAGGAGACGTTTATAACTAAGACAACCGAAAGAAGACGTTTATAACTAAGACAACCGGAAGGAGATGTTTATAACTAAGACAACCTGAAGGAGACGTTTATAACTAAGACAACCGGAAGGAGACGTTTATAACTAAGACAACCTGAAGGAGACGTTTATAACTAAGACAACCGGAAGGAGACCTTTATACTAAGACAACCACTTACATGGACAGGTTTAACTGTATTAACACATAACAATTAAATATTGTGAGTTGAGCTACAGAAAAACAATCAATTAACCAATCATGATATATTTAATTTACATTACAAAATTTAAAAAAAAAAAAAAGAGAATAGCTGACTGCATATCCCTGAATTCAGATAATATCAGTAACATCCCTATCTTTTCAGACAACAACAGATATATAACACAAAAACATGCAGTACACAAATAAAATTGAGCTCGATATTTTTTGGTAAAACAAAAAACATAAATATGAAATAATATTCTAGCAAGATAGTATACATATTTCTGTTAACCAAGCAAAGCAATAATACATAATGTGATCTGATTCATGGCCACATTAGTGATTACCATCACCTTGTAACATAGCTAGGCATGACACACATATATGTCATATAATTACACACATACTATGCACTTATCAATTAACGTGTTCAGAAACACATACATACTGAATATCATACTTGTTCAACTTTCAATTTTTGATCTACAGACAAAAGAAAACTTAGTCCTTATGAGTGAACTTGTCCAAAGTACACAGTAATTTCATTGGTATTCATCATACATCTGATTAGTCTTTCATAAGTCTACTAAGTTTTCTATTGTAATTTTGAACTTGTCACTCTAGGATGACATGGTGTTTCATTCAATAAAATACACCTAGTTTTTAAAGAAACATTTTCACATGCTCAAAGAAATTTGATAAGTGCATAAGTGACATAAAAATATTGTCTGCTAACCTTCTTCTGTGCATGCTGTAATCCAAGCAAGTTGCAATTAAAGATGTTATATCATTATTGGAAGTATACAATAATTACAACACCAAAATTACTAGTACAATTATACGATTTTCATACTTTTATTGTCTGCGAAAAAATTTATCCTAATACTGACGAATTTTTTAAACTCATTAACAGTTTTGAAGATATCGCTGAAAATAATTATAACTTAAAAACCCAGGTCCTCAATGATATACTGAGGATCTATTTTTAACCAGTAAATATCAAACATCTTTTCTTTTTGCCAAACTAGTAATTTTTTGTTGTGGATATTTGAAAGAAAAAAAATATAAGACTTGAAATGCTCCAACATTTTACAACCCTTTTGCAACAGGTCTATTGTGATTTAATTTTGATAAAAGGAATGGTTGAAAAAATGGACTTTCCTTGAAATCTCTATAACTTAAGATTGCTTTATTCAAGACTAGGAAATATTATAACAACTTAACTTCGAAGGCAAATAAATAAATTGATTTCTGCACATACTAGTCATTTCAAGGAAACCATCTTCTGAAAAAAGATCCTTATTGGAATGATATCAAACTTGGTATGATTGTTTTGATAGGAAAAGAACAAACTATAAAATTCTTTCATGGTGAAAATAGGTTATTAAACTCTTTTTCTGTAAAATAACTGACAATGTTCTTTCTTGTATTTTATCTTATAATTTTCTTTTAAAAATACCTCCTCATCCTCATTGTAATTTAACGGCCATGTCTTTTACTAAATCAACAAGACCAGTTGCAGAAAAAAAGTATAATGTTGGATTATGTCCATTTCAAAATCACCATAAAAAAATATCTGCTTATAATTCTTTGGCAAAGATATACACATGAGAGCACACTCTTGTAATCTTGTAACCTACCGTTAAAGGTGCACCACTAGACTAAATAGAGAATTCCATTTTAAATGTAAGTATACATAAAACTATATAAGATTTTAAAGAGCTTGATTAAAACTTACAAATACTAGGGGAAAAATGGCTAATTCAAAATTTTAAATGTATATCAAGTATTAACTGAGAGTGCATAAAATTACTACATGTATAAAGACAAATTGTTATTGTGGTATATATGTGAGTGAATTTGTAAAATCAGAGATTTTGTAAAATTCCTTAAAATTTCAGGAGTTTTGTAAATTCACTGAACTGAATAGTGAATTTATAAAATCCCTGAATTTAACGAGGGATTTTACAAAATTACTGAAATAATTAAGTTTTTTTTACAGATTCACAGATTTAATTCAGGGAATTTGTTAAATAATCAATCTTTTTGTTTAAACAATTTATTGAAAAAAGACAAAATCCTACAGCAGTACAAGCAAACTGAACAAGTTTGGGTTATGTTGTCTCATCTAATTAATACAAGGTTTGCAGTTTTAATTAACTGGGGTAAAATGTAATACATGTATATGGAAACAGGACACATAGGAGAAAATTGTGGAACACATATTGATAAAGACCCACAAAAAAGACAAAACAAGCTCATATCGCTACCTTGCTCGAAAGTAAGCTTTTGTTTTGTGCTTCAGTCTGTAATTGCTGAAAAGTATAAAAGAAATTACCTTCTTTTTAAATAAAAGATAAAGGCAGTACATTGAATTGATTACCTTCGTAAGAGGAGAAAACACATGCAAGGAGTAAGAAATTGCATGGTTCAGGCTCTGTCTTCCAGTGGTAAGTATTAAAGGCATATCAGGGATTGAAGTTAAAATTTTGGCATGGTAGCCCACAGCTTTTAATGTGTAGCCCACGTATATAGTCCTATACAAGAAAAGCAGAAATTTAAGTAGCCCACACCAAATTTTAGGGGCCATTGACGAGTGGGCCCCTGCTTATTTCAAACCCTGCATATCATGACAAGAATATATTAATGTAATGTGAATATGAACCCTGACTTGTGCTAGACCGACACGATGAGCCGTGATATTAAATTGCTTGTTCACATGGTAAAAGTCCACAGGAAGACATGTCAGCCTACCCAAACACATTATTATGACTCAAACTCTGGAAATGAGTCAAATATTATCATCGTAAGATTTTTCATGATCATTAAAAAGGAAATAAAAATCATTTAAGTGTTGTTTTATTAAATATGCTACACATAAAAAGTGATGTATATCCACAAAAAATAGAAAAAGACAACAGATAGTATGTAAAATATATTTTGTATTGGATTGGCATTTCCATTGATAGGTTACCAATCAAACAAAAGTAGGTCACCATGACCTTATTTCATGCCACACCTGATTTGGTCACGTCTTAGATACTGTGACATACATCCATGCTATCACATAGGGTTGAAGTATTTTCTATACATGTATATTCTCCATTTAAATTTAAAAGAAATGAAAAGCAAATTCTGATCCATATTATAAATAATATCACGGTATGAAGATCTTCAATTTGGAGATGTAAAAGAATAGGTGTGCCACTCAAACTTATCATGCAAAAATAAATAAATTGTAGTATTTATATCTGTACATATGCCTTTTATTCATAGACACTATAAAATAGTTTAAACCAGCAATGTCGATTAAATAAATATATTTAAATGGTCTATCTATATCATGTATATCAAGACAAATACATTTCAGATATTAAGTTTAAACTTGTAATTTAGGATTTCACAAAATCCCATGCAATATTTTCAGTGGTTTTATAAAATTCCTAACAATTTCAGGGGTTTTACAAAAATTCACTATAACATATATAAGTAAAGGATCCATTATTAAAAGTTACAAAAGGACCTTGATGTAAGAGAAGTCTTGGCTTTAATATATATGTAATTACTTATAAAACATAATTTGTGAAATGGAAAGCCTAAACAATTGAATTAAACAGTTGATGTAACAAAGGGTATGAAAATTTTTAAAGAAAAAACCAAAAGCCTTAAAAACATCCAGGCAAAAATTTAATTGTCCTTTATTTCCTATATGCAAAAACTTTGATTTACAAAAAGGATAAGAATCAACAAACAAAAGTAACTTGACTTGATTTAAGTAATACTATACTTATAACAGGATATAACCAACATTGTGTTGTAATAATAACCAGTAATCAAATTATAAATTTTGTGGGTCCAAACTCCAAAGCTTATTTCTGGATTAACCTTCATCAGGCATGCTCAAACACAAACACGTGAAAGCCAAGGACATAAAAATACCTAAATATGTGAAAAGCTATATGACCAAAAGTAAAATATAAATAATAGCCAAATTCATATAAGATCAACTTTGTCTAGGAGTTGGAACATTAGTTTCTGTATAATTTCTTAATTTATCAATGGAGAATTAATGAAAACTATCTTTTGGGTCAAACCCTTACCCACTCATTTTTACAGTTTGTTCTTGTGTTGGACTGTGAAGTTTCTATCCCAGATATAAAGGGGAAGGTTGAGTGCTCACAACATGTTTAACCCTGCAACATTAATTAAGAGTCTGTATTTCAGTTGTTGTCATTACTTGCTGTCTGCCATATTTGTTTTTCATTTATAGTTTTTACTTTTAGCATAAATCAGCCATTGGGTTTTCTCTTTTGATTTGTTTGGCATTTTGTCATGCAAGGGCCATTCATAGCTGGCTATCTGGAGTGATATTGCTTTTTCTCATTGTTGAAGGTCAGAGTGACCTATAGTTGTTTTCATAATCTTCGTTTGGTCTCTGGAGGATAGTTATCTCATTGGCAACCATACCACATCACCTTATTTTTTAAAGTAAGCATTATGATGATGGCCATTAAAATTGTATGAAGGTTTACATGATCTTCTCTATCTTTTCTCTGATTACATATAGTTTTACATCCCTCATTCCTAATTCTTGAAGGTTTTTCTTAGCAAAGTTATATAACATAGTAAATCAAATAATATATTCTTAAGTAGAGGATCAGGTCCTTTATAACACACATGTATGAATAAAAGGAGATGTGAACCTACTATTCATCAATGAGGAAAATGAATACATTCTCTCAAATTTTTGAAATGTGCAACCTAAACATGAACAAGTAAAAAATATATATTCTGTGCAGTCATGTGAATTTTTCTTATCTATTTAAATGTGCATATATAATATTTGTGATAAAATATTTTGCTCCAAATGATCATTAATCGGTGTTTACATTGACACAATAAGTTACAAAGCTGTTAAAAAATTAATCAAAATTCAAACAACAACATCAAAATCTGACTTTTCAAGTATGTGCCAAAGGATCAAACCTCTTGTCCGTTCAATTGTGAATTCTATTATTGGAAAAATCAATTATTTTGTATTAAATATCAATGACAATAATTAAGATTTTTATCCTACCTTTACAAATTATTCTAATACTTTTCGATTTTTCAGAATTATATACTTGAGTATTTATTTTGAAAATTTTAAAAAATAGCCATTCAGTGTTTTTCTTTCATTTTAAAAGTATACTTTCTAATTATCTAAGCTTTGAAACAGACCCAACAACAGAAAAAATGAAATTTCATAAATTTCAATAGCCTGAATACCATAAAAATACCATCATAAAAAGGGCACAAATTACCATGTGACAACATAAAGACAGCAAGCTTCATTCCATTTTTCGCAGACAGATAACAAATACACAGCAGATTGTAAGCCATTTAAACTTTTATTTCAATTAACATCATTAGTCTCTAATATTGCATGGAAATAATTCAGTTTGAAACATATATTCACTTAAATTCATTTACCTTTTTTTGTAAGTACAACAACAATTTGGGGTTGAATAATTAAGTAAATTAAAATTAAATAAAACCATGCGTCTCTCAATTTCCTCAAGTCTTAAAAACAAATGACACTTAACTATGAAAAAATTATCTGATTTGCAGAAAACTTCATATGTGATGAAGCAAATCAATAACTTAATTTTAATCAACTTAATGCAAACCCTAAAAGATTGTACTGACAACTTCTCCATTTATGTAGATGACAAAATCCATGATTTCCTATGGGAAACCCCAAATGTGAATCTGATCAAGAAATAATATGTATAGTGAACAAATATAAATGGTAGGATGTTATTCTATCATATTTTCGTTCCTTTCCAAAGTAAACAAGATGGATGTAAAAAAATAAAGAAGTAATGTTTCAAAATGGAAAACCTCAAAAATCAAACTTATCTGAAAGATATTCTGTCAAGTCTTAAGCCATTCCTATGTAAACTGTAGAAGTTATTGCATTGACAAACTGCCCTAATTGTTACAGAGGAAATGTCCACTTCAGATATCCTAAAAATCAATCTTTAAGAAATAGCTAATAATATTGAGTGAACAATTACACAATGTGTGAAGAAATTCTGCCAAAAATAATTTCATTCATATGTGAACTGTAGGGTTTTTTGCATTGACAAACTTGTGTGAAAGACAGGAAAAAGGCAGATAGACAAGATACCACAATTTTCTAGTTAAGTAATGTTTCCCAAATTTATTTCAGGAACTGAATGTACGATACAAAATATAAAGTTATAAATGCACCATGTAATTAATGTTGAATGTTCTATTAATAATAATTTCATTCTTGCATTTAAAAGAATGTGTTCACCCACCTTTTTATCATGGATAACCAACATGTGCATAACTGTGTTGCCATTGGTATCCTGGAGATTAGGGTTAGCTCCCTTTGCTAAAAGCAGACGAACACATTCTTCCTGTCCAAGAGAGGCAGCAAAACTCAAGGGATATTCTCCATAATATACATGGCTAATAAAAATAAACAAAAATTCATTTTATTTATTTGAATGCAAATGAAAGTCAGACAAGATGTACCATGAGCTGGTCAACTGGTATCAAATGTAAAAAATCGAGGGGAATGCAAAAACAATTTTGTATATATATTCACCAATGTAAAGAACACAAATGTATCAGACATAGTAGTGAATGATCTGAAAAAGTGTCACATGGTATAGCATACCTTTATGCAATTTGGTACAAAATATCACAAAATTATGCTTTGTAATTTCTGAGAATAACCTGCCAAAAGTTTCTTATTCAATGTATGTGCATCCATGTGAAAACCAATTGCTGATTACGAAAGTACATGTCTTTTGCAGTAAAAAGTTCATTGAAATGTTCCCCTTATATCTAATAATAGGGTTCTTGACTATACCTAAAGAATTCCCAAGCTCTAATACAAGTTCAAGATACTACCTATAGACAGCTTAACCTTACCCTACATAATCAGTTTTCTCACACAAGTCCACCCATTCATGTTCTAGTGAATCTGTCCTAGATTCCTTCTGATCGTCCGGGGTGAAGAAATTTCCTGTGGCTCTCTGATGATAATCAGCCCCATGATCCAATAAAAATTTAACCATTGCAGGATCTTCATTTACAATGGCAAAATGTAAAGCACTCTCACCTACAAATGTATAAATAGTTTTACTTAACATTTGAACAATGAAAAAATTTCAAATTCACTGAGGCATGATAGAACGGAGCCTTATATTTCCTTAAGACTCAGGTGCATACATGAACCAGGTAGGTGATAGTGCCATAGCATATACCATATCATATATCAAATCCATATACCAAATGTTGTTGACCTATTATGTTTAATTTTGGAAGCTTATTACCCAACTTAAAATAACCATGGGAAAAACCATCTGGATCTAAATGCTGAACACTAATATTACCTGAACAAAATATTAAAACACATGTCATGAAGAAACCATATGTTCAATATTTGTACACTAAGCATGAATATTATTAGTTTTCTATCCAATTTCTTTGATATTCAAATGTGAATATCTTAATTCAGATTTATAAACTTGAAATTTAACAAAGTTGTTGACCCTAGTGTCCCTATAATTTATGTATACTGTATCACTTCAAGGAACTGTAGAACTGAACTGTCACTGATATAAACCAACTGCCCTAAGTTTTCTTTGTCAAGTTTTCCTACAAAGTTCATCATGATGTCCAGGGATTGTCTTTTTTTGTAGTGTTTATGATCATAGTCATTTGTCAGACAATGCATGATAGCATTTTTGGCCCATTACTCCAGTTTAATATGCAGTTTATTGATTTCTCTAACATAAAATTCTTAAATAAGATCTGCAATGCTTATTGATCAATATCAAACAGTATCATGTAGGACAACAACTAAGTTATAGTGACTAAGGGCTGTCTTGAGCTTAATGAAAGACGTTGGTTCTTTTTCAGTTTATCGTTAAAGACTTTCAACTTCTGTCAAAATGCAGAACATGAATAAATGAACATTTTCTTTAATACATTGGTTATTCTCTTGCATTTTGTTAGATGAATGTTTTAAGTTTATAAAACAGTACAGTTCAGAAAGGTTTCACTGTATAACAAAGTTTCATGTGCAAATGTTAATGATTTATCATCTTGGAAATAGGCCTTGACACATAACTTTTCCAGTTTCATTTAAAAGACTGTGAGTTTTGATCTATTTCAGACATACCATAGTACTCATCCTTAAGGTAGATATCATTCAGTAATTTAGGATAGGCCTTAATTAATCTTTTGGCAAGATCTGCATGAATAGCTGTTGACAGTAATACACACATATGGAGGATGTTTTCACCAACGGTACCTCTTTGGTTGATATCCCAGCATTCTACACGGTATTTACGATCTGAAAAAAGCAATTTAATCATAATCTTATTAAAAACACAGGATAAAATTTGGACAAAAAAGTTCCAACTTGAAATAGACGTTTAGATTTATATAGAAATTATATTTACATGTGATATAATACAAGAGGACGATTTTACATCAGGAATAATTATTCACAGACTAAATTTAAAGTTGTATAGTATTTGATTAAAATTAATACAGAAACCTTGTATCAATGAAACCTTACTATTTTTCAAAATTTCAAATCATATTATTTTTCCTTAAACATGTTAAATATTACATCTTCAGCAAACCTACAAATAGAAATCTTCTTTGTAGAAGATTTAAACAGATGAAACTCCTAAAAACAAAAAATCTACACCCTTGAGCAACTCAAAAGAAAATATAAATAATTGTTAAATAGATTTCCTTTTGTTTCTTAATCTTTCAAATTTCAATAGACCAACTTCTAATGATTGCTATCAACATAATGGTACATGAATTCAAGTCAGCAGCCCCAAACAATTTTAAATCCATGTTACTGTAAACATTAAATGCCAGCTTCCAAAAACACAAATAACATACTTTTAGTGCCATACATACAACTATAATCCCCATGTCTTTAAAAAATTGTAACCTGACAATAATCTTCTTCTGCACCTGTTAATGTAACTCTGGAAGTTTGAGGACAAACCAGAGAGTCAGCTCTATGCCACGCAAAAGGATGAATAACATAAAATTATACACAAAAAGGTGACGTGTGTATACAGACATTATTCATAAAACTTCACATACAAGGTGATTTACTGCAACACATACAAACTTTACAATGAGGAAAGTAAACATTTAAGTGGAACATTCAATGCCATGCCATCACTAGATACAAAATAAAAGGTATATTCAACATATTAAAAGCATGGATTAAATTCACAACAGCTGATTTAAAGCTAATATTACTGCTAGCCCTAATGATGCAATATCACATATTCCTTTTTCTAACAAATGTCTATTTAAGAAGGTATACTTTGCTATTGAATATCTTAGCCTAGAGTAGACATGTTCTTTTTAAACAAATGTTTATTTTGCTATTGAATATCTTAGCCTAGAGTAGACATGTTCTTTTTTAACAAATGTATATTTTGTTATTGAAAATCTTAGCCTATTTGTTTTATACTTATACATTGCTATACAAATGAAGAAATTTCTTGCCAACAAACTACTTTTTCTCTGTACATTGTATGGGTATGGTAGTATTATAGACTATGACAAAGTTAGCTTTGTACAATGTGTACTTAAATTGGCTTAAGTTGATGAACCTTATATCACACTACGTTAATGGTGTACTCTTTGAAATGTGCCTTTGAAGTCACTTCCATTTGGGAGCAAATCACAAAATTCATATTCTTATCAAAAAACAAATAAAAGGTCAAATGAGAGTGACCCAAAATTAAGCTAGCAGTTATACAATACACAATTATCACATTTATCAAAAGAATTTTTCTTTCATAAATCAATTCAAAAATATTTGAAAGGAGAGTCAATCCTGCAATGAACATGTACAGGAAGAAATTACTTTACTGCATTTATTCATGACTAAATATTAACAGCAGAAGATTCTAAAAAAATAACTATGCAACTGCAATAAAACTACTTTTCCATTCCATAAAGTTATCTGAGTGCATTGATTTTTTGGAACATTTGCTATCCTTGATGTCTTAAAATAACAGCACAGAATTTTTGCTTCCAGAATAGAACGGTGATTAACTTTCTCCCCTGATGATTCAGTTAGAGTTGATAGTGCAGTCACCACATTTGTAAAGAAATAAAAATTCAAATATTGGAAATTTAATGTGCATTATACCATCATGAATCATATTAGAAATCATCTTAAAGGGAGACAACTTGCACTATGCAACAGAAATCTTACCTGGCAAATTGGTGTCAGCTACAAATCAAGTGAAGAAATTACAGAAAATCCACTACAGTACAAACAACATATAAATATACATATAACACAGTAAACTCGTCACATGATGTCTGTATTGTCACTATTCTTTAATTAGGATATTCAGAATTATGGACAAGAAAAATGTGACAAATAACATTGCACAAAGATTTGGTTCTAGAAATGGCAAAATTAAAACTCCCCAAATATAAACAATTTACCGTATCTGTTTATTGATATTCCAGTCAATTTACAACAGAATGAAGAAATTATCTTTAGCTATTGAACTGGTTATGCAATTTTTTTCCTTACAATTTGTTTTTTAATAAAATTTCAGCTTATATGACTATTTTTTTTAATTCTTTTTGATTATGATATAAAGTTTTGGTTTATAGAGGATAATAAATCTGAAATTTTGAATGTATGTTTCATTATATTTCATCATAACCTTAACTTACAGAAATTTACCTCACTACGCATGTACAATGTACATGTATGTATGCTTTTTTTTACAATTGTTTTAATTGTTTCACAGAACAATCACTAACTTTAAGGTGTTTCACAGAACAATCACTAACTTTAAGGAAACACTTCTGTCACTGTTTATACTTCATTCAATTTTGCTTGAATATATTTTACATTGTATGTCATTGAATATTGTAAAATTATTATTTTCTAAAGTACAAGAAGGTTATGTGGAATTGTTTGTTCTAAGTAAATTTTTATAAACATATTTTAGATAATAAGATGTAAATATGATAAAATAACAGAAGAGTATTAGAACAGACACAATTTTCCAAACAATTCTAAAATATGTAAATTGTATGTATTGCACACATGGATCCTGAAAATCCTATCCTTTCATATATTTTGTGATAAAATTAAAACTTGTATCTCACTAACAGTTACGATAATGAAAAGATACATGTAACATATATAGTCTGAAATTAATGGGAAAGAATCACACGATAGGTAAAAAAATACTAATCAGTCTAAATAGCTAGCTGTCACAATACATCTATGTTGAATGAAATTTTTCATTGAGACAACCATCTTACTTATCTGATTTTAAGATTTTTCTAGCATACTTGTCCACTATCAATTTATCATAGACTATAGTGATAGTAAGTTTCAAATTACTGGGGATTGTCTGTCCCCTACTTAATCTTTAGTTACCAATATTCATTGACTGGTTCCTGTTGCAACAGTTACAAATTGTATCCTGATTATCTATATCCATGCTATATTTTGGGAAAAAAAAAACAATAGCAGAATCGAAATAGATAATTTTCATCAGGAAAATTATAACTATAATTACTTCAGAAGCTTTTTTTGATAAAATGTCAGAAAGAGTCTTTTTGCTTTTTACTACTGTTTTTTTCTTTAAAACAAAATGAGACACAACAGGTCCTACACAATCTACAGTGTTTCTAAAAATGAAGTGCACGATTTAATAGCCATGATAGCATACAATGTAAATTGTACAAATGCAGAATACCATAAAATGAACACAGAGCTTTTGCTGCTGAAGTCTTTTATATTAAATAAAGGAGTAGGTTCACAAAGGGTCCATATTGGCCCTAAAATTCTTTGAAATTTAACTTCAGTAACATAAATAAAAATATGATGACAATAATCGAAAATATCTAACAGATACAAATTGACTATTTTTTGCCTAAATTTTAAGTTTTGTGTGACCAATGTTTTTTCAGAAAGAAGTAGACCTTACAAATGTGTGTAAACAGGCAATTTGAGGACAAACTTATAAAATATGGTATCAGGTCCGTTCGCCCTAATTACATGTTCGCCCTGGGTCATTTCGCCCTGAGTCCGTTCGCCCTGGGTCCATTCGCCCTATTTCTTATAAAAAAATTAATATTAATGGTTTCATTTAAAGTTTTGTAATCTTATTCAGATATTTAAATGGTAAATATTAAAAATGTATATCTCCAAATTCATGAATAAACATTGAAATTTAAACATGTTAAAAAAAAAGTTTTTGTTTTGAAGCATTAATCAGACTAATTGGCTTCATTCATTGTCATTGTTACATTTGTCATGTTTGTTTTTATTCAGAATTACTTTTAATGACTGTTGATTGTAAATAAACTCATCATAGATACCAAGATTGAAATTTTGTACGCCAGACACACGTTTCGTCTACAAAAGACTCATTGACGCCCGAATCAAAAAAGTTAATAAGGCCAAATTAAGTATGAAGTTGAAGAGCATTGAGGACCCAAAATTCCTAAAAGTTTTGCCAAATACAGTTAAGGTAATATATTTCTGAGGTAGAAAAGCCTTAGTATTCCAAAAATTCTAAGTTTTGTAATTTAGAATGCTGATTAGATATGATTACGATGTCTTTGATCTCTCTGATTGTTGTAGTTATTGTTTTTGATGGATTAATAATGAAATTGTTTTTTTTTTAAATAAACAAGTCAGCTTGGAATTAGTTAAAACAATGATGTAAGAATTGTCAGACAATAAAGGGAAATTGTTTTCGCCGCTTGGCTTCTTTGATCTCAAGGTGTTTAGTGAGTTGGATCTTGTTATACCTGTTTGGATTGTTTTGAAATTGTTACAAGGTTTCAAAAAAGATAAATTTATACAGATAACTTGGTCTCCAGTTCCTGAACACTTCTTCTTCTTCAAAATATTGTCCACATTCAACATGATGAATATTCTGGCAAGAATAGTCAATGCAAATCAAAAGAAAAATAATTATCTGGTAGCATCAATACATTTTGTACAACATCAATATTTTGGCGTAATTTTCAACAAACTTTAACATAATTAATTCAAATAATTTATATTATACAATACAACAAAATAAAATAGAAAACAAGGCGAACGGACTCAGTGCGAACAGGAATAAGGGCAAACGGACCCAGGGCGAACAGGTATTAGGGCGAACAGGTATTAGGGCGAACAGGTACTAGGGCGAACACGAATCAGGGAGAACGGACTCGGATTCATAAAATATCATACTTTTTAAGCTGTCATCATTCTCAAAATAAGCAACAGTCAACAAAAGTGTTGAGTTTATATCTAAATTTGCATGGCCAAACTCCTTTTATAAAATTATAAAGTACAATGGATGTGTCATTACCTCAGTACCTTTGGTGCACATAATTAGCCTACAACATATACCGTGTTCTAATCAATGTATCGATTTTTTACCTGGTTTATTTCTAAAATAATTAGCTTCTGCATCTGGAAAGTTCATATCAATTAGAGCCAGGTCCCTCTCTTTTAAACGTTTATCTTTCCCTATTTTTGGTTTGCGACTATCTCTCTCTTGGCTTCTCATCATGACTAAGTCAACTATTGGTATTTTCTTTCCTCGACCCTCATCATAAAGAAAGTTTTTCACTTCAGCAATTTTGTCATCAATCTCCTTAAAATTTTTGGTCCACCTGGCTCTTTTCATTAACTCAACAAGTTCCCCACCTCCCTTTAAGTCAACAAGATTATAGAGTTCTTTTGCCCCAGCATCAGCCTGCTGTTTGACACCAGAAGCAACAACTGTCGTATTTCCCATTGTAAACTTTTCCTGAATCCTCTGGGAGAAACCCGTATCAAGTGTAAACAACCTCCATCTTTTATTTTACTTGCGCGCTTGCGTATCCTTTATTTCCGGTATGTTAAATGACATCGATGGAGCAGTAGTGCGTGTAGTTCAGGTAAGGCGGCGTTTTTTATTGGTTGATCAGGCGAGTGCAGAGCACCTTAGCAACTTAAAGCGCCCTAGACAACACACTAGTCAATCCATATTCATACAAGTATTGTGGGCACTTCTTTGGATTATCAGTTAAAACAGGTGTTATAAACAGAGATTGACTCGGTAGGGGAGTTTTACAGCAAGAGAAAATGACTACAGTAGCTTTTGGTGGTGGACCTAGTCTTGACCAAAGACGAAATTTCGCTGCTTTGAGAGATGGTACACACGTGCCAGGGTATGTCATATGATCTGTTGTTTTGATAGAGAATTTCAAATTCAATACTAAACCAAATTTGATGGTACAAGTACCCTTGTAGGTCATTGCCATGCAACCTCTTCAAATATTCCTCGCACATTATCATGGCATTCAGTATCCTCGTCTAATGGGTTTTCGTGCTATTAAGAATGCATTGTGACGTCACAATTTCCATTGAAAAAGCATGCATAGTACAAATTCATATGACGTACGAAAACAGTATGATCTGACCATATAAATATATGATTTGGACCGGTGTGAAATTTATGAAGTATTATTTAAGATGCAATAAGGAAAAAAAATAGAATATAACATTGGTGTTTCTCTACTCTAGCACATAGAAAGTTGTAGCACTTATAACCTTCTTGCTGCTGGAGGGATATGTGTCCACAGCGTCTGTGCTGAAGGGACACATATGTCCATATGTTTAATGACTAATGTACATGTATGGAAGCATCTCTTCATTATTGTATCTCTTTCAAATAAAACATAGAAGATTATACGGTGTTATATTTTTTTTTTGATAGGTCTCTAATGTTATATCATTAGGGTGTGATGCCATATATTGAAAGACATCGTAGCTGCTCATGTGACGTCACACTAGTTGTCATATTTTCTGGCACAGGAAATGCAACCATATTAAAGTAGCTACAACAAGAGGGTTAATAGCAACTACATGTCTGCAACTGCTTAAGAAAAAAATTAGGGGGTGCTGCAAATGATCCCCCTTTCCCCGACCCGACACATTCTAAGTTAGTGTCCCAGTTACATGTACCTTAAAAGTTAATCAGAACTTCCTTAGCTTTTGAGTTAAATTGATTCTGTAACTTAAAACTTAAGCAAGTTTTGTTTACTTTGTTTATATTTTTAAATAACATGTTCAAAGAAGTACAAATTCTCAAAACAAATTAAAGCAACGACTTGCTCTTGTATGGCGATCTTATCTTATTTCCACAAAGCATCAAAATCCAAATGCATTACATACAACATATATTGGATACACAATAATCAGTTGATTGGGCCAATTATGGTATGCTCAACATACCTAATGTCACAGTACTCAAATTGCACAGAAGTACCAAATTTGCCCCCATTATGCAAACAAAAGCGATCAATTAATTTTATAGGTTTTCTTAGAGTTTAAACAATTTGTCTTTTCCATGTTTTTCATCATAGCCATTTTAATAATACTTAATGATCATAATGATACATAAAACATTCAAATTATGCATCAACAAATGAAGTAATTGGTAAAAAAGTGAAAATTCAGGAAATGTCAAATTGTTCTAAAAATGTGTAAAATAAACACAGTATGAAAACTTTTTTTCATAAATAAAAGATAGTTTCAAAATAGATGCAATTTGGGTACCCTCAAGATAGAATAACAGTTATTAGATAAGGCCTTTAAGCTTGCCCTTTTAGATCTCTTTGAAATGTTAACTGAATGTTAACTGAGATACATGTATAAAACCAGATTCAGGCTGATTTTGGTGATTTTAATCTTCTTGTTCCAGACTAATGTGGCTTTTGTTAAAAATTGACAATTTCAAGGACATCTTTAATGCAACTAAGGTTGGCTTTAATTGATCTTGACAAAAGTCCTTAATAATGTTTAGTTTCAAAATCACAAGCTCCCTTTAGATTTTGACATCATAATTGGTGGCTAGAGTATAGAAGGTAACATTAACCCATGTCAATTCTTTTGTCCCTTGTTGGAGGGAACAGACATGAGCTTGTGGCAAAGATGTTTATTGAAAATGAAATACAGCCAGGTCAGAAAATCCTATAGACACATAAAGTCACAGGTTTAATTGTCTATACGAATCTATAAATAGCAAACTTTTTCACTTAGTTTCAAAAACATATGAAAACTCTTGAAATTGTCCTAATTGTTTGTTTTTTTAATTAAAAAAATAAAAGAAAATTCTGACACACACTTGTTTTACCGTATACAAAAAATAGGTATATTATTGTATGTATCATTTTTGTATAATCAATATGTCATGTATGTATATTTAATGTATTTAAAAGGCGAACCATTCATTGAGTGTGTAATGAATTAATACCAATTTTGGTCTTATAATATATATTCAAATCTATATCTAAATGTAATATGTGTACAAGGATGTTTTAAGTATAATTTCATTGAATTATTCTGGTAAAAATAGTGTAATGAAATAATAGGATATTTATTTTTTATATTTATGGTACAGATATAGAGGATACTGTCCACAGATCAAATACAGAGTTGGCAAAACCTATGGAACCGATACTCACGAACTGGCCGATGTATGTACACACTTTAAACATTTTAAACAGGGATAAACAGTATGTAGATCAGAGGTTATTTTGACTGTTTTGAATAGATGAACAAACTCTGGAATCCCTAATCATGCTAATAGAACATGGTAAAAAAAAAATTTATAGAATTTTATTGTTCTAAGACCAAGAGGAAGAAAGTGAAAGGTAGTCTTCAAGTTCAAATAAACAAGAACTGGAACTTGAATTAATGTCAATAAGAATAAACTGACGACCAGACACATTTATGATCATGTGTAAAATTTGTCTAAATGTAATCTGTCTGAGTATTCTTGGAATCTCCAAATACCATTCTCATCCCCATCTTGGTTATAGAGGACATTTAAAAAAAGCACCCTGTTGCTGAAGTCTATAAACAATAAAGCATGAAATTTAATTGTGATAAAACCTAAAAGATACACATGTATTCCACATTTTTGATAAGATTAGGATAGTAGTTTATAGCATCAAGCATCCTTGATGTAAGAATTTCTTAGAGAGAACATTGGTTATATTTTTACTTTTTACTTCAAACTTTTGTTGTCTCCTTTCTCTGATTAATTCATCTGAATTCACTTAAAGAATTTTGAAAAATTGAAAGACCTTTAGACAATACACACAGATAAAAATAGAACCTTAATCAATTATATATATTTATAAAATGAACCCTATCGACGCATATAAAGGTAATAATCTATACATGTAGGTCTAAATATTAAGAGCTGCTTTCACAGACATGAAAGTTACAAGAATTTTCTGCATTAGACAGTAAGGGGTGAAGAAGTAATATTACTACCAACTTGAAAGTTTCAAAATATTTAAAATTTGCTGTTTAAGATTTAAATAGATGTGAAGTGGATATTTAAATTGTAGTAAAATCTTTTTACAGTGTCATTTCAAACTATGATTGTCGAGGAAAATAAGTTTTCTTGTCCCAAGGAATTGATTAGTAATCAAATTTGAAGTACTTTCATTTTATCAAATTTTATCTTGCTGTTTGTTAAAAGGTGTACAAAGGATTTTATAGCACAAAACTAGTTTGTTGAATAGATAAGTGTGTATTGACATTTTGAACAAAATTAATTGCCACATTAACTTTTAACAACATGGTTTAAGATGAAAATGACATTCAGATTTGTTCACAAAAGGGTATTACTTTGAATAATGCTCGTTTATTTTTTAACTCACATTATGCAGTTTTCAGATTCAAAAATTTATATCCAAAACTAGTGTGTTTAAATCCTGAAATTATGAAAATTAAAATCCAAAAAAGGAGGTATGATAAGAGCCATTATTTATCCCCTGAAATTGTAAAAAAAGTTAAATTCTTGAAATATTCATTTCAGTGCAGAAATCTTCATTGTGCTATCACTGTATGATTTCATAAACATGTTGAAATGGACAGTTTTTGATTTTTGATATGAAATGACCATTTTACACATAGTTATTGGCAAAATAAAAAAACAGAATAAAGATATTTTACCAACATCAACATCTTTATACATGTATAAGGCATCTGGTAGCAAAATGATTTTTATGGTTAAGGCTTTATCTTATATCTTTTAAATATGAATGTTTTTTCTTTTTTCATTTAGGCCCGTTTTTCATTAAATGAGAGAGAGGATTTTGAACACTTCACATAAGTCAAAGACATAATTATATAAGTAAGACAAAATTCAAAATATACACGATATACATACTGATGTGACAGACTAAAATAAAAAGAAGGAGAACTTCAGTCGGAGAAGTCTTTAACATCTGAAGGATGTTATTTCAGTCTTCACAGAAAAACTTTTTGGACCACAGAATTTTTTGTATAAATTCTATAGGCCTGTAAGTCTTATTTTCACAGGCCCACCAGGAAGTTAACAAGCCTCGGGTTGGGACTACTGGTTTATCGTGAAGACTGTTATTTGGTAGATTTCAAATATTTTTTTATTTTAGATCCTAGAAAAAATTGTACATGTCATGCTTTCTCTTTGTAAATTTATATAAAGAAATATCCTATAATTCAGGGAAATTTCTTGAAAATGAGACAATGGAATGGTTTAAAAGTTTTCTCTTGCATATATATATATAAAACATTTAAATGTGTACAGGAAAGTATCAGCAAACAGAATTCCTATTTGTTGACATACTGTTCTTTATTATAATATTTTTCAAAGACACATAAAGGGTTGTTATGGATTAAAACGTTCTACAATAATTAAAATAGAGAAAACAAATTAACTAACAATACATGAGCCGTCAAACCTTAGACATTTAAACATCTACAGTAAAATTCAATATAAGTTTATTTGTTTTAGAGAGGATTGAATTGTAATATGTCCCTTTAAATTTATATTTGAGCAACTATAATATATATATATACAAACAGATTCTAATTTTTACTGAATTTAAATATTGACCTAGGCAGTCAATAGAAAACTTTAATGTGAAAAATTTGTAGCAGTGAATATATATTGAAAGGCTAATGCTTATGGAAGAAATTTAAGTGAAATTGAATTAAAGTTTGTAATGTAATTACTGGTATTTTGCCTAATTGTAATTGAGAGAAATTTTACATTTATGTGTTATTACAGGTTTTAGAAAAATTTAATTTCCAGATAATTGATATTATGTATGTGACCCAATAAAATCTCTTACAAACCAACAAAAGGCTTAGTTGACCATAGAAACATGCAATATACATCTTGAAGTTGAATATCATTAGCATGTAGTAAGTAAGGGGAGGTAATTCATACCCTTCAATCAGTTGTCCATGATCCTGACCAAAACCTCTCTTTGAATCAGTAGAATTCATGTGACAATTTTTCAGCCCTGAACAAGACTGACTTTTGCACATGTACCTGTTTAATGATGTTATATTAACAATCAATTTATCAATCAGCTTGTAAATTAACTGTTGATTCATGATGTGGATCAGTAAGTATTGGATTATTTTTGCTATATTTTACCTTTTTGCATTAGTTTTTAAATAATTTTCAACAAATTCTTGGTTATAAAAATATTTCCTGCTGGGATGTGTCAAGAAATGATGCTTTCCCACAATGAATCGTTCTAACATACAATCAACAAAAACATGTTATTGCATTCATCCTTCCTCTACAGTTGAGCAGTGAGTCAGGATTCTAGACTATCAAATGACTATAGAAGACAACCAGCTAGCCTTTAGAATAATCTCAGTTGATTATATTGCTCATGGATTATGTTTAGTAGGTCCTTATAAAACCACTTTCTATGTGTTAAGAGGTTAATTACTTCAATATGCATAATTCGATATAATACGACAATTAAAGACCATTTATAGAAACACATCTCCACATTTTAAATTTTATTTAATAGATCTGAATTAATTGCAATTGGTAATCCATTCTGATAGGATTAACATTATGGTTGATCAACACTGGTTCTGAAATATTTAAGACTTTAAAAACACTTTAAAAATGCTTGTATAATCTGATAATATTGTCTGCATTTAGTCTTTATACATTCATATTTTACAGTTGAAATGACATTTTATATTTCAACAATTGATTGATCTCCAGGCTTTAATATGCTTCAATCTTATATGATTACAAATAAATTCAATTAATAAATACAGGGTTTTATTACAAGTCTAAACTTTAATTATGTCACTAACCACACAATAAAAGGCTGGGTTATTTTTTAATTCTTTTATAGCAAAATCTTCAATATCATGAATATTCAATTGTTAAGGTAGAATGGGTGTCTTTCACCATCTTGGATTGTAAAATAGCAGAACATAATAGGTCTAGATTTTCAATCAAGTTGGCAAAATTTTATGCAGAAATGCAATTTAGTCATGGGAATTTTCATTTAAATGAATATTTTTTTGTGATTGTAGCGTACAGTAACTAATATTTTTTCAAAGGTAGATTATTTTATGCTTGATTTCAATTTTTTGGGAATTATGGTATTAAGGGGATGTTACTCAGACAGTAATTTGTCTTTAGAATCTGCAGAAATTTAATTTCATGTTATAGAAGGGAAAACATGTAATGTAACAGGTAACCCCATTTTTTCTTTGGATAATATATATACTACATTTTGGCAAAGTATTTTTCATTATACTCCCATACCACCTTATTATTTTTTAGTTCTTATTATTCCAGTTTCAGTACAAATGATAAAAAAGTTAAAGTTTGTGCATGAAAAATTCACAAATAGTGAACATGAAGCAAGATCAAATTTAAATCGTCTAAATACTCCCTGTATATTTAAATGTCATTCCACTTCCATTTTCATGTCTCATTTCCCCCAACACCTCCCATTGAAACGAGATAAGACAAGCTAAATTAGATTTTAAACATAGTGAAGATTTATGTGACAAGTTACCAAGATATATCAGAAAAATAAATAGACTAGTTATGATATGTACGCTCTACAGTTTACATAAATATATCTTGTTTAAATCAATGTTAACCCACCCAGACTTATGGTGAAATATAGAACCGATTATATATGTGTACATGTACAGTAGTTTTATTAAATTTCACTTAATAATTTATCATTGAAGGAAAAAGATATATTTTGTCTGATCTCTTGGTAAAATATGACATTAATGCAAGCAAAATTTAAATACTACATTATGAATAAAATGATTTAATTTAAAGTAAATATATTTTATAACTAAAAATGTTTCATCTAAAATTTTCCCTTTATACTGCGTGGGATAGTTATATCATAGAAACTGTTCAGTGTTTTTTTTGTTAACCAGCCGACCTTTTTCAACAAGAGATCTCACAGTCATACTTAACATGTTTAAATGGCTGTGATGTATATAGGCAATTTAACTCCTAAATCAAATCGTAATATTGAGATCAAAAGCAATTTAGAATTTGCATTAAATCATTCAAACTTTCAAGTACTATTATACTAATCTGAAACTATAAGAAATTCATATTTATTGTAGAATTATAGTGATAGAAAATTTCGTTGGAGCTGCCAAAATTATTTTATTTTCACAGACATTTTTAAGTGTATTGCATGGGACTTTTCTTTAAATTGATAATTACATAAGTGCTTGTACTATTTTGATAAAAATTAATAAATGGTAAAGTAAATAATTATTAACTGTACTCAATTTAGGATACCAGGGTAAATTAGCAAAAGTAAAATTAGATTTTAAAATTATTGTAATTTTGCCTTTTTTTCTTATTTTATTTTATCATAAAAATGTAAATAATGAGTTAAGCCATTGCTGTTTATTTTTTCCCGCTTTTTCCTGTTGGACTGGCCATGGCAACAATTGTGAGGCACTGGACTTGCTATATAGTGAAAAATGGGGAGTCCCTGGACTTGCCTACAAAAATCCTTAATGGAAACCCTGCTTGTTCATTTCAAATCTAAATTACCTTAGTATGTAGTACTAGTTACTACATTTACTATTTCATGTTCTTGTTACGCAGAGAGTGGCTCTGACTTTCTAAACAACATGGTTAGATTTAAATGTTCGCAATCTGACCTCATAATGAAGAGCTGGTCACTTGAGTGGTCGTTTACACACTGACATATCAGTTTTGATAAAGTTATCTTGATTGACCAAAAGTTTATTCAATAATTGGCAATTTATTTATTTGTCCACCCACTTTTTCTTTAAAATCTTGATGTTTGATTAGTATAAATGATATGTTTGCTATGGATAATTTACTAGCTGTTAAAGTATTTGTTAAATAACATCATTTTGTCAGATTTTCAATATTATAAATCACTTCAATATGTTCTAAGTGAGATTGTGTTAAGACTTGAGTATGTAAATCCAGGTTGTCAATACATTTGACATTTTTTTGACAGAAAGGTTTTCGTGACAATATCTCGATAATTTTATAGCAGGTAGATTTAAAAAGATAATTGTATATTAAATAAAAAAGGAGAAATGGTTGAGTTAAATCCATTTACTTCATAATGTTCCTGTCAGGAATTTCATTGGTAGCCATATATTTCTCAGTTTACTTTGCCTGCTAATGTCAGATTTCCTGTAGTCTCTGTTCAATCTATTTATAACTTTTTTTAGACTACTGTTGATGTAGATGTCAACATACAGTATAGACTGAATTTCGCCTGCAAAATGTTATTCTAATTTCTTGTTTTCTTGTATTTAAGTGTTGCTGTCTAATGGACAAAAACCCATGATAGTACTATTAGTAGGAGGAATTTGTTTTCCCATCTGTCCAAAAGTTTCAGAGATATTCTGAAAGTTACAAAGACAGTTATCCACTTCTTTATTATAAGTTTTTTTGTTTTATCTATATCTTGTACTGTATATTTCTATTTTGTAATTTCAGGGCACTATTCATGTTGCACCAACCAATAACGTTGTTGCTCATCCACAACATATTCCCAGGGTAACCACTCAGTTACCAGAATCTACTGGTGACAATAAATATACACAAAATATGGTGCCTGGCTACACAGGTAAGTTATTATGTTACCAGTCAGTTACACGTAGGGTATACATTGTTTGTCCAACTTAACCCCCTACAGTTTTCTAGCTGTTGAACTTTGTCATTTTTTTGTAAAAATGAACATGCAGGGACTGAGTACATGGTTTGTCTGACACTCCCTCAGTTTTCAAGCCAGAACTTTTATATTTGGTAGTGTGCTAGTGAATATATTAAAGGTGTGCATATTATCAGGATTTTGATTTTCTTAAAATTTTCTGCCAATGACATGTTGTTGAACTTAGTCAGTTTTTTTTGGTAATTAGGCAAGCAGGGTACATTGGTTTGCCCAGCTTATTTCTCTTACAGCTCCCAAGCTAAAACTATTATAATATGAAAAATGTTAGTACTTACAGATATTTTAAATTAGTATTCATATTATCAGGATTTTGATTTCCCTAAATTTTCCACTCATGACAATATGTTTAACCTTTTTTCGCGGGGACATCAAATTTGTCTTTCTGACACAACCATTTCAATTTGCTTTTTAAATCCAACATTTGTGGCACTATATTAATGCATGCAGCAGGGACATCAGCTCTGTAACTGTATAGTTTAATATTTTTTCATTGGCAATACATTTTCTATGATAACAAAGTTCCAATGTATCTTTTCAGGATATATACCAAGGATGCCATTTAAATTTGGAAATACTTATAAAGAAGACTGTGATGTGTGTATAGATCAGCATTTAACCAATTATAAATATCATGATGCAAAATTAAATGACTTACAAAAACAAGTCAGTGGTTATCCACGACTAAGGGCTATATCTTTTGACCCAGAAGTACGAGACAAATTAAATATGTACAGAGATACGCACCCACAAAGAGAAATATTGTTAGGTAGGTTTTTACTTAAATTCAGTGATTTATCTCCCTTTCCAATGCTGGTATAGGAAGATGATATATAGAAAAAAGATATGATAAGTATAAAACAAATCTACAGTTGACATATGATTAAAATATTCACAGTCAAAACTTTTCAAAGATTAGAATTTATTGTCTATTCATATGATAACATCGATCAGTTTTAAATTGTGTGGTGGTGAGAGTATAGTTGTTTCTATATTATTAGTACAAGACATGAACAAATTATTGACCATCTTTATTATAAAATCACCTGTATGATCCCCAGCACTGAGAATATACTCACTTAAAGATGGTCTTAAAAGTATGTAAAAATTAGAATTTATTGTCTTTTTATATAATAAAATCAATCAGTTTTAAATTGTGGGGTGGTGAGTGTACTGGAAAACTATGGAACATATATTTGCTCAAAAATAACAAGCCATAACATTTTCCCTGAAACCAAAACATGATAGAAATATTTGAATTATATCAAAGTTTGTTTTTTTCTTATTCAGAAAACAAAAGACCTTTAACAGAACCTCCTATTCCTGGTTACCGTGGTTACATACCTAGAATCAAAACAACCGAGCAAGGTTTAGGATGTAGATACAACCAGACAACAAAGAAAGGTTTAGAAATGTTTGCACAAGAAACAGCAAGACATGCAAGATTTGCAGGATCAGAGATCCCACAAGCTTTAAAAAGGTTAGGAAAAAGCTTTTATTTTAGTTATCCGGTTGCTGTCTCATTGACCTATACCTCATTTCTGCTTTTATTCATATTGCACAAGATTCCACTGGATTCTGATCATGTCTTTGGGTTGAACAACAGAGTTCTTCAAATATTATTGATGTCTCACAGCCAAGGACAGTTCTATTAGGTGTCAGACAGAAGAGAAGTGGGGTCATTGTGTTTCACTTAATGTGTACCCTAGTATTCTGCCACTTATATATAAATGTCTCAGTGCTGTCTTAGGAACATACTCAACTCTAGAGCAGGAGGTAGTGATTTCAAAATTTTGCCTGTGTGAAACCAAAGGATTTGAAATTGATATTTACTACTTCTGTGCTAATCATGTAGCATTAAGGATGAAGTACAAAAAGTAGTTGGCTCAGTCAGCTTAATGCATATTTTTAATCATTGCATTTTGCAAGCAGTTTGTCAAAACTATCCTAAAGGAAAATAAAGAGACAAGAAAGTTCTGCAATATCTAGATCATTATTAATTTTTTAGACTTTCATAAAAACATAGAATATTGCAATCAATCTCAATATATGCTGAATTGAGATTGATTGTAATATTTGATGTTTTTATGAAAGTGTAAAAAAATAATATTGAATAATAAAGTCCAATGTGATTACTTCAATACTATAGTTTTAAATTGATTAAACTACGCTCAACACCAAATGTTTATATTCAAAACATCACGTTTTGTCTAAATACCGGACAACAATCATGTACCAAAATACGTTCACAGTATGTGTACTTAAATGGTGACATTTCTTCCTGTGGAATGTTACCTTTTAAGAAAGGAAATTAAAAATCTGACTCTGATACAAAGTATTCATATCTCCTTAACATGCTATTGTCCATAAAATGCATGCAATATTTTCCACTGGACATGAAGACCATAAACAAATGAATTATTGCAAAATATAATTTGTTTCTCTTATAAAAATCCATTTGATAAGTCGATGTTATTTATTCTTAAAATGAAACAGTTTAAAAAAGGTTACAAATAAGAAACCTATCTGTCAAAAGAGGATATATTAAATAGGTCAATAAACAGACTAAGTTGAAACAAGGACTCAAATAGTAAGATAAACTAGACTGGCACACAGTACAAAATTTTTAAAAAGTCAGGAGAGGAGCATTATAGTGACAAATTGCAAAATTATGCAATTAAATTGAAAGAAACCACGTAAATTTTAAATGAAAAAAAAAAATTATTATTTACAAATTCAGACAATATTTTGGAAAAATCATTTTCTTTGTCTCTTGAATTTTGCAGTGTACCATCAGAAACATTGGGATTGACAGGACCACACCCACCAATGGGTAGTGCTAGTGTAGACTTTGGTACATCAACATACAGAAGATTATATCAAAACGATGGCATGATTCCTAAATATACAGGATATATACCACGTAAGTCCACTTTTATAATAGTAGAATACTATGAATTCATTATTATACTTGGGATACCAATTTTATGTGGATTTCTTAGGTATAGGTAAACCAAGAATATAAATGTCCAAAAAAGTACAAACTTAGGCTTGAATGCAGACTTTGTTAAAACCCTGAAATCAAATATCCACAAAAATGCAATTTTTTTCTCAATCCACGAAAATTAGTACCCACGAAAAGAAATGAATCCACAGTAATTGAAATCTTGATATTTCATAAATGTAGCGAAAAGATTTAGTGGAAAAATATAAATCCACAGCATCTGATGGGAGATTGATGACTTGGGATATTATTATTAAATTTGAACATAGCAGATGCATTTGGCCCAAGTCGCAATCGTCGGAACCTGTAAGCATCATCCCTGGACATTTTTTGCCAGTGGACCATTACCATTTGTTTGAACTTTGAACTATATAATAGAAAGTAGTCATTAACTCATTTTTGGTCTTATACCATGCAACTTATATTTTAGAAATCAAATAAATAATATATATAATTTTCTTTCAAGTTAATGATATTTGTACTTTTGTGTATATATGTAACACTCCCAAACGTGTCCTTCCCCCCAAACGTGTCCGATTCCCCCAAACGTGTCTATTCTCCCCAAACGTGTCTGATTTCATAACCCCAAACGTGTCCGATAATTGTTATTCGCCAAAACGTGTCCACTTTTAAACGCCAGAACGTCTCACGTCCTTTAGCGCTATTTAAATGTATGTCCTAAATGAAATCAATAACGTTTACGGCAATTCTATGATGGGGGCACAGGTGATGAAGTTGTCATTTATTAGCATTAGTAAGTTCAATATAAAAAAAGAAGATGGAGTAGGATTGCCAATGAAACAACTCTCCACAAGAGACCAAATGACACAGAAATTAACAACTATAGGTCACCGTATTTTTAATGATTATCATAATTGTCGGTTTTTAATGATTATCATAATAGCCGGTTTTTAATGATTATCATAATTGCCGGTTTTTAATGATTATCATAATTGCAAATTTAATCTGTAACATATGAATTAACTTTTGACTGAAATTGCTTATTGTCCAGTTGCAAGTATTTCATACTCATTTAGAGCGAACATGCAAATAATTCTAGAGTTAAATTAATCGTTTACTATGTAAATTATTTTGTACTATTAAACTCCGATGATGCCTTTTATATTAATCGGAATATTGCACGGCGGTCTTTCAGCAGAACTGACTTCCCGTTTGTCAACAGTTCTAATACTTTATAAGCTCTTCAAATCATAAACGGGTTATCTGGTTTTTATACCCCCGCCGTAGCGGAGGGGGCATTAAGTTTTACCCTTGTCCGTCTGTACGTACGTACGTACATCCCGAAATTGGTTTCCGTTCTCTAACTTCAGTTTGCCTCAACCAAATGTTATGAAACTTATACACAATGCTTATTACCACAAAACACAGATCAAGTTTGAATTTTGGTGGCGTCACTTTAACCGATCTAGAGTTATGCCCCTTTATAAAAGGAAATATTGCAAAATTTTTAGTTTCCGTTCTCTAACTTAAGTTTGCCTCAACCAAATGTTATGAAACTTATACACAATGCTTATTACCACAAAACACAGATCAAGTTTGAATTTTGGTGGTGTCACTTTAACCGATCTAGAGTTATGCCCCTTTATAAAAGGAAAAATTGCAAAATTTTTATTTTCTTCTAAATATCAAGTTTATATAATATATTTTTAAAATTGGAGTTATCTTCCTTTGACCATGATTATAGTTGAATCAACTACAATCATTGCTTTATACAATGCAATGTTTAATTTTGACTTCAACTGATAAAACACGATCAAGTTGAATTTGGGTAGTGTCACTTTAACCATTATTGAGTTATGCCCCTTTATAAATAGAAAGATTGCAAAATTTTTTAGTTTCCATTCTGTAACTGAAGTTTTCCCCAGCCAAACATTATGAAACCTATACACAATATTCATTACCACAAAACTCAGTAAGGATCAAGTACAATTTTTTTGTTTCAGTTCTCTAACTTGAGTTTGCCTCAACCAAATGTTATGAAACTTATACACAATGCTTATTACTACATAATACAGATTAAGTACGAAATTAGGTGGCAACACTTTTACCATTCTAGAGTTATGTCCCTTTATAAACATAAAAATTGCTGAATTTTTTAGTTTGTCTCAACCAAATGTTGTAAAACTTATACACAACCGTTCTAGAGTTATGCGTGTTTACAAATAGAAAAATTGCTGAATTTTTAGTTTCTGTTCTCTACTTAAGTTAGCCTCAACCAAATGTTATGAGACTTACACACAATGCTTATTACCACAAAACTCAGATCAAGTTCAAATTTGGGTAGCGTCACTTTTACCGTTCTTCAGTTATGTCCCTTTATAACTATATGATATGCAAGCGGGGGCATCATCTGTGTCCACATGTGGACACTATCCACATTTATTTAATAAAATTTTAGGTTTTCAGCATCACTAAAGGCACACGATCAAGAACATAACGTCCAGTGCCAAATATTTCATGCATTATTTGAACGACATCATGTTAACAATACATATACTGTAGATAGGTTCTACAAGTGTATTATCATACCGGGAATTTAGGATTCGGCCAAAATTTTTACGGTTATTCAGGATTTAACACTAGTTGGGATTTTCATGTAAAAAATTAAAGAGTGAGTAAAGACCAATTTTGTTATGACTTCAGTAAGAAACTACTTCAATCTCCGATATGTAATACGATGCCGTTTTAAATAATATGTGCGGAAATTTAAAAAAAAAATGTTGTCTTCAAAAATACAACTTATGGCACCATGAAAGAGTGAAATGGTACAAAGGTTTTAATGCGCAGAGAAAGAGACAAATCCCTACACAAGGTATCTGATTTAATATCTACAATTTAACTGAGCATGGCTGCTTACATTTACATCCAACATAGCCGAACGGAAAAGAAAATATGCTTGATATGGACACGTTTGGGTGTTTATTGAAAAATGGACACTTTTGGGCGTTTATATAAATAACAAGTTTTGGAGCCCTTTTACAACTAGACATGTTTTGCAGTTCAGTGACGTCGATGTGGACACGTTTGGGGGAATCGGACACGTTTGGGGGGAAGGACACGTTTCTGAGTGTTACATATATATACTGCATTACATGTATTTATCATTTAATCTTTGAAAGTCATCTGAATAATTCAAAGTTAATCATGTTTCACACTAGCATAAATACCGAAATAACTAATTAAATTACCTCTGCTTATCTTTCCAGATAAAAGATATGTGTTTGGAAACACTTACGGAGACACAACAAGGAAACTTTCAGTGTGTGGACACCAAAGTGAAAACTATGGAACATATATTCGCTCAAAAACAATGGCATAAATAGATGGACTTAATTTCTGATAAGTTTGTCAATATAAAACTGTGACTGAATAACTAATTAAATATCATTTATGTAGAGCTTTAACTAAAGTGCATTTATAGAATCATGTGTAGTATTTCATATTTAAATGAAAGTAATTAACCAAACTCAACAATATATGTAGGTCTACTACTGTATAATATTATGTTGTCAGGTTGCTAAGAGATTTTATAAGTACAAAAATGTTAAACTGTTTACCATTAGCAGAAAGAAGCATTAATAGAATGAAACACATTTTGTTTCATCATTGTAACACCAAGTTAAAAAGTTTATCAGTAAGATATGAGAAAAAAAACTTATGTAGGCCTGTGTCAATGTTGATTTTAAATAGGCAGATGGTTTCAGCATAGTGAATTTCATTAGCAATGGAAAGAAATATAAATCGTTAAAGCGATACTTATATTTTGAATATTGTTATTGTTGTGTTATTTTTAAGTATGAACATAAGACTGTTTGCTATTGAGATAAGGTCAGGAGTATTGACTCCTAGGCAGTATTTGAGTTTATCAACTGATGTCTCATAGAATTTAGCTCAGTTTATTTATCATTTATTATATCTGAAAATTGTTAAAGTGTCAGCTTTACTAATCAAAAGTATCAATCCCTGAGTGATTTGTCTGTTTTAGTGACTACAAAAAAAAGATTTTTTTTTATTCCTGATAATTAGTGCATCTAGTGTTTAGAGAAAAACTGATTTATTTTTTTATCAAGTTCTTGCATATTATATACTTTTTTTTATCTATTTAGTTCATATTGAGTACTGTTATTTTTTTCCGTCCATGTTAAACATGTTCTTATTTTGCCTTTTATGAAATAATGTCTGTGATTATTTAAGAGATATTTTAGTACTATTTTTTTATTTAACATTCCATTGTGTTTTGTTATTGTTTATTTGTTTTGTTATTGTAATAACCATTCTGTGATATACCTTGTATTACCTTCAGTGCATGTATCAACAATAATTTAATCAACTTTTGTTTCTTCTCCATTGATGAGAAAAGCTTCTTTTGCTCAAAAGTTTTAAAAAAAAATGGGAGCATTTTTAAAAGAAAACAGAAATATATTTTCATCCAATAATAGGCAGGTGAGTTTGTTGTAGCTGTGCTACACATTAGATACAGGAAATATATCAGCCATGTATGATAATTCCTCTGTCTGTTTGCTAACGATAACACTAAAGCTTTATTACAAAGAACTATTTTTTAAGTCTTTTATCTTTTTAATGGGGCAGCCAAAAATAAGTCTGAAAATTTAAAAGATGGGGAAAGTACTTGATACAAGTGCCAAAGTTTTTTTTTCATGTTTACATTGTCTAAATGTACCACTTGACTGTATCAGATCTGTTAATTCTTTTTTTTTTTTTTTTAACATGGAAAGAATATGAAAATTGAAATAATGAATTAAGTACTGTGTACTCTTATTTCACTTCTACTTAATTTTTTGATATTTTTATTTTATTTGTTTTGTTTTACTGCCCATGCACTTATTAACTCTCACAATTGTAAATAGTTAAAATTTAACCTATTACATGTCAGAGTGTATAGATATTAGAAGCCTTGGATACATTAGAAATTCCTAAGAGATTTTACAATTTGCCTTAATTGCTCAATACTTAGATTCTATAGAAAATAATAAAACAAAAAAATTGTGTTGTTATTTTAGTGAGAAAACTATTAATTTCATTGATTGTCACCAAAATATAAATAATGTTTTAAAAGGTTTGAAAACTGCAATACTGTTAAAAAATATGTCAGTTTTTTTTTCAAGTAATCAGCTGATCGTGTAATATTTCTAAAGCCACGTTTTCATTTTTATACAGAAAATGTCACTTTATCCTATACTTGCTTAAATTAATTTCAGAATTCTTTAAACACTTGTCTTAACCTGAGCATTTTTTCTGCTAGTTTTCTCACTATAAATAAGGAAATATTTTCATGTTTTTTCTTTATGTGGAATAGAGGACGCATAATGATTTTGGAACATAATATATGTGGAATTGTTTTGTGCTATTAACCTTTTTAAGAGAGTATCATATATAGACATAAGCTCAGGATAAAATAAAACTATTTTAACAATGATATGTCTTCTATAATCAAACTTAGGTATAAATTTGAGGTAAACAACATATTTTTATGATCTAGCCTATCATGAATGTTAAGTTCACCATACATAGGTACTTTTTATACCCCTGCTTTAAGAAAGTGGGGGTATACTGTTTTACCTCTGTCTGTCCGTCTGTTTGTCCCATGAATATTTTTCGTCGCATCTTTCTCAGAAACTACATCATAAGGATTTTTGAAATTTGGTTGCAGGGTTTATATATACAGCTATACCGTGTGATGCGTTTTCAGATTTATCACTCAACAACTTCCTGTTTACTGAACACTTACATATTTTTACAATATTAAAATTATCCAGTTGCGGCGGAGGTATCATCAGTGATACGTAGCTCGCAGTTTCACTTATTTCTAACAACACCATCAAAACCTGAATTCAAATTGATAGTCTGTATATTGACTCTATATTGCTACATTGATATCAAATCTTTATCTGAAGCCGTGCCCCCTTAGACTGGGTATACTTAACATAAAGAATCATTGCAAGGTATACATGTCCTTCAAACAGGGTTCAACTGACCAAACTGGTCAAACATGACATTGATGATGTCTGGATATAGTTATTACAGCCTAGTCAAACATGGCATAGGTAATAAGTCTGGTTAAAGTTTTTAAGGCTTGGTCTAACATGACATTGGTGATAAGTCTGGGTCAAAGTTATTATTAAAAGCCTGGTCAAACATGACATCAGTGGTAAGTCTGGGTCAAAGATATGAAGCCTTGGTCAAATATGACATTGTCTGGGTCAATGTTACTAAGGCCTGGTCAAACATGACATCAGTGATAAGTCTAGGTCAAAGTTATTGAGCCCTTGTCAAACATGACATTAATAAAAAGTCTTGGTCAGTTATTAAGGCCTATCAAACATGACATTGGTGATAAGTCTAGAATAAAGTTATTAAGGCCTGGTAAAACATGACATCAGTGATAAGTCTAGGTCAAAGTTATTGAAACCTTGTCAAACATGACTTTGATGAAAAGTCTGGGTCAGTTATTAAGGCCTGTCAAACATGACATTGGTGATAAGTCTGGGTCGGTTATTAAGGATTGGTCAAATATGACATTGGTGATAAGTCTGGGTCAAAGTTATTATTTAAGGCCTGGTCAAACATGACATCAGTGGTAAGTCTGGGTCAAAGATATTGAGACTTGGTCAAATATGACATTGTTTGGGTCAATGTTACTAAGGCCTGGTCAAACGACATCAGTGATAAGTCCAGGTCAAAGTTATTGAGCCCTTGTCAAACATGACATTAATAAAAAGTCTTGGTCAGTTATTAAGGCCTGTCAAACATGACATTGGTGATAAGTCTAGAATAAAGTTATTAAGGCCTGGTAAAATATGACATCAGTGATAAGTCTAGGTCAAAGTTATTGAAACCTTGTCAAACATGACATTGGTGATAAGTCTGGGTCAGTTAAGGATTGGTCAAACATGACAATGGTGATAACTATGGGTCAAATTTATTAAGGCCTGGTCAAACATGACATCTGTGATATGTCTGGGTCAGTTATTAAGGCCTTGTCAAACATGACATTGGTGAGAAGTCTGTGTCAGTCATTCAAACATGACAATGGTGATAACTATGGGTCAAATTTATTAAGGCCTTGTCAAACAACACATTGGTGATAAGTCTTGGTCAAAGTTATTAAGCCCTTGTCAAACATGACATTGATGAAAAATCAAGGTCAGTTATTAAAGCTTGGTCAAACATGACATTGGTGATAAGTCTGGGTCAGTTATTAAGCCTGGTCAAACATGACATCGATGATGTCTGGGTCAAGTTATTAAGGCCTGGTCAAACATGACATTGGTGATAAGTCTAGGTCAAAGCTATTAGGGCCTGTCAAACATCACATCAGTGAGAAGTCTGGGTCAGTTATTAAGGCCTGGTCAAACATGACATTGTCGATAAAACTGGGTCAGTTATTAAGCCTGGTCAAACATGACATTGGTGATAAGTCTGGGTCAGTTATTAAGGCCTGGTCAAACTTGACATTGGCCATAATTCTGGGTCAGTTATTAAGCCTGGTCAACATGACATTGGTGATAAGTCTTGAGTCAGCTATTAAGGCCTGGTCAAACATGACATTGGTAATAAGTCTGGGTCAATCATGACATTGGTGATATGTTTTGATTAAAAATTAAAAAAAAAGATTCAGAACTTCTTCTGGAAAAAGAATCTTTGCAAGATTGGTCGAATTCTGTTCAGCCCTCTACAAGGAGATGCAGGTGACGACAAATGTGATACCTATGTGGGCCTGTCAAACATGACATTGGTGATAAGTCTAGAATAAAGTTATTAAGGCCTGGTAAAACATGACATCAGTGATAAGTCTAGGTCAAAGTAATTGAAACCTTGTCAAACATGACTTTGATGAAAAGTCTGGGTCAGTTATTAAGGCCTGTCAAACATGACATTGGTGATAAGTCTGGGTCAGTTATTAAGGATTGGTCAAATAGGACATTGGTGATAAGTCTGGGTCAAAGTTATTATTTAAGACCTGGTCAAACATGACATCAGTGGTAAGTCTGGGTCAAAGATATTAAGACTTGGTCAAATATGACATTGTTTGGGTCAATGTTACTTAGGCCTGGTCAAACATGACATCAGTGATAAGTCTAGGTCAAAGTTATTGAGCCCTTGTCAAACATGACATTAATAAAAAGTCTTGGTCAGTTATTAAGGCCTGTCAAACATGACATTGGTGATAAGTCTAGAATAAAGTTATTAAGGCCTGGTAAAACATGACATCAGTGATAAGTCTAGGTCAAAGTTATTGAAACCTTGTCAAACATGACATTGGTGATAAGTCTGGGTCAGTTAAGGATTGGTCAAACATGACAATGGTGATAACTATGGGTCAAATTTATTAAGGCCTGGTCAAACATGACATCTGTGATATGTCTGGGTCAGTTATTAAGGCCTTGTCAAACATGACATTGGTGAGAAGTCTGTGTCAGTCATTCAAACATGACAATGGTGATTATTATGGGTCAAATTTATTAAGGACTTGTCAAACAACACATTGGTGATAAGTCTTGGTCAAAGTTATTAAGCCCTTGTCAAACATAACATTGATGAAAAATCTAGGTCAGTTATAAGGCTTGGTCAAACATGACATTGGTGATTAGTCTGGGTCAGTTATTAAGCCTGGTCAAACATGACATCAATGATGTCTGGGTCAAGTTATTAAGGCCTGGTCAAACATGACGATGGTGATAAGTCTAGGTCAAAACTATTAGGGCCTGTCAAACATCACATCAGTGAGAAGTCTGGGTCAGTTATTAAGGCCTGGTTAAACTTGACATTGGCCATAATTCTGGGTCAGTTATTAAGCCTGGTCAACATGACATTGGTGATAAGTCTTGAGTCAGTTATTAAGGCCTGGTCAAACATGACATTGGTAATAAGTCTGGGTCAATCATGACATTGGTGATATGTTTTGATTAAAAATTAAAAAAAAAGATTCAGAACTTCAAGTCTGGAAAAAGAATCTATGCAAGTTTGGTCGAATTCTGTTCAGCCCTTTACAAGGAGATGCAGGCGACAACAAATGTGATACCTATGTGTGCCTTCAGCTTTATTATCAGGCCACTCAATAATGTCTGATGATCACATGCACATTTATTGGTTAAGGAACTCTATGATTCTTTGTTTTCATTTCAGAAATCCAAGAATTAAGCTTTGACCCTCATGCAAGTCAAATGATTTTTGCCATTTCTTCTGAAGTCAAAATTGGCTGGTGCAATTTTGCAGGTTTTAAAATGGGTTATCTCTTCTAATATAATTAAGGCAACTTTAAAAAGAAATCAGTCAACCAGATCAAAACTCAAACTTAATCTGTAACCTTTGATGATACAACTATACACTAAATATCTAATAAATTGTTTCAGGCACTACAGAAATAGGTTATAAGAGCAAAAATAATTCCAAGCAATTTCTATGTCCTAGGCTCACAACTTCACAAAAATCACTCAACCGGAATGAAAATCAAATTGATCTGTAACTTCTTATAAAAAGACTTATGATATAACAAATAATCTTATGTTCAGTTTAATTAAGATCTAGAGCTGGCATGTCAGTAACTGTTAGTAGTCCTTTGAAAATTTATGTTTATCATTGTCATTTTGCTTAGTTTCTTCTGTTACCCATTCTAACATCGGACTCAGACTTCTTTTAAATTGAGTTTTATTGTGTGTATTGCTGTTTGTTTGTTTATTCCACATTGGCTAGAGGTATAGGGGGAGGATTGAGGTCTCCCAAAACATGTTTAACCCCTGACGCATTTATGCACCTGTCCCAATTCAGGAACCTCTAGCCTTTATTAGTCTTGTGTGTTTTTTAATTTTGGTTCATTTATATGTTATGTAGTTAAAGTGGCATCAATTTTGCTTAACTAATATACTTTATTGTTTAGGGGCCAGATGATGCCTGCTTTAGGGTGATGGATTTTTCTCGCTGCGTTGAAGACCCATTGGTGGCCTTGGGCTGTTTTCTGCTCTTTGGTCAGGTTGTTGTCTCTTTGACACATTTTCTGTTTCTTTTCTTAATTCTATCTAATCAACAGATTGAAGAATAACAGAAAAAGTGTGGAAAACTTTTTTCTAAGTATCAAGAATATTTCTTGAAACATTTGTTTACTTTCTGGAACAATCTGTATTATCAGACACATCACTAAAGCCTAAAAACATTTTCATCTTAGTTAAGCAAACAACTATTTATCAATCATTTTCATCTACTGAAGACTTTGAATGCAAAAATTTATGTTCTTTTCTACTTCTGAACAGTTCCTGATGAAGTAATGCAAAAGATAATGATGAAGAATGGATGCTTAACATCTGCAGCAAAGATTACTTGAATATTCAGGACAATAAAATGTTAATAAAATATACATATATCCTGCTTTGTACTACATCAGCAGGCTGAACCAGATTTTTGATGTGATATCTCACAAGGTAAAAAGCATTCTGTGAGTATTGCATGGCAATACATAGTCCCCTGCCAGTTACAAATTCAATGGAAAGAAATTCTAACTTGATCTATAACTTGTCATGGTGTAAATTACATAAAAATATCAAGTCAAAATCTTCAAGCATGACGAAAAAAACTTGAAAACTGATTATTTAAGTGAATTTTCTATGTCCACAGACCATAACTCTGCACAAAATTATCAGACTGGAACAAAATTCCAACTTGATCTGTAACTTGTCATGATAAAACTATATACTAATTATCAAATCAATATCTTCAAGAATGACAAACAAACCTACCACTAAATTTTTCAAACAATTCTACTAACTAATAAGTATTTCATCAAAAATTTAATTTTAGGGAAAGGGCTGTAACTGAACAAAGAGATAAGCTAAAATCGTGAAAATTGAACTTAACCAGTAACTTGTCATGATAAATCAATAAACCAAATATCAAATCAATATCTTCAAGCACTTAGAAAATTTTTTTGGAAAACTGATTTGCTGGACTGACAGATGGACAGACAGACAGACAGAAGCACGGAGTGCAAACCTAAAGTCTCCTTCGACTTCGTTTAACAATCTGCATGAAGACATGCCACTCTATCCAGGCACATTATTCTGACTTACATTCAACAATTATTTGTTCTTTCTCCTAAATGATGCATGCTAGGCACAGAAGCAACAAATACCAAATTTTAAAGTTTTGGTTTGACCCTGCCAATGATCAAACCCCAAACCACCCACATTCACCGCAAGCACACTAACACAAGAGTAATTTAAAACAATAAGATGGAAAAGTCTTAAGTAAATCTGAAATGCAGATTGCAGAGCAAATTTTAAACTAAATCTTAATTGTAAAAAAAAGATAACTATTTGCTTTATATCTGGAATTTATTGGATTTTTTTGTAATATTATTATTATACACTGTACAACAATAAAAAAGCTCAATATCAATATCTTAGCACTAAATTGCACATTGTTTGCTGTTTATAATGAGACTGGTTTTTGGATACCATTTTGGTTTAGGAAGTACAGTATACACACATGTCCAACTCTTGGAATTCATTTATATTATGACTACCATTGAAATAACCCTGGACACAGGAAACAAAGAAATGATATTTCAGCAATATGATCGTCTTTAACAATGACAACTGTATAAATAATGATCATCAGATCATCAAATATCTATGGCAGTATTGAGTATATTCAGCAGCAAAAAAAAATGCAGAAACAAAAAATATCAATGGAATGTTTTACTGGGTGGAAAATTTTAAGATGGTAGCTTTTGGAAAATAATGTTTTGTTCTTTTTAGTTCAGAATATTGTTTCCTGATGATTATTTTACCTATATATTATGTTACAATCCTCTGATTACCATGGGAACGGTTACAGCAAATTTATTCTTAAGTGGCATGGTATGTAACACAAAGTTGACACAAGATAAATAAATGCTTCAGAAATTATATTCACTGCATTGAAAACTACCAAATAATTTTGGAAATTTAAAAAAGTTTTTAAGCACAAGATAGTCATTTGTTAATATTGGCTGAAAGTTTTACTGTTCATTTTTTGTGTCAATGTACAAAAAAATTAATAAACAATAACCATAGCCAATAAAAATCAACACTTGCATTTTGGTTTAAATAGTTCATTTTTTAAATCTTAATGTAGAAAAATAAGTTTACAAGGTAGCTAATACAATAAGAAAAGTCAGTTATGTCCACTTAAAAATAAAAATTTCTGAAAAGTCATTTAAATAACTTCAGAAAACATTTTGGGTTTGAAATATAAATAGATTAATAAGATGAACAGACTAGCTTTTTTCAACACATGAAATTTTAATTTCTTTTTACAAAAAAATAAAAGATTAGGAAAAAATAGGCCCATTTGTTATTCATTGTCTGTGAAACTTTTTAACTTTTTAATGTGGCAATAACACTGCCCTTCACTTTGATAACAGTTTTATTTTTATAATAATTCTAAATATATGCAGCAGCTCAGAGAAGTTTTATTTTCTATAAGCAGTATTTATTTTTTTCTACATAAATATCACAAGATATGAATTCTACTGCCAGAAAAATAATCTGCTTCGCCTAGCGCAGCTGGATACGACCGCAGAGGTCCAATCATGAACAGTTGGGGCAAAAATGGACACAATATTCAAGCTTGATAGAGGTCTGAATTGGGTTGTAATTAAATATTGACACATTATAGATTTCTGACACAGAATAAATGTTGTCCAAGAACTTGAAGTTGGTTATATGATTTGAATTTATATTCAATTGAAGATTTATTGCTTTTGTGCAAAACACTGTGCTGTTGCGCAATACTAACTTAATCTGTTTACAGACTATATACAAAGAATTAGAAAGATAAATTGCGACCCCTAATTTTTCTTTGGAAAATTGACAATTTCTTAAACCTTGAGGGTAAAAAATTGACCCCCCCCCAAAAAAAACCAACTTTTTTTGCACCCCCCTTATTCGAAAAAAAATAACATTTGAAGAAATTTTCTATTTGTAAAATGTGGTACAATTTAAGAAAAATCAATATACTTAAACACAAGTTATTGCCTGAAAATTAAAAAAATGCTTGTTTTAGACCCTTTTTGGCCCCTAATTCCTGAATGGTTTGGGCAACTACCCCCAAAATGAATCCCAACCTTCTACTTGTGGTATTGAACCTTGTGGTACAATTTCAGAGCAATCACAATACTTATACACAAGTTATTGTCCTGAAGCTAGAAAAATGATTGTTTTGGGCCCTTAATTCCTAAATGGTTGGGACCATCACCCCCAAAAACAACCTTCCTTGTGTGGTATTGAACCTTTTGGTTAAATTTCATAGAGATCCATACACATAAACTTAAGTTATTATCCGGAAACCAAATGTCTTCAGAAGACGCCGCCGACGTGATAGCATTATATGATCCCAAAATTTAAATAAAAATAGAACTTGGCAATTCTGTTAAAGCCCATGAAAGTAATACCTCATGAAAATGCCAAGACTTGGCTAGGTGGGTATAAATGTGTTTTAAATGATTAAAATGCCAGATGGATGGAATAAATAATTCTGAATGAAACTGCGATATATCACAAAATTATGCCAAAATGATTTGTATAACAAAACTATGTACAACATGTATCAATCATTGTGATATAAAATGACTAGAATTTAAATTTACCACTATCACAAACTTAAACAATTGTTTGCCTCTTACATACTAAACAATTAACATACAAAATTTTACCAAGTTTGCAACAAACTTGTCAACAGTATACCGTACAGTTAATTAGGGATATTCCTTTAAATAGAAAAATGGATGTGGGAGGTAGGAAGGAACTTTCTAGTAATTATTTAACTAAAACAGCAAACTGTTACCTGAAGCCAGAAGCAGAGGGTAACATTTAAGGTCTGAGGACCAATGAAAACAATAGTAACTGATTTGTTCTACTCTTTTTTCAGAAAAAAAAACAAATAATATGATTTCCATGCAGACAACATTGTAGAAATGAGGTAATAAACCAATCAAATTAAAACATGTTGTCGACAAGTTAATAGCCATTCAACAGTCCTAAAATTATTCCCATGAAACAGTCATTTTGAAAAAGTTGATCCTGGCCATGTTTTATGTAATACAATAAGATCAGAAAATAAAATAAAAGGTATGAAAATTAAATTGTCCCTTATGTTAAATGCATTCAATATTGTAAATTAACCCTGTCATTCTGAAGTATCTTTATACAGATAAAGGAAAGGAAACTATTCAAATTAAAAATGTTCAATGCCCTAAAAATAAACAATTCATAACCAGTAGTTAATCTGCAAGGACTTCCTGAGGAAATAAATTGAGAAGAAGGGTTAAAATCTGTAGGTCTTTCTGGTGTCATCTTACACAGTCATTACAAGTTCAGTTATTCTTGACAAACAAATTAAAGCAAGATCAACCTTGACACTAAGGCCAACTAAAATCAGAATATATTTTAAGCTATCAGTCTACATAAAATGACTTTAAGGTTATAGTACCCAAATTGCACCTAGTACCCAATTTGCACTCAGTCAGCATAAATAACAATGAATATCTTATAGGTTTTCTTAGAGACTAAACAATTCATATTCATCGTTTATCATTATGCATGTTTTCCAACATATCTAAATATTCTTTAAGATAAACAAAAAGGTCACATTATATATCAACAGACGAAGACTCCACTGATTTTTTGATTTTTTTACAGAAATGTTGCATGCAACATCTACAAAATGTCAAGTTTAAAAATGGAAAATTAAAATATGTCACAGACATCCATTTCATACAAAATGCAGTACATGCATGGACTGTTGTCAACTTGTTAATAAATGTAGAGAAATAGAACATAACATCAGTTATTCAATTTTTATGGATGTGTTGTTAAGCATGGGTTCAATTTAGGTACTCCTCAATACAGAATCTTGGATCGTTTGGAGGTTGGTTCAAAGCCATTTTTCATTGATTCAATATGGATTCGAAATTAAATTTGTGAAACTTTATAGTAACTAAGGATACATCTACAAAATAAATACAGAATGGGAACTTTTGTCTGTTTCTTAAAAAAATGGAGATGAAAAAACTGCAAAAATAGGTGCAAATTAGGTACCCTCACATTAGAGGATTTATCAGTTAAGCTCTAGGTCTAACTAAAATGACTGGATACAAGCAAACACAGCTTATATCTTTGATAAGTGTCTTCCCAATTTTTTTTTTCCATTTTGGATTGAAGTTTAAATTTCAGAATTTGTTCCCTATAAAAACAAATCAGTAAAAAATTATCAGAATGTTATTCCCCATACTGTTAACAAGTGACAGTGACAAATATTTTTTGTCTCTTTTTTCCACACTTTGTACGTGTTTTACACTGCATGGTTTTATTTCTTCAATGGGAACATTGGATAAACAGCAATAATGTAAAATACTCAGCTCACACTTACAAAATAAATACATCTGAAATGTCTCAACAGCTTATTTCACAGCCTTAAACATTCAAAACAAAAAGAAAACTTAAACAAATTCATAAAACCACACATTCTACATCCACTGTTGCTCTGATACAATTTCAACTCATAAACACAAAATCTTTCATCCACAAACAAAACAACTGAAACATGTCCATTCATTTTTCTTTTTCAAAATAACAATTTGTAACTTGTAGTTAGGTTCCTTCCTTGTATGATTTGTCACCTCCTTGAAAGAGTTGATAGTCTTTTGTCGCCAAGTGTCTAAAATGATTGTAATTCCTAATAACTAATCTGTTATTTCCTTTCTATGGTGTTTGGTTCCCTCCTTTATAGAGTTGATAGTCTTCTGAACCGAGTGTATTTAAATGATTGTAATTCCTGATCACTAATCTTTAGGTTCCTTCTTTGTATTATGAGTAGTCACCTCTTTCAGAGAGTTGATAGTCTTTTGAAACCAAGTGTTTTTAGAAGATTGTAATTCAGTTATAGTAGAATTTAACTGATGTGTTAAGTCTTGTGTTTTACATTCACTTTCTACTAAAGCTAGCTTTGTTTGAGCTAGTTCGAGTTCAAGCTCTCTAATCTGTGCCTGGAGGTCTAAATATTTAGGGTTCAGAGAATCAGGATCAACCTTTGGTTCAGGAAGTTCTATCTTTCCATCATCTTTAAACATCTTTGAACAATTGCCACATGACCTAACTTGTCCCTAAAATAATATAAAGAAGCTCAACTGAAGAAATAGATCATGAAAATTCACATATTTCAGAATATTTTAAAACATTTCAAACTAACACTGTTGTCATTACTACAGAGAGCTGTAATGTTTATGTATTCAGTAAAATACAGAATAATAGAAAAAAAGAGTTTTACAAAATTTTGCTCATAATACTATTCCTTGATCATGAAGAAGCTTCTGTAAAAGTTTTATAAAATTCTGCCAAAGTTTGACAAGTTATCAATGTCTTTAAAAACTTTAACCAATAAAATGCTCCGCAGGGCGCAGCTTGATACGACCGCAGAGGTCGAACCCTGAACAGTTGGGGGAAGTATGGACACAACATTCAAGCTTGATACAGCTTTGGATTTGGATTGTGATTAAATATTTGACACAGCATAGGTTTCTAACACAGATTGAATGTGGTCTAAGAACTTAAAAATTTTAAATTGGACATTCACCTATTATGGTCCAATATCCAAAATCTAAATACATGGTTAGATTCAGCATATCAAAGAACCCCAAGAATTCAATTTTTGATGAAATCAAACAAAGTTTAATTTTGGACCCTTTTGACCTCAATGTGGACAAAGTTGATAACGGGGCCCAAAAATCAAAAATCTAAATACATGGTTAGATTCAGCATATCAAAGAACCCCATATATTCAATTTTTGTTGAAATCAAACAAAGTTTAATTTTGGACCCCGATTTGGACCAACTTGAAAACTGGGCCCATAATCAAAAATCTAAATACATGTTTAGATTCAGCATATCAAAGAACCCTAAGAATTCAATTTTTGTTAAAATCAAACTAAGTTTAATTTTGGACCCTTTGGACCTTAATGTAGACCAATTTGAAAACGGAACCAAAAATTAAGAATTTAAATACACGGTTAGATTCGGCATATCAAAGAACCCCAATAATTCAATTTTTGATGAAATCAAACAAAGTTTAATTTTGGACCCTTTTGACCTCAATGTGGACAAAGTTGATAACGGGGCCCAAAAATCAAAAATCTAAATACATGGTTAGATTCAGCATATCAAAGAACCCCATATATTCAATTTTTGTTGAAATCAAACAAAGTTTAATTTTGGACCCCGATTTGGACCAACTTGAAAACTGGGCCCATAATCAAAAATCTAAATACATGTTTAGATTCAGCATATCAAAGAACCCTAAAAATTCAATTTTTGTTAAAATCAAACTAAGTTTAATTTTGGACCCTTTGGACCTTAATGTAGACCAATTTGAAAACGGAACCAAAAATTAAGAATCTAAATACACGGTTAGATTCGGCATATCAAAGAACCCCAATAATTCAATTTTTGATGAAATCAAACAAAGTTTAATTTTGGACCCTTTTGACCTCAATGTGGACAAAGATGATAACGGGGCCCAAAAATCAAAAATCTAAATACATGGTTAGATTCAGCATATCAAAGAACCCCATATATTCAATTTTTGTTGAAATCAAACAAAGTTTAATTTTGGACCCCGATTTGGACCAACTTGAAAACTGGGCCCATAATCAAAAATCTAAATACATGTTTAGATTCAGCATATCAAAGAACCCTAAGAATTCAATTTTTGTTAAAATCAAACTAAGTTTAATTTTGGACCCTTTGGACCTTAATGAAGACCAATTTGAAAACGGAACCAAAATTTAAGAATCTAAATACACAGTTAGATTCGGTATATCAAAGAACCCCAATAATTCAATTTTTGATGAAATCAAACAAAGTTTAATTTTGGACCCTTTGGACCTCAATGTGGACCAATTTCAAAACGGGGCCCAAAATCCAAAAACTAAATACACGGTTAGATTCAGCATATTAAAGAACCCCATGAAATCAAGAATAAAACCCCATTGAAATTGGTCAAGAAATAAGCAATTTATAGGAAGTATCTTCTTTTGCACAATCCTGTGCTATTAAATATTTCTTGCTATTGCGCAATACTGTACAATTGACAATTTCTTGCTATTGCGCAATATTGTGCTATTGGATATTTCTTGCTATTGCGCAATACTGTGCAATTGAAGATTTCTTGCTATTGCGCAATACTGTGCAATTGAAGATTTCTTGCTATTGTGCAATACTGTGCAATTGAAAATTTCTTGCTATTGCACAATACTTATTATATAATAATTTATCCTGCAATCAGCCAACTATTATACAAATAACAGGTACACAAATAAATTTTTGCTTTATTTGTACTTGTACAAATAAAATCTCCTGTTATCCCTCTTCCATGATGAGCAAGCGGTAGTGTGGATATTTCTTTTTGCGTACCAGTTCATTTTGGTGTCCTCTTCGCGGTCCGCGTTTAAACTATGTCGATTTCTTTGAAAAATTAGAGACAATGATTTAGATTTTAACAACTAAAGTTTCAAGTGTTGGGTAAAAATTTCAGGATAAAAACAATATATGTACATTGTCGGAAAATATATAATTTATTTGTACTCGCTGCGAAACAGGAGAAAAGCTCGGCGAGCCTCGCTTTTCGTCCTGTTTCTAAAGCTCATACAAATAAATTTTATATTTTCCGACAATGTACATATATTGTATATTTACACATCCTGTTTGGTGTGTATCTCCTACCATATCATTATTATTTGATTTTAAATATAAATCAGAAATAACCAACTTAAAATGGAAAATTTTAAAAGAAACAAAAAAGGAAAAAAAGAAAAAAAGGAAAAAAAAATAAATCCCCCCCCAAAATTTTTTGAACCCCCATTATGATTCATCACCCCCAAACTCAATCCCAGCCTTCCCTTTGTGGTATGGTACCTTGCAGTACAATTTCAGAGAGATCCATACACTTGAACACAAGTTATTGTCTGGAAACTAGAAAAAAATGTGTTTTTTGGCCCCTTTTTGGCCCCAAATTCCTAAACGTTTAGGGCAATTACCCCCAAACTCAAACCCAGCTTTCCCTTTGTGATATGGAACCTTGTAGTACAATTTCAGAAAGATCCATACACTTACACACAAGTTATTGTCATGAAACTAGAAAAATGCTTGTTTTTTGCCCCTTTTTTGGCCCCTAATTCCTAAAATTTGGAGGCAATTACCCCCAAAATCAATCCCAGCATTCCTTTAGTGATATGGAACCTTGTGGTACAATGTCAGAGAGATCCATACACTAACACACAAGTTATGTCTGGAAGTTACAAAAATGCTTATTTTTGGCCCCTTTTTGGCCCCTAATTCCTTTACTGTTATTACCATAACCCCCAAAATCAATCCCAACCTTCCTTTTGTGGTATTGAACCTTGTGGTAAAATTTCATAAAGATCCATTCACTTAAACTAAAGTTAGAGTGCGAAAACCAAGTGTCTTCGGACGACGACGACGACGACGCCAACGTCATACCAATATACGACCACAAAAATTTTTTTGCGGTTGTATAAAAACTGAAACTAAATGTTGCAATGCAGACAACGATGGGATCTAGGATCACTATATCTAGCCTTCATCTCAACTTTTGTTGCAGGCGAGACAAAAATGTATAAAAAATGCAATTAAACAGGAAAGGTAATAATAATAAATGACTCTAAAATTTCCTTTCCATGAAAATGCTATGAGTCATTGGATACATGTTTTTGCATGATGTATTCCATTAATATTTATATATTTTTTTAAACAAAAATAAAATGCTCCTCAGGATGCTGCTTGATATGACAGAAGAGTTAGAACTCTGAACAGATGGGGCAAGTATGGACACAACATAAAAGCTTGATACAGCTCTGAATTTAGATTATCTAAAATATCTGACACAGAATGAATGTGGTCAAAGAACTGAAAAATGTGAAATTGGACTTTTACCTTATTATGATCCAATATCCAAAATCTAAATACACAGTCAGATTCAGCATATCCAAGTACACAAAGAATTTAATTTATTTATTTATTAATGGACAATATTAGCTACATTTTAAAGGGGTTTGTTTCATAAAAAAAAAAATATATATAGCATTCTAAAAATTAATTTATAGAGAATAACAAACAAACCTACCATGAAGTTCTTCAAAAAATTAACAAAGAAAATGAAGATACAATTTCCAAATTATCCTTCATCATTAAAACAATGTAGTTAAAAAATCTAAAAAACTGACCATCAATTATTTTTCAAAATATCTAATAATGAACAGTGAATTTCAAACTATATTTAATCATAATTTCTTTTCTAAAAAAAGAATTTGATGCTGTATCTATTTTCAACTATGAATCTACTTAGATTTCTTTTAATTGTGCAATACAGCTTTGAATTTGTGTTGTGATTAAATATTTGACATAGCATAGGTTGCTGACACAGAACGAATGTGGTCTAAACTTAAAAATTTGAAACTGGACATTTACCTATTATGGCCCAATATCCACAATCTAAATACATGGCTAAAATCAGCATATCAAAGAACCCAAAGAATTCAATTTTTGATAAAATCAAACAAACTTTAATCTTGGACCATTTGGACCTCGATGTGGGCCAATTTGATAACGGGGCCCAAAATCCAAAATCGAAATACAGAGTTAGATTCAGCATATTAAAAAAAACATATGTTCAATTTTTGTTGAAATCAAACAAAGTTTAATTTTGGACCTTAATGTGGACCAATTTAAAAACCAGGCCAAAAATCAAACAACCTAAAACATGTTGAGAATAGGCATTTCAAAGAACCCCAAGAATTCTATTTTTGATAAAATCAAACAAAGTTTCATTTATGACCCTTTGGACCTTAATGTGGACCATTTGAAAACAGGGCCCAAAATTAAAAATCTAAATACACTGCTAAATTCAGCATTTCAAAGAACCCTAATTTCTAAACAGTTAGGACAATAACCCCCAAAATCAATCCCAACCTTCCTTTTGTGGTATGGAACCTTGTGGTAGATTATAGAGATCCATACACTTATACTCATGTTATTGTCTGGAAACCAAACGTCTTCAGACAAAGACGACAACAACATCATACCATTATACAACCACAAATTTTTGCGGTTGTATAAAAATATATCATTAACATTTATTTAAAATATTCATTTACAGAAAATTAAGGTAGGTACAGGCTTAGTGTACAAGCCACCCGAAAAACTTCCTTTGTGAAAACATGAGATAAATGTCAATGATTAAAACAACACAACAACACATTTTAGAAATTTGAATGGTATCCTGACAATTGATTGGTTATAAAAATCCTGGTTTGAGACTGTAATAATAATGACATTATACTTATGAACCTTAATTCTTCCAATCTCCTCTTTATTGGCTGTTTGTTGTTTTTCGAGTCTTTCACTTAACTGAGAACAAATCTAAAAAAAAAAAAATAACAGAATTTAAATTTAGTCAATAAATTAATATTGTAAGAAGAGTTAAAGACTGGCAAGAAGTTGATTTAAATACATACAGATTCATAAAGAATGAGGTTTATTTTCTTTCAAAAAATACACTATAAAATAAGATTTTTTTTCACCAAACAGTATTTTGAGATTCGGTTATTTGTGCAAAGACTTCTTTCTTCCAGTATGTGTCCACTATTTTTTTAACAAGAGCTACTTTATGTAAACTCTGTGATATGTTCCTTTAGTTTTGCATCTAAAAACATACAGGTCAGTGACCAATTATATTTGTTGCCTGTGTTAATTTGAGGGCAAGTTGTCATTAATTTTTCTGTGGTCATTGTTTGCTGTTGATAATATTGTAATACTGATGTTATACTAATGAGGAATTCACCTTTGCCAACTATTTATTACCTGTTTATAATCAGCAATTATTACAGCATTTCTTTTACCATCAGCTTCAGATTTTTCCAGTTCTCTTCTACACATTTCTTTAACCTAAAATCACAATGATACTGAAATAGTTTGTGAACGAAAAAATATCTTCTTCATGTTGAAGTAAATGTGACCTTAAATTTTCTTCAAATCATTCAGTAATTTTAGTTATCATTATTAGCTTCATGTTTCATGTTATTCTTAGTTAAATTTGAAATTTAAACTTATATATAATCATAAGGTCAACAACACATCTAAATTTTCAGCCTTCTTGTAATTAATAAAATCTATTAAAACTGATAAGAATTTAAAAAAATAACATCATAGTCTGTACTTCCTTATAATTGTTTTTCCCCTTACATTTTATTTATTTTCTTAAAAACTGCCTTGATGGTCTTGTTGTTACATTTCTTTTATGTTAGAGGTCATTGTTAGAATACTCTTTGGGTCAAACAAGTTGTGAGGTTTTCAGTTTGATAAATGATTTAAGGTTGCAACACAGATTGGCTCTATAAAACTTGAAGCATTTACAAGTAGGCAAAGACTGATCAGTTTTAGTAAATTTTCCATAAGGGGAGATATGTGCAGACTGATACCAGCATGCTACCATGTCAAAACTCTGGCTTAGTGTTACAGTTTAGAACGAAAGGATTCATCTTCTTTTAACAACAACACATTCCCCGTCCTGAGTAATTTATCTCTTCATCCAAGATATTTTTACAATTAGACAGAAGGGATAAGTTGCATGACTCAATATCTACCATGGGTGCTTTTTGTAACTTTGTAAAACCTTTTTGAATATTGTGCAAATGTACGTCATTCCTCACCTGTGATGATTCTACTTCTAATCTCTGTTTTTCCTCTTGAATATCTTTAAGTAATTTTTTAGCCAAGACTAGCTCACCAGATAGCTCTTCACATTGATCTTTATACTGAAAGTAAAATAGAACACTAACACATGTTAATCTATTTCATCCACTTTAATATAGTCATTTATTTTACTATTAGTATCTAGTGTTAACAATAGGTCAAAGTTAATTTATCAACGTCAGTCCTGAGTACAATATGAAAATGTCAATTCTAATTTTGGAACATTATTTCAATTTTAAAAATAAATAATCATTTTAAAACATATATTCAGGTAAGTTCCTCCAAACCCTTTCTCATATTAAAAGTCATATAACTGTTTATTTCGGTTTTTAAAAGTACCAGTAACATGTTTTTATAAATATTAATGAAATGAAACCTAATGTGTAATTTTAAACACTGTTTTGGAACAAAAGTAAAGATCACATTCCTCATACTGTACATGCTTTTAATAGTTAGACATGTGGTAAAAATATACATCGGCTTCAAATATAGTTTGGAGCTAATCATTTGTCAACTGTCAGTAATTTTGATGGAAATGAGGAATTAACCCAAGTGAGAATGCTATGGCTATTTTTGAATGTATATGTAAACCCCACAATGAAATTTATAAAGGTTGTATGTGCATAACTGGAAGGAAAAAACATAGTCACCGCATTTAGTGTACAAATTGCTTGTTATCCAATAGATTAAAGATTAAAAAGAAGTTATGTGCTTAACTTTTGAGTCATTTCAAAAATTCAATGTAGAACAGAGAACGTAGCATATGAAAAGGAGGTTTACAAATGCCCTATTTAGGTACTGGACATATACTGATGCTATTTCACACCAAAAAAGCAAAAATAGTGTTTCCAAACTTAGTTTTTTATCCGTCTCATATATCAAAACATCTTTATGTAGAAAAAGTACAATAAATCTATGACTGATTTTTGATGGGTTTTCAAGGTTATTATATTATATTATAGGTTAACAAACTATGTAATAAAGATAATAAATAGAATGTTAACCTATCCCTTTCTTTTGTCTACTCCAACAATGATAACAAGCAATTATACTTCATACAGAGAATACAGTATAAAAGATAAAGTAACCCAGGTCATAATAACAGGTTTGTTGAAGCTCAAATCGAAGTACTGTGGATTCAGTTATTTTCATGGCTACCAATTTTCATGGATGAAGGAAAACTTGCATTTTCGTGGATATTTGATTTCGTGTTTTTGCTGAAGTCTGCATACAAACATATAGACAATTTGTAATTTGTTGATTGTTGAACTTCTAGGTTTCCATGTTTACAGGAAATCCATGAAGATTGGTATCAAACAAAAATAATGAATCCACTGTATAAGATAGTGAATAGTCCTCATAATGTTTTATCATCTGATTAGTTAAATGAAACTCATTTCTTAAAAAATTAATTGAACAGGACAATTTTCTACATTTCATGTTGTGATTCTAAATTCTCAATATTCTGTTGATTGTTGCAGAGAGAATAAAATCTACATGAAACAATGTCATGCATATACCCGAGTCAGACCAATTTTTACACATATAAGTGTTGATTATCAACATCCTCTTTAAGTCTGACTATACTCGAATTTTTTATTCACAGTATTCATTGCCTGAACTATAAACTTGTGATTTGAAATGTATGACTTCTTTTTTTTTTTTTTTTTTTTTTTTAATCTAGAGACATATATGATACATGTATTTGCAATGCATATTATATAGTATTGTTAAAATCATTCACTTATAAGAGACACAGTTTTAATTTTCTAACAATTTATGTATATATATATAAGCAAAGTTACTATAGTTCTAGACATATTTGATAGACTGTGTATTAAAGTTAGATATAAGCTTCATATAAATGGTGACACATAAAGTTCATTCAACAATCTGGCATCCAACAGTTTTACCTGTTCTACTGGGTCCTTCTCAATTTCTGGCTGAAATATTGTCATAATATTTGTACTGTGACTGTGCAAGTTGTAACTGATACATGTATTGTCAAAGTATCTCATTCAATTTTCCCCAACAGTTCAATATTAACCTTTCTTTCATGCAAACAAATAGCAGAGTACTGAGTAGTATGCCTCACGGTCTCAAATGTTCAGAAAAACTGATTGACTTACATGCCTGAAAATCTGTCTTTCAGAAAATTTCAGATAAATTAGGAAAATTTTATTGGCTCCACATTCAACAAACCTTTTTACTGGACTCGCCCGTAACAATTTTGATTAGAATTCTTTACAAAAGATTATCACCGATAAAATAAACAATTTATCCAAATCTAAACATTGCATGAGCCTTAAATTCCTTTTTTTGGTAATAAATGTAAACAGCTCAACTGATGAGAGTGATACACTGCTGTGAGTTTGTCTATGTACATCATATCCTGAAAGATGATTCACAGACCAAAACAAACTTCATTTTCCATTTTTAAAACAAAATTTCGTTAAAGATCGAATGATCTGCCTATCAAACATCAAATATTCTCCGATATGTAATATGAATAAAACATTTTACTTTAGATTTATGCTTATTTCATTAAAGGCTTCTAATTTTTTATAAATTCTAAAATCACAAAGGGAACTCAAATGCATGATAATATCTTTGACTTTTTTAAAATCATTTCATAAACCCTTTATGTGAGACTTATGTAGATATAGCACCAGAAGATCATTTTAGACTGATTTTAAACATACTGACTTCTTTCAACCAGAAATAATAAAGTTCAAAAATGGCAGGGAATCAAAACTAACAAATATTTCATGCAAAGCTCCTTTTTTTTGACATGAACAATGCCTATAGTGCAAAATAAGTCATTTTGCATTTCTGAGAGAAACTCTTATCTAAAAATATGGCAAATATTATCACCACAAAAATCATTCCTAAACTGATTCATGCCTTCAAAACAAAAATCCTGAATAAAGAACATAGAAAATACAAATTCCAAAGTTAACCCTAAGTAAAAACTTATAAAAATACAGAAACTTTTCTGAAATAAAGGTATGCAACTGGATCAAAGGTAATGCAAGTTATCAAAATGTACATAAAAAACTGAACAACAAGAAATATTTTCAAAACACTTTTTCATGTTATTTTCTAGCATTCCTACAGAAATCCCATGTACATGTACCTCAAGTACATTACAATGACTCTTAAAATTCTCTACTCTGTTTAATACATTAATTGGTGAAATAAATCAGACAACTAGCAGTAAACACCTTTTTGTTGACTATACATTTATCTAGCAAATAGGATAAATAATCATACATTTACATCATTTTTCTGAAAGCAAAGTTATATATTTTATTAGTTTTAGATATCATTTTTTTATCTACCTTTTTGTCTACATAATGTACCATTACAAAGTCAAACTATAAAAGTTGAAAATAAATTATTGTTGTTGAGGAAATCATGACATATAAATTGTTGTTAGTTCCTTATATCTACAGAAAATTGTACCAATTTCTGATCAGGATTCAATAGAAGATATTTTTTTAATATAGCTGCTCAAATTATCAGACATTTTGCTACACTCTATATTTTTTTTAATGTCAATCATCTTGTGGAAATGAATTAGATTACTTACTAAGATCACAGAAAATTTAAATCACTTCACCCATAATATATTTATTTGTGTCTCAAACATCTCTCCCCTCAATTTCTACATACAATCCTTTCTTTTAAATGACAATGTTCCTCTATGCTTAATTTCTTCAATTGTCACATTGTTCTTGAAATAATACACAAGGGCTGTTTATTCTAAATATACATGATACCCAGGCACTTTCAAAATGGAGTAACCACCTATAGACGGATATTTAGAATTTCAGTTACATTTTCATTTTCTTGACACCCACCCATTGTGACGATTTCCTTGGGTACCATGCATGTTTGAGTGATTAATGTAAAATAACAATAATTCAATCATCAGATTTACATGTCTTTCATAGGGTTATGCAAGAAAACAGTACATAAAGGTTTCTTAGGGCACTTTTTAAAAAGTCTTCCATGGAAGTCACCAAATAGTTAATGCTAAAATATGTTAAATTTATTTGAAAGTGCCAACATTGACTCCAGATAACCTTTTCAGGAGCAGTCCTTAAAATGTGTAGCTGCAATTGATGATATTTAACATTATCTACTCATACTTTACCCAGCAGCAGGAATCAGTAATGCTTGAACTATTAATAGGAATTTTAAAAATGGAGATGATTGTAAATAAGATGGCAACCCAACAGCAGAAATGCATCTAAATTTAATATGATTATGTGTATTATAAATACATGATTAAATCATTGCTATCTACAAAACTCTAAAATAATAATGTAAGTTGTATACCTTGTCTAATTCACTTCCAAGTTTCAGCTTACTTTCCACCATTTCATGTGCTAAATCATCATTTTCTTGTTCCAGCCTCATGTTAGCATCCAGTAATCTCTGGTTTTCTCTCTACAGAAGATAAAACATTATACCTGACAGTACATGTATAATCAATGATAATATAAAAATTGCCATTCATTATAACAGTTGAAATGTCTACTCTTCTAATCCTCAGTTAGAAATACAACAATGTATATAGTGCCCTAATTATTTGATTTCATAGTAAACAGTGATATTGAAGTACAATTTGAAATGAATGTGTCTAAAATAAACATTTTTATTGTAATATAATAGAATAAACAGCTGCGCCATGAGCGCATGATACGCCCGTTGCATTTTCAAAGAATAAAGTTCAGTCACTTTTCAATGTCATATCAGAAATTTATGAAAATCGAAATGGAGCTTTTGTCAATAGATTTAAACAATTCACCAAAGTTACATGAGAACTGCTGAAAGCATTTTTGAGGTATTGTCCGAAAACTGGAAAATCCCCCCTTTTTTAATGAATAAAACACCATAACTCGGAAACGTAAAATCTAAAATTTATAAAATTCGAAAGGGAGCTTACATCAATAGACATTAACAATTGACCAAAATTTCATGAGAACTGCTAAACAAATTTTGGAGTTATTGTCCGAAAACTGTAAACTGCCCCTTTTTTTAATGAATAAAACCCCACAACTCGAAAACCTAAAATCTAAAATTTATGAAAATGGAAAGGGAGCTCATGTCAATAGATATAAACAATTCACCAAAATTTCTTGCAAATTGGTGAAAGCATTTTGGAGTTGTGTTCAAAAACTGGAAAATCCCCCTTTTTTAGTGAATAAAACCTCACAACTTGGAAACTTAAAATCTGAAATTTATAAAAAAACGAAAGGGAGCTCACGTCAATAGATATAAACAATTCACCAAAGTTTTATGCAAATTGGTTAAAGCGTTTTTGAGTTAATGTCCGACATGTTGACGACAGACGGAAGGACGGACAGACAGACCGACAGAGGTATACCATAATACGTCTGTAAACGGGCGTATAAAAAAAAAGGATATGGGGTATCCATCCCTGACACAAAATCAATACATAAACAGCAAAAAAAACACAAAAAGCAAAGGAACAGCACTAGTATTGCTGTTCTTTATCTCAAAGTCACAGTGAGGCCTTCAACACGGAGCAAAAAAAACCCTCATATAGTACATTCTAAGTGTTTGTCACTAAGTCTGAGTTAAAGTATCACACCAAATACATCACTGTTCACATGAAGATTTAACTTGAATTACAAAAATATAATCAAACCTCAAATTTTTCCACTGGATTTTCTTGCTGTAGTAACTGCTCCTTCATTGCTATGTATTCTTTTTCATATTTTTTCAACTTGTTGGTTTTCACCTATAAATACATAAATCATGTCAAAATATGTTGCTGGTGTGTGTACTTTTGATAAGGTATCAATGAAAATTTATATAAACAAATATCAGAATGATGAATGTAATTAATTCTAAAACACATTTAAATTATCAATGGTTACAAACTTGTTTCTAATTTTAATTATTTATGGTTAGAAACTTGTTCCTCATTTAAATTATCTTTGTTTTAAAACTAGTTCCTAATTTAAATTATCTTTGGTTAGAAACTTGCTCCAGATCTTAATTATCTTGGTTAGAAACTTGCTCCAGATCTAAATTATCTTTGGTTAGAAACTTGTTCCAGATCTAAATTATCTTTGGTTAGAAACTTGTTCCAGATCTGAATTATCTTTGGTTAGAAACTTGTTCCAGATATTAATTATCTTTGGTTAGAAATTTGTTCCAGATCTTAATTATCTTTTGGTTAGAAATTTGTTCCAGATCTAAATTATCTTTGGTAAGAAATTTGTTCCTAATTTAAATTCTTTTTGGTCAGAAACATGTTCCTAATCTAAATTCTTTTTGGTTAGAAACTTGAGGCTTAAATCAAAATATTGTTTGTTTGCAGTTTACCGACCGACCCTTGAAAATCAACCCGAATGTGAAAATTATTGTGCTTTTAATTTGAAGAAATTATTTTTAATACTTCTATAGATGGATCGGGAACATCGGGTCATTTCCGAAATTGATTTAAAGTCTAGGTCGATTACACGTTTTAAGTTCGGTTTTTCTTACCTTTCCATCAAGCGTTCATCGGACCGTTTAATGATAAAGCACATGGAGATTGTTTAGTTACAGGTATCTATGAAGTCATGGAAGAGTACCTTACGATGTCGTCTTCTGTCAATATTAATACAAATAACAAACTAAAAAGTTTAATAGTAAACTTAGTATACAGATTTAGGCAGAGTTGCACATAGAATTATGTCTTCGATGTCAGATATCATGGACGATGATGCAGCGGATATTCATAAAACCGACATAACCGTTTCTGTCTCAAAAAAAATGGGTATAGAATGTTTTGAGCCTGACTTTAGGGAACCAATATCAGTGGTTAAACAATTTGACAGCAGCCTGAAGTATAACAATATTTTCTATAAATCGTTGTGAAGACGACAAAGATGAAACACTCCTCCATGACTTCATAGATACCCTATAAACATGCCAATGGATAGACAATGCCAAAGCATTAAGAAGCCAACTAAACTGCACAAAGATGTAGAGAAAATGAATGATTTACTTGGAAAAATAAATATATATTTTCACTTAGTATATTAAATCTATCTTCGCTTGCAATGAATATGCTCCTTTAGGATAAGGAGGGTTGCCCCACTCATTGCAATTATTCTCTCTTTTAGGATATTAAATATACCCAAACTGTATGAATTGAATTAAGTATACCTAAACTGTGTGAACTGAATTAAATATACCTAAACTGTGTGAATTGAATTGAAACATGTCCTTAGGAGCTGTGCTGCCAAATTTTTTTATGCAGTCAAAACATTTCAGTACAGACCATTTACTTTTAAAGGGGTGCTATGGATTTCACCACAAAGTCTAAGAATTATTTGGTTTTCAATGAAGCCTGACATCAACATATCTTTCAAAATATAACCTTATTACATGTATAATTAAATATTGATAGAAATTTGAAAAAAATCAGATGTCTTATATATTTTTTTTAAGTTGCCTTTTTTGTTCAATTGAGGAAGATTCAATGCAAGGTTGATTTTTTTTTTATTGAAAACACTCTTAGACAAGAAGTCTGGGCAGGTGTTTATAAAGCTTCAATATCTACATTCTTCTGATGAAAATACTTTACTCATGAAAGCATTCTAGTCAAGAAGTATATATGTCAGTGAATATAATTCTTTAAAAATAATTCGTCATTTCTTGTTTATAAGTGTTCCAGTATTTTTATTATACCATATTTTTATGCCCCATTTATGGGCATTATGTTTTTCGGTCTGTGCGTCCGTTCGTTCGTTCGTCCGTCTGTCCGTCCGTCCGTTCATCTGTCTGTCCCGCTTCAGGTTAAAGTTTTTGGTCAAGGTAGTTTTTGATTAAGTTGAAGTCCAATCAACTTGAAATTTAGTACACATGTTCCCTATGATATGACCTTTCTAATTTTAATGCCAAATTGGAGTTTTGACCCCAATTTCACGGTCCACTGAACATAGAAAAACATATATTGGATAATGACATTATGTTATAGTTTCAATTTTGATTAAAAAGTTTTTAATCTGAAAATGCCTGTTCATTTCATAATGGCTTTCAGTGTTTATTGTTTTAAAATGTTTTTTCTCCACGAGAAACTTGGTTTGTGTAATTGCTTGTTTAAACCTTATTTTGGCTAATAAAATAAAATATTTTTCCTACCTACCGACCCTTCAGTCTGAAGGTACAGTTGGAAAACTGCAAACAAACATATTTTTAAGGTTGGCCTGAACTACTCATGCTAATACCTTTGCATTGATAGACGCCTGAATCAATTCTTTGGCAGCGATGTCTCCTCGATATTTCTTTGGTAAGCTCACTCTGAAGAATTTCAGTATACCTTCAAAGTCTAGGGCTAATAGGTCTTTTCTAGAACACTACAATAAGATTCAAAATATCAAGTATAGTCAGATTCAAATACTTTTCAAATTCTGAACTTTTTTTTCTAATAGCACTGTTAAAAAGGATATAGCTTTTATAGATTTTATCATAAAATAAACTTTAGATATTCCCTCCTCCATTACACATACATTTTTTTAGCTTCCTTAATAACACTTTTTATCAGCCTTTATCTATGCTAATGGCAGACAACTGCAGCATTAATTTAGATCATTAAAACATTTTACTGGATCAGATAATTTCAATGACACTTACCGGTAATGGAAGGAGTATCACCAGTATGTGCCAAGATTTTTCTCTCCAATTTTTACACAATTTTAATTCAAAGTTACATTAATCTGGTCTAAAATACATAAACCTTGTACAGTTCCATCTAATTCCATATATATAATGACTGAAGCTCACATTTTGACAAGAAGGAGCCAAGAATCCATTTCATGAGGCTCTCGTAGATTTGTTTGTTCATAATTTACATACTTTTTATAAAGTTATATGCACAATAGTCAAAATGTGTAGTCTTTTAAACAAGGTGAAGATAAGACCCATAATAATACACATGGCTACATGTATTTGCCATAAATTTATATACACATGAAGACTGTCCTATATTTATTTCACTAATTCAACCATAATAATCTTACCTTTAACAATGCCACTGCCACACCCATCAGAAATGTACTGCCCTGGAAATAAAAATACTTACTGTTGATACCATTATCTGCATATTATCATTAAAAATTACCCTTGCTTTTCTCAGATATTCTTATTTTAATTCACAGTTACAAGTTTTATCTTCAATTTTTTCACAGTTATCTATAGTGTTATTTGAATTGCTAAATCAGAAGAAAATGTACTGTTCAAAGTATAATTTGTAATATGCTACAAAAAAATGTTCCCTAAGAGGGTATGATGTAATGTTAGTTATGACAGAATAGATTACCTCTGACAGAAACATGTCCAATATATGGAATACCAAGTGAAGAGGAAACTTGGCAGTAAACAGTGTTAGGAACCATTGAGATGCAAACATGTGGATTTCCAAGCCCATCTCTGTAAAATGTTCAAATAAGTCGGGAATATGGTCCTACAAAATAAAACATTCATTTTTTAGAAATATGTTTCAAAATAATAATCTTCTTGTACTTCTCCCTGCATTTCTATCAACTATACAGCTAGTTCAAGTGGATCAGAGCTGAAATACTTGAGAAAATTTCAGTCGAGATTTCATTCAAGATTTCAAAACTACTATTACTCTATTCACCAGCAACACCAGAATACATCTAATGTCACATTATAATGGAAATGTCTGATAGTTTGTCAATTGTATGGTGATAAAAATAGAGCATAGCAAATATTAAAGTAAAACAAATGGAGAAGGTGTCCATGGGACACAGATATTGCCCCCACTTGCATATAACGTTATAAAGGGGCATAACTCAAGACCTGTAGAAGTGACGCCACCCAAATTTGAACTTGATCTGTGTGTTGTGATAATAAGCATTGTGTATAAGTTTCATAACCTATGGTTAAGGCTAACTTAAGTTAGAGAACAGAAAATAATTTTGGTACATACACACAAGGATAACACTTAACGGCCCCTCCGCTGTGGCCAGGTCTTAAAATTGGTTTACTTCATCTAAATATGGCAATATAAAAGTTTCCTTGACATATTGTGTTTTTTTTTACATGTAAATATTATCTATATTGATGGGATGTTGTGATCTTGTTTTGATATATGTATTTTACTATTACTTAGCCACTACTTTAACTTTCAAAATGAAGAACATTTAAAGCACTGTTATTTTTCTTTCTTATCTTTTATCATACTTATGTTCATCATGTTTATTCTTTCTCTAGCAAACCTGTAATATTTTTTAAGTAGTGCACCATAAAAATAATGAAACTGCTTAATAAATTTGATAATATATTGAGGAATTGAAACCGTTTATGGATACTGCAAGAGAGTAGGTTCACAATGGGCTAAAATTGGCGCTATGATTTTAACGTTTTTATTTAATCAGGTATAAATACTACAAAGGACAAGGTACGATAAGGCCCGTTTTTGGCCCCCCTATTTTCTCATTTTTTAAATTTTGTTTTTGAAAGCTACTTATCACGTTAAAATATTCCCTTAGGTTTGAAGTTTGTTTGGATGAACTTCAAAACCATTAATTTCAGAATATGGGTGAGGTGAGGAGGTTAAAAGGGCATCAAAAACGCCAAAAGGAAAAAGTACGATTTTTGGCCATTGTTTCTTAAGATTTAATAGCGTGCGCCTACGTGACCCGGAGAAAATTATGGCGATTTAGACAGCAAAAACAGTTCTCATGACATTGGAATAAAAAAAATCCTGGGTCACGTTGGCGCAGGCACTAAAAAACTAAAAATTAGTTGTACGGAACACCTGCAAAGTGAATAATAATTACAATATTTGAATAATAACAGAAAGTTTACCCCCTCACCTCACCCAGTTGCTAAAATTAGTGGTTTTGAAGTTCATCCAAACAAACTTCAAACCTCAGGGAATATTTTAACATAATAAGTAGCTTTCCAAAACAGAATTTGAAAAATGAGAAAATAGGGGGCCAAAAACGGGCCTTATCGTACCTTGTCCTTTCACATAGAAATTGTTGTGATATTACTATGAATACAAAATCACTTCTTTTTGGCAAATCACATTACAAATTAGGGCTGTTCCAGAAAATACTATGTCCCAGCAACAAGATGACCTATTGTAAAATTTTTAAAACTTTAAAGACTGATAATGATGTGACTACTATAGTATTTATGCGAGCTGTATACCAAGTTTACCTCCATCAGTCTTTCGAGCTGATAAAACTTTAGATGTAGATCTTCAAACCCTGGTTTAAACAGCTCTCTAACTTTATAATCAAAGCAAATCTTTATCAACACTGAGAAAGCCTGCTCTTCTGGCATCTAAAAGTATAATAAAATGTGGAATGAGGTCAAGTTTTGCTTTCATATGGAGTGTCCCTTTGAACAATCTTGTGACATGCTAGATTTATTGAGCATTTTTCTAGATACTTTACTTGTGTACACTATTTTCCATCACCAAAAATCAGAAGAGGATTATAACTGTTCATATTGTGTTTTGTTTGTTATGTGTTAATTTACTGTCTAGTATAATTATCTAGACAAACATAATCACAAATATTTAAACAGAAAACCCTTCTGATGTTTAAAGTCCCCTCAGAAGAGGCCACTTCTCTGTATTAGTTTTCTTTTATATTCAGTCCCTCATCAGTGTGCACCCCTGTTGTTATTAACCATCTGATGTATGGCCTTATTAGAGGGAAACAACTCTACTTTGTATTTGTAGAAGTTTTATTAGAGGCAATAAACTGGTCTTGTTTTTTTTTTATTATTCGAAAATATGTGGAAATCATATGTAAAAGTTGCAATTTCATATAAAAATTTCCATGACACAAGGAAAAGTTTAGCTCTTAATGGAATGTTTAGGTTATTTTAGTTATTTCCTTTGATTTTTTCTCATGTATTATCACATACCTTTTCAAATGAGCTTAAAAGGGTTTTGTAAATATAGGTCTGTAATACATATAAATTATTCACATTAATCTTAGTTATACTTTCTAAATTGTATTTCCTAACTAGATATCATAATTTACTTACATGAAGCAGTAAGGAAGCAGCTACAAATGAAATGCCTTGAACATATCCTATTTCTTCATCATACACTGAATATGCCTGCAACAAATCATGTTATCAATACAACATAACATGTTATCAATACAACATCTCATGTTATCAATACAACATCTCATGTTATCAATACAATATCATGTAACTAATATCTGAACATATAGTTTTTTAGTGTAAGTGATTGTTTTTATCATTCATTCAGGCTATTGCTTTTCTTCTGTTCAAACAACTAATAATGAATAAATGATCTCCCCCTACTTGAGGTAGATTGCTTCTAACGTTTTCAACTTTTCTTAATTAGTAAACCTCCTGGCTTGATCATAGGTTATGCATTTACACAGGTGGTAAATTGTTCGTAACCCCTCTGGATGTATCATTGGTATTGCAAAAAAAGTGGTGGTAAATCATTTGTAACCCTTCTGGTTTTATCATAGGTTATGCATACATACATGTGATGGACTGTGAAACTCAGATCAGGAGATTGGGAAATTTTGGTCCGGAGATTAGGACTCAGATCAGGAGGTTTTTAATCAACATAAATTTTGTCGAAATGTAACCGTGTGCTGTAGAAATTGTCATTTAAAGTGTTTTTTCTTCAATTTTCCATCCGAATGTATTATGTTTATAGTACCCTTGTACTTATAAATTTTCTCTATCTGTATTCAACATGTTCAAGCTAACATTCTTTTTTTTTAGTATGTTCTTTAAATTTTTTGTTTTATATCTTTTTTGGTACAATCACAGCTATCAGAACATTTGTTTAACAATCTGCAAATAGATCTTTTTTTGCAAGTTAAGCAACACATTTAGAATGAAATGATGGGTCATAATTATTATATAAATTTCAATTTAAGCCTTGAAAGGAAGTAAAGAACCCACAAATATAATTTTCAAATTATTATTTTTTTATTCGTCCTAAGACATTTAAAATCATTTAATTACCATTCTTTTATGATTATTTGTTCAATTAATATTTTATTTATATCATTTTAAAAATTTACATTATTTAAAGGAAAATAACTTAAAACAGGATACATCAAGGGAAGTAACCCAAAAATCATTTCAATTACAAAGTTTTTATTACACAACGGCAGTTAGCCTGTGGTAAAAATCGTTGATTACCAGTATGTTTGACACCCAAGCTGACAAGTGAAGCCATATAATTATGCATGTTAATTGATTTACAGGTAAAATATAACTTCAGGTAATGACTAATGTCAGTTACACCAGATATGTTGGGCTGAAATTTTTCTTTCATGAAATATTTCATACACAGGATTTTTTTCTCTTCAAAAGGAGGTTGGGAGGAGACCCCTGAAAACGGGATTATTGTACTCCCGTTGGGAGATTCACATGTATGTGCATATTCGCTGGTGGTAAATTATTTTGAAATTCTTTTTATTCCATATAATTTATTCAAAAAACTCATCATTCATTTTTTTGAGGAAATTTCTCAGCTTTTGCCCTTTGGTGATATTGTAGCAGAGAAATCCCCTCTCATTTTTTAAAACCATAGATAATTTATAAATATCTTTTTTATTTAAAAATGTTATCTGAAAAGTCTGAACAGACTCATCAGAAATGTTTGCTTCTTGTTGGACCTACAGAGAGACAGTATAATACTCACCTTACTTATTCTATATAAAGAATCTTGACCCAGTCCTCCAGTTTCTTTAAAGAAATCATGTGCTGGGAATGTTCTGTTTATATCTCTTTGTATCACGTCTTCATTTGGGGAATCCTTAAAAATAATTCAAATATATCTTCATTTGGGGAATCCTTAAAAATAATTCATATATATCTTCATTCGAAGAATCCTTAAAAATCATAATGAACCAGCATACTAAGTTTTATGTTCAGTCTTGGTTGATGAAAGCTCAACTTTATGGTAAACTATCTTAAACTAAAACTTTAACCTGATACAGGACAGATGGACTCATGAATGGACACATAGACCAGAAAACATAATGTTCCCTTCTATCTTTGGAGGCCATGGAGGGACATACAAATATTTTGGTAAAGTGCATTTTCTGCACAAATATAAAGAATAGTACAATACATGAAAAATTCATGGAATATTTTTAGCACAAGCAACTGAAATCTCACCTTAGTTATCAATACTCTGTAAGCCTCCAAGAGATCTGAGTTGTCATGACAACCAGCCAGAAGTTGCCACACTTCCCCACGGAGTGCTTCTGGAATGCCTTTCTTGACTAAATGTGGAACTTGTTTAGGTTTCTGTGATAAATTTTGATGCCACTTCTTCAGAACTTCATGCCACGCTTGCAACAGATCTTCATCTGTGATCTCTTTGCTTACAAAACCATATCCACTTAGTAGTGGCTCATCTCCATCTACAATTAGAAGTTAGTCCTACAATATCCCCTTACTCATAACACCTGTTAAGTTAGAAATGGCTGAACTCAATCTACAATTAGAAGTTAGTCCTACAATATCAAGTTCTCCTTACTCACAACAATGGATCAACTTAGTAGTGGCTCATTTCAATCTACAATTAGAAGTTAGTCCTACAATATCCCTTTACTCAAAACACATGTTAAGTTAGAAATGGCTGAACTCCATCTACAATTAGAAGTTAGTCCTACAATATCCCCTTGCTCATAACACCTGTTAACTTAGAAATGGCTCAGCTCAATCTACAATTAGAAGTTAGTCCTACAATATCCCCTTGCTCATAACACCTGTTAAGTTAGAAATGGCTCAGCTCAATCTACAATTAGAAGTTAGTCCTACAATATCCCTTTACTCAAAACACATGTTAAGTTAGAAATGGCTGAACTCCATCTACAATTAGAAGTTAGTCCTACAATATCCCCTTGCTCATAACACCTGTTAACTTAGAAATGGCTCAGCTCAATCTACAATTAGAAGTTAGTCCTACAATATCCCCTTGCTCATAACACCTGTTAAGTTAGAAATGGCTCAGCTCAATCTACAATTAGAAGTTAGTCCTACAATATCCCCTTGCTCATAACACCTGTTAAGTTAGAAATGGCTCAGCTCAATCTACAATTAGAAGTTAGTCCTACAATATCCCTTTACTCAAAACACATGTTAAGTTAGAAATGGCTCATCTCCATCTACAATTAGAAGTTAGTCCTACAATATCCCCTACTCATAACACCTGTTTAGTTAGAAATGGCTCAACTCCATCTACAATTAGAAGTTAGTCCTACAATATCCCCTTGCTCATAACACCTGATTAACTTAGAAATGGCTCAACTCAATCTACAATTAGAAGTTAAAGCTACAATATCAAGTTCTCCTTACTCACAACAATGGATCCACTTAGTAGTGGCTCATTTCCATCTACAATTAGAAGTTAGTCCTACAATATCCCCTTGCTCATAACACCTGATTAACTTAGAAATGGCTCAACTCAATCTACAATTAGAAGTTAGTTCTACAATATCCCCTTGCTCATAACACCTGTTAAGTTAGAAATGGCTCAGCTCAATCTACAATTAGAAGTTAGTCCTACAATATCCCTTTACTCAAAACACATGTTAAGTTAGAAATGGCTCATCTCCATCTACAATTAGAAGTTAGTCCTACAATATCCCCTTGCTCATAACACCTGATTAACTTAGAAATGGCTCAACTCCATCTACAATTAGAAGTTAGTCCTACAATATCCCCTTGCTCATAACACCTGATTAACTTAGAAATGGCTCAACTCAATCTACAATTAGAAGTTAAAGCTACAATATCAAGTTCTCCTTACTCACAACAATGGATCCACTTAGTAGTGGCTCATTTCCATCTACAATTAGAAGTTAAAGCTACAATATCTTATTATTCAGAACACCTGATCCACTTAGTGGTGGCTCATCTCCATCTACAAGCAGAAATTAGAGCTACAATTGCAAGCTCCCCTTACTAACAAGTGATTTTTGTCTAAGTATATACCTACCAGGAATTTAGTAGTGTTTTTGTGGGATCTGTTGTCTATAAGACTTCAGACACTGCAGGGAAAAAGATTAGCAGGGGCCCAGTCGCCAATGCTACTAAAATTTGAGTTGGGCCCCTAAATTTTTTATTAAAATGCCCATAGTGCTTATGTTAATTTTCACATTGTGGCTGGTTGGGCCCCTAGTTTGAAAATGTTAGTCTTATTCCTTGCAATGTAAACTAACAGCCTTTGTCTATGTAAATACATACCAGACTCCTCCTCAGGGTCCTGGGGTGTTGTTATATCATCAGGGATCTTTTGTCTGGTAGAGTTGAGACCTTGTAAACTCATTCCAGCTTTCTGTCTATCTATTTGTGTTTGGCTGTGTACACTGACCACATCAAACATTCCATCATCAGACTGAAATAATCAATAACATAACTATTACTTAGTTACTAGAAAATTTAAGATTTACATTGTACATAACATCACAAAACCATCTAAAAACCTATGAGGAAACACGGATTGTCTTATAGTTTAGCACTATAGTTTAATGAATCAGATAAACCAGTTTACTGTTATCCTATAATACATCAGCATATAGAGCAACCCAGTGAAACTGATGCTGGATAATATGGAAATAACCAGTGAAACTGATGCTGGATAATATGGAAATAACCAGTGAAACTGATGCTGGATAATATGGAAATAACAACTAAATAAATACAGGAAAACACACTCATAATGGTACTTACATCATAGATGACATGGGATTAGCATTGAAATGTCACAAAAACCATTCTGGATGACATGTCACATGGGATAAACAGTGAAAACTTTACGATAAAAACTTTCTGGATAAAACAGGATAACACTCTAAAGGATACTAAATAATGCCTGGATATACTAGATAACTTTAGATGAAATGGGGTATTACTAAATAATGCCTGGATATACTAGATAACTTCAGATGAAATGGGGTATTACTAAATAATGCCTGGATATACTAGATAACTTCAGATGAAATGGGGTATTACTAAATAATGCCTGGATATACTAGATAACTTCAGATGAAATGAGGTATTACTAAATAATGCCTGGATATACTAGATAACTTCAGATGAAATGGGGTATTACTAAATAATGCCTGGATATACTAGATAACTTTAGATAAAATGGGGTATTACTAAATAATGCCTGGATATACTAGATAACTTCAGATGAAATGGGGTATTACTAAATAATGCCTGGATATACTAGATAACTTCAGATGAAATGGGGTATTACTAAATAATGCCTGGATATACTAGATAACTTCAGATGAAATGGGGTATTACTAAATAATGCCTGGATATACTAGATAACTTCAGATGAAATGGGGTATTACTAAATAATGCCTGGATATACTAGATAACTTCAGATGAAATGGGGTATTACTAAATAATGCCTGGATATACTAGATAACTTCAGATGAAATGGGGTATTACTAAATAATGCCTGGATATACAAGATAACTTCAGATGAAATGGGGTATTACTAAATAATGCCTGGATATACTAGATAACTTCAGATGAAATGGGGTATTACTAAATAATGCCTGGATATACAAGATAACTTCAGATGAAATGGGGTATTACTAAATAATGCCTGGATATACTAGATAACTTCAGATGAAATGGGGTATTACTAAATAATGCCTGGATATACTAGATAACTTTAGATGAAATGGGGTATTACTAAATAATGCCTGGATATACTAGATAACTTCAGATGAAATGGGGTATTACTAAATAATGCCTGGATATACTAGATAACTTCAGATGAAATGGGGTATTACTAAATAATGCCTGGATATACTAGATAACTTTAGATGAAATGGGGTATTACTAAATAATGCCTGGATATACAAGATAACTTCAGATGAAATGGGGTATTACTAAATAATGCCTGGATATACAAGATAACTTCAGATGAAATGGGGTATTACACATTGAATACATTAAATGAACCTCTGATGAAGGATCATATACAAGAACAGAAACTACATTGGTCAAAGACCTCACCATACATAATATTTTTTAGATTTTACAGGACCTAGTTATCTGCACCCTCGCCTTTAGGACTCAGATGAGTAGTTGCCTCATTGGCAATCATACCACATCTCCTTTTTTATATCATAAAATCATAATTAACTTATTATCATGTATCTTTTTAAAATACTTTTCTATTAATGGGAAAAAACAAATCTAATATTCAATATGCTTTGTCAAACATTAATCGATATTGTCTGAATTGTATACAAATGATAGTTAAGTATTTCTTATACATGTATTACAAACCAACTTTTACCAGCAGTCCAGTTTTATGAAAAAATTCAAAAAGTCTTTGTCATTAGGAGTTACTTTAGTTTAACTTTTTGAAGATTTTCCCTATCTCATTACAGGAAATATCATTATGACCCAGCATTGTCAACACAGCCATAAACAACAGAATATGTCCAGAAGAAAACCTTTAATTGGCAAATAAACATTTATATATGTGGCACTTTTGCCAATATAATTATAGGTTTAAGATTAACCAATATGGTCTACAGAAATCTCTCTTTTCTAGAGAAAATTCATTTATCCTCTATTACATTATTTATTCGGAATCCTTGTTATTATGTCTGCACCTTTACAAGTATAAAAGAACTAAATACTCAGTATTGATTCTGACTTCTGACGGCTCTAATTATTCAATTAAATACTTCTGTAGTATTGATAAAAAGTGCTTTTAGGGCTTTATTATTATTTTAGCTAGGTCAATTCTAAGCAAGCGTAACTTCTCTGCCCGTCCAACTTTGATTTTTTTGGTTATGGGTTAGATACAAATGCTTCCTCGATTACATATACAAAACCACTGATGGCCCTCTCTGTAGCCATTTGAAAACATATCTGGCTATGGGAACCCAAAAAGTCTATGTGATCAATGTCAAAATAGGAGGTCTAAAACCTCACTTCATGTACAACAGTATGTACAGGTTTGATTGGTTTCTGTCAAGTTGTCTAAAGGGAGAGGCAGATTATACACAAAAGTATTACAGACAACATGACAAAAAGGGAACTCAAAGTGATTTCTATATGTTAACTCTGTAACATATGTGACATAAAATAGTTATCTATGTCAATATATATATTTCTCTAAACAGCAAATTCATACTTTTCCCGACCTGTTGATTTTCATATAATTAAAGTATGGTTCATTTGATCTCATTTGTTCATTGGTCAAAACTTGATTATAATGTCATATTTCTTGTTCATTTCTGGCCATGATATGGCAAACAGTGCTGAAAGTGGTGTTAAACAACAACAATCAATCAATCAACCATATATTATACAATTTGATCAAAATTGACAACACTAATGATTGTATGAAATACTATCAATGAAATATAAAATATTCTACCTCTTTGGATGATTCGTCATAGTTTAAATGATATCAACTTTCCATTAATACTGTTGCTTAACTCTCCTTTGAAATCTTTATGTTTTTTAATCTGATAGTTCTATTCTATAACATTTCAACGTAAAGCCTCCTTCTCATTTGAAATCAATTTCCAAATCCATCCACAAGAAACTTCTCAATGGAAAAATCACCAATTTATAACATGATACAGCTCTCTTTGAAACGTGTTTTAACTCCTAATATAAGGAATGTATACTTACAGAATGATCAATACTTATATATCCTACTCAGAATAAATAAATGTCAAATATCGTCAATATACTTATTCATCTATATCATTTACTCTTTCCAGTCAAAGAAATGGTTCAACAAACTTTATAATACTTATCATCCAAAAATTGTCCAAGAAGTAAGACTGCAACTTAATTGTTGTTCTTTATTTTTTATAAAAGTCACATGACAAAAACATGATTCATTCAACATCTGGCCTGCATCTACCTGTACAATAGTATTACCTATATGTGATGCACATTTTATTTTATTGTTAATGATTTGTACTGCCAGAAGGTTGTGACTTTTGTTTGATATCCCTCAATACTAATTAAACATCAAATATCCTGAAAAAATGCAATTACTTTGGATATAAATGGTCACACAGTTAAACTTGTAGATTCAGGTAAATAGATAGGTCGCTATAATACAATTGTCACCATTAGTTGGTTTATCTCTACAGTAAATATCTTAAAATAAGACTTGTGACCTAAAGGACAATAACATAACCTTTAATCTTTAAATGTTTATAAAGTAAAACTTTTGGCAATGTATTTTGCAATTTTCATCTAGACTCTGGGAAACTACCCATCTGCTTTACTGAAACTCGTATTTAGTATCAGAGAAAAGTATGATAATATGTGATAAGAATGTATGAGTAAGTGTTTTACCCTGGATAGAATAAAACTGGCCGATATAAAAATGTATGCTTTGTTTCAGTCCCTTTTATGGAAAGGTTTCACCCTGTATTTCAAATAATAAAAATTTTTCTATTTGTGCATGGTATCAGAGAGGAGTCGCGATCGTTAACCTTAATCATAATCAGCATAGACTGTAAAGATCTGTAACAGACCTGTAAACCACCCTATTAATCAACTTTCAATATGGGTAATTCATTTCAAAGAGTTTACAAAACCAGAAGTTATTTGATTTCCTTTTTTATTAAAAAAACAAAAACTGTGCAGAAGATGGCATTTCAAAAATGCATTATAATAAATATAAGATCCAGCTTTTGTAATATTTGTACTGATATATGATATAGTTGTATCAGGCTAGAAGATGATTAATTTTCAATACAGATTGCCTTTCTAATCAAGAGTTTAGTATAAAATTTGTGCCTTTATTCATTGATTTCAAAAGGTCACAGGTGTCAAAACCATCTGCACAATTACTTCCTATCTAGTCAATATAACACAAAAAAATATACATATAAAACCAAACCTTATCGCTACTCTTTCTAGATTTCTTCCTAAATCTCATCATTTGAAAATGGTGCTCTTCTAATAAATTGTATTAAGAATATGTCAAAATCGCAACACCATGTATTTTATAATGTAAGAGTATATCAATACTTCCTCATGTAAACATCTTAAATTTTCTTGACACAGGTGACTTTTTAATAAAATAAGAATTTAAATTCCCACCCACATGTGAAGTGACAGGAGATAATGAACCCATCAACCACTTTATGGTGTATAATAGAAAGGTGACTTCTTATTATCTCTAGAAAGTTGTGTGCAAGATATTGTAAAATATCCTTATGTAAAAGGAAGCAATATGAGAAAAGCAATTAATATAAAAAGGATATTTTATTGGTTACTTTTTCACTTATGTATCGGCATGTAAGACAATACAAAACGAGCCCCATATATGATATTACGGAAGAGGTATTGAATATAGAATATAAACAAAAACCTTCATAAATT